GATGTCACAGAATAAACAAAAAATTATACAATTTCAGGAATTATACAGTAGATTACACAAAATCGTGTGACGTGACAGACATGTAGGTAGGTACTTTCTTTAAATAATAAGGTTACCTTGTTTAGTTCTACTGAAAAAATGTTATTTCAGCTGTAACAAAAAACTTGTCGACCAGTGGTATTTTACCATTACGGACTGTCGGACTATAATAACCACACTTTTATTGACTCTGTTATTGACTACCTACTTACTACTAAATGCAAAATGATATTTTTTTGTTCACCAGTAGGTGCTATTTTAGCATTAGGTTTGATTATAATAAGTAATTATCATTTATTAAAAAAAAATGTGGGCAATATTTACTAGGATTTTCTTATATATTGTGGGTGCCTTTCAAACATATAAATTCATATACTTTATGACACCCACACCCAGAACAACAATTTGGGAATCTCAGTTCACATCAAGAGTTGTTTCGGACTAAGCCGGTCATTGTATGTATTAGGTATGTATTTCATAGCATGGTTAGGTACTACCGAACTATGCTGGCTGGTAGTTCTTTATGTACAGATGCCCCTCCGGATTACCTAATAGGTAAGTATCTAGCTACCTACTTTCAGGTACAGTCCCACAACATAGCGTTTATTGCACTATAGCGTCTTTGCGATACCTAAGCTTAGCTATACACAAACTTACACAAGTTGTACACTTTTATTGGTCCATAGGTCCTAATTTTTACACACGGCTTTGCCTGCGTAAATTAATCTGTATGGTATTTGTACCTACCATTGTATGATAGGAATTGTATTATATTGGGAACCTACTTTTCATCTTTCATTTTATTGTAATTATAATCATTTTATGAAACAGTATCTATTAGTACGAGCAAGTAAGTTAATTTCCAAGTCAGATTATAAGTACTGTAAATGAAGAAGACTAATTTTATTGTTCCCGTTTTAATATTTGCTTGCCCTTGAACTATAACTTTTATGTCATTGTCAGACTAGTGGCCTGAGTGGCTAAGCTTAATATGTCATGATTTACATAACATCGAAGGTAGTGACCACACTAAATATACATAAAGCGAGAAAACCAGAACCAAGTGTCGTGGTCCCGTCGCTACCAGCTCACCTTGAATCTTGACTTTTACATTTGCTAATTTTAAAACGTTGAATTCCTATATCCGTGTTTAATGATTGTCTAAAACTCTAAATTGTAAATAATATTATACGATTAAAGTGTACGAATATTATTTGGAAAAATAAATTAGATAGTTCCTGCCTAAACATACTACTTACCTATATCAGTAATTATATCTAGGTATATAAAAAAGGTCCTGCCTAACGTTTTCTTTTACTTATTGGTAGGCATACCAAAAGGTACTGAATTAAAACACCACTGCATGCCACTCCCCGATCCCGGCATCAAATATTTGAATCCGTGTTCCGAAGTCGCGTTTAACTATTTTGGCAATGGCAACTTGATTTAACTTGAGTCGCAAAGAGTAAACAATCGAAATAAAAGTGCAGGGCGTGTAGTTGTGTAGTATGATATAGGTTCTAAGTATTTATATGATGCAGCACACGTATTAAAATCAATGTGGTTTAAAAGGACAATGTTACAAAATATGCAACTAATTGCACCTTTGTTAATACAATACAGGAATCTAGAAATGTGACTGCCCAGTATAGTTTCTTCGAGGATTGTGAAGTTATGCACCCTGTCGGCTGTCCCTTATGCATAGTTATACCTAATTAAAAGTTTTTATATAAAACCATTCGGTCACACAGAAAAGGTAAGGATATCGTGTAAAGTGTAATTAGTGTGATAGTACCACATTTATTATTAGGTTAGGTAGGTAGGTAAAATATTGGAGTAGGGACTTCAAAGCTGGATACTTTTTGCCGGACACGAAAATCGAAACGACGTGACGCGCATTTTTGTATGTCCATTCCATACATCCTCGTTATTTTAGCTGTCAAAATGACACGGTTTTTTTAAAAGCGTGACGATTGGAGTTTCTTGTCCGTTCTTCTCCATTCGAATCTACATTTTGGAATGAGCACCTACCTTCACCTAGCTTTACTGACGGACTGACTGGCGGCTATTATTTATTTTATATTTGTTGACGTTTCAAAAGTACCAAATTATGGTTTATTTAATTGAAATAAATTCTTACCTACTTACCTACTGCAACTGTATCTGTACAAGAGGATAATAAATGCAATAAATGTCTTTAATATTTTATACTAGCTTCTGCCAGCGGCTTCGCCCGCGATCCCAAGAGTAAAATGTTTATGTAGGTACTACTTCAGACCATAATCTACCTCTGTTCCGAATTTCATTCCGGTCTCTTCAGTCGTTTTAATATGACTGAGTAACAAACATACACACAAACTCACATATTTTCACATTTATAATATCGGTTCAACCTAATTTCAACCATCGGCCCTACAGTTACAGTACAACGTAAAGGCCACTGCGGGCAACAATTCGACGAACTTAGGTATATTTGCATTTGGTACAGTAGATAAGTGTGCCTAGGGATTGAGCCGAACAATTAAGTTTTTTATTTCATGTATATAGGTACTTTTTCGGGATATAAAGGAACCAGTGTTGTGCCCAGGATATTACAGTATAATGATATCAAGTTTCACCGTACCTAATCGGAATCGGACTTTTGCGTGATGCGTGAACATATAGACATACAGATAGACAAAAATTTTACTGATTGCATTTTTGGCATTAGTATCGATCACTAATCACCTTCTGATAGTTACTTTGGAAATAATATTTCATGTACTTACATAATTGACCTCTCTACATATTTATTATACATTTATAAGTATAGATGAATATCATTGCCATTTTAAATTTCCGTGATTTAAAATCCACAAAATGGACTGGATTCCGAAATGTCACGGAATAAACTTTCGATCTCATCGACACAAAGAAACCGGTTGGTTTGGATCATCAGACAACTTACTATTAAATCATTTGCCAGTTCGCGTACCAACTTACTTAATTTTACGTAATTATTGATTAGGCAGTGTTGTAATAAATAATTGACTGCTAATTAACGGGCAAACTGGCGTAGGTAAATACAAGATTTTATATAAAATGCTCCACAGCTCCTTTATTATTCTTAAGACTGTAACATTCCATAATAAATAAAAGGTCAAAGACCAGTTTCGCAACATTTCTCTGTTAGGAACAAAGAGTTGCAGGCCCCTTCACCGCGGGCGCGGCGCGCGTACCGAACTGCAGGAAGCCTGTCCAAGGCGAACGCTCGGAACACCATTCCCTTATTTATAATGTAAATACCTATCCATAGTCATTACAATGATTGTCACCAGCCTCCAAAAGTATCTAGTACCTATTATTTTTTTAAAGGGCGGCGACGCAGATGTCTTCTCTGGTGTTGCTAGTATAATAAGTGGCGAGTATAATAAGCGCTGATCGCTTGCAATCAGTAGACCGGCTACATTTGCCCGCTATTTCATAAAAAATATCTAAGTAACTACATAAATTAAAAAAAAAACGCAATAATTTCAACCATTTAATAATTTATCAAAGATTCATAGATAGGATAGATTACATACAATCGGAACTGCACGAATGAATCCTTTTTTCGAGGTCATATCCAACTGCTTACTATGCAGTGTGCGTCAGATGGACCGTGGAATTTCGCCGCTAGGTACCTACCTACTGCGGTCGACTTGGGGCCACTGACACCATGATTGCATTGCTTTTTTTTAAGATACACCGTAGGAACTTTATTTAACTCTTTTCTAAATAAAAAATCATTGTAATATTTGTTACGCTAAATAGGTATAAATGTCCCAAAATATGTAAAAACGATCGTACTCCAATATGTCGGTACCTGTTTATATAGCCAAGATACAAATTGTGATGTATTTCTAAAAAATAGTAGGTAAGTACTTATAACAATATCTCTATCTAGTCTATCTACACAATTGCATCAATCACTAGCATAATGTAAATGTTCAGACAAATGTGATAGTGATATGATGTATGAGTGGATTAAGGATTAATAAAATCTTATATACGTACTATTATACTATAAAGCGTACCTACAAAGAAAGCGTAAGAGCGTACATAAGTTTGTTTGTTTCTTTGTTCCGATTTGAAAAATTCTTTTTGTGTTGGATAGTCCATTTATCGAGGAAGGCTAAAGGCGATAAAACATCACGCACCGATTAATAGTCGCCGAGCAGAGCGGGTGATTCCACGCGGAAGTAGTTAGTTAATAATAAAATGATTTCCCATTGAGGTAATTAGATTAAAATTGTTTGCGAGTACGGCTTCGAATCTTCGTACGCCAAAGTTCCAGAACCCTGTGGTCCCGTGAAAGGAAAAGAACAAATATAAAAATAAATAATAATAAGTATAGGACACCAATCACACCAATATAATTAATACCTACCTAATAAATTAATCATGCAAACAAAAGGTGATTTCTTAGTTTCTTACAGACAACCTTTAGATATAAATAAGGATTTTAATTTATAAAAATGATTGATAAAGGAACGGTAATTCATATCAGGTACCTACTGTACCTACAAGGTGACAATCATTGCTGGTAGCTAGGTCTGGGCACAGAATAACAGTACCTACATGTAGGTACTAGACTTGGATGTCTAGAAAAAAATTTAGTGTTTATAAAACGTGTTCAGTGCTTGCGTTTTACATCTGCTAGCATTATATTATACTTCAATATCTACGTTTTCCGCTTTATAGCTTTCGACACAGATGCCCATTTGTTTATCAATTAGCTACAGATTCATTGATCGATGGTGCAAAAGTAGTTAGTAGTAAGAGAACATAGATCACCGTGCCGGCACTCGTACGGTCTGGTTGTGTTTTTTGTCGCGGATCGAATTGTTATATTATTTTTTGTGCAAATAGTTGTTTACGCTAACACGTATCACAGGTGTGCGCCGGTCCCTCCGGTCGCAGGCACCTAGCTTGACCGCACAATGACTGAGGATTACGTAAACATTCCTTCGCGGTGTGATACACCCGTACCTATAGCCAGAAATGACATACAGAGCTTATTAAATGATTCCTCGGACATGGATGTCATTGATGACGATCTTAATAATAAAAAAAAGGAACAGTCGAAAGCGGAAAAGAGAGAAAGAGAAGAAAGCACTGAAGAAGAAGAAGGTTGGAAAGAAGTTAAAGCTACCAAAAAAAAGACTCGCCATGATAGTAGAAATTCCGCGAAAGAGGAAAAAAATGAAATATATGTTTCACATAAAGAACGTCTCCCGAAACAGTTTGCAATGGCACGTATTTTAAAAGAAAATAATATCACCGCAATAAGAGAAGTTAAATATATAAGTCCTTTTAAAATACGGTTTGCTTTTGATACTGAATTGGCTGCTCAGAACTTCTTTATGTGTGAGAAACTATTGGAGAGAGGGTGGAGATTTCAGAAAGCTATGGAACTGTCCATCTGTTATGGTGTAATTAAAGATGTAGACCTGGAATTCAGCGAAGACGAAATCCTTAAAAATATTTCTTGCCAAGCACCCGCAAAGCTTCTAAGTCTTAAAAGGCTTGACCGTCGCAACAGGGCTGAAGGAGGTTGGTGTCCCAGCGAAACCCTTCGACTGTGTTTTGAAGGTGATAATCTTCCGACGTCAGTTCGAGTGTTTGACATGAATATTAAAGTTTTGCCGTACATTCACCAAGTATCACAATGTTCACAGTGTTGGAGAATGGGACATGTCAGAAAAATGTGCCCGTCCAAAAATGTTATTTGCCCAAAATGTGGTGGCCATCACGAAAATTGTGATACATCAATGTTTTGTTGTGTCAATTGTAAAGGAAACCATATTTCGCTTAGTAAGTCATGTCCAGTTTATAAGAAGGAGAGAAGGCTCAGAGAAATTATGTCCGAGTTTGGGTGTACATATCGAAAAGCCTTAGAATGTTACGTCCCACCCGAAAATCAGACCCCTTCCGTTGCTAACTTCCGTCCTCAAGCCTCGGTAAGCTTAGAAAACCGTTTCTCCTCAACCCCAATTGAAGACATTCCAGTAAATTCTCGGAAACCTACTTTTGCCGAAATTATTAAAACGAAGGCCACAATACATGCCAAACAATCTCCTAACCCGATTACTAAGGATAATGTTTCCTCTATGCCTAAAACACAAGCACAAAAAAACAAAAAGAAACCGCCTAAAGAAGACTGGATGTTTTGGCATGCAGATGCTGACGAGAAAGACGATCATCAATTACCTGTTGAGGAGGAAGGGAATGATGAACGTCCTTCATTCAAAGAATTGTTGTCCAGACTCAAGGAAGTGATTTATCTGAACAATGTCAGTTTTAGTTATAAGATAAAGTGCATCTTTCAGTTGTGTCTAGAATGGTTGACCTTAGTATCAGTGAGTTTTGTTTCAGAGTGGTCGTGGGCGAATGCTTTGTTTAATTTCTTTTTATCTCGCAATGGCTAACAAACCAATTAAATTGAATGTAATCCAGTGGAATGCCCAAAGTATAAGGCCAAAACTGCCAGCATTTTGTGAACTCTTGCGCCAGGAAAGAGTACATATTGCTGCCCTTAGTGAAACATGGTTAGAACTAAACAGTAGTTTTAAAGTTAATAGTTACAATGTTTATCGCGCGGATCGTGATGATTCATACGGCGGTGTAGCTATACTTGTACACAAATCTGTTAAGTCGCAGCTGCAGCGCATTCACGTTAATAATATTGAGGTAGTGTGCGTGCAATTATTTAACTGTGACCCGATCGAATATATTGTCTCTGTTTATTGTCCATCGAGAATCTTTACAACTGAACAGGATTGGGATACTCTTTTTTCATTATGGACTTCTAAAACAGTTATTCTGGGCGATTTTAATGCTCATCACACAAGTTGGTCATATAAGACGGACCACCGAGGCAGTATTATTTACGACTCATTAATCGAAAACAGGTTTTTCTGTTTGAACAATGGATCACATACACGAGTCCGTTTGGCTGACAATATTTTACAACAGTCTTCCCCAGATATATCTCTAGTTTCTGTTGACGTAGCAATCAACTTTAATTGGACTGTTTTAAATGAAAACCTGGGTAGTGATCATTTAATAATTAAATTGTCAACATTATGCACGACCTACTTGCCTCCTATTACAAAAAGGAATTTTAGCAAAGCAGACTGGACTTCATACAAAAAGTATCTGGAACATAAATTCCAAAGCCTATGTTTACCAGATGACTTACAAGAAGCTTATGACCGTTTCTTAGATGTCTTAAATGACGCGGCTAACCAATTTATTCCTATGTACAAGGTTAATCAAAACCCTACTTCTGTTTTCTCCCCGAAACCATATTGGACCCCAGATCTGTCACAAACCGTGGCCCTTCGTAGGTTAGCATTATCCAAATTTAGACGCAATCCCACACCTCAAAACCTTGAAGATCTCAACAGGAAAATAAGTATATCCCAAAAGCTAATTCGTCAGGCTAAAAGGGAGAACTTTCAAAACTTTTGCTCCTCAGTTGATCACACCACTTCATCTAGCGAAATGTGGCGCAAAATGAGATGGTTGAAAGGCTACCGTTCACCCAGAAATTTTGTAGACGCCCAAAGTTCCACAAATCTTCTACTTTCAGTAACACCTGATTATGTATCCCCACCAATCCCTACTATTTACAATATGAACCCTATATTAGAGTGCGAAATCTCTTTTCAGGAGCTAGTTAAATGTATCAAATCAAAGGATACATCTCCTGGATGCGATGACATATCCTACTCTATGATTAAGAATTTACCTGAAGTAGGTAAGTCTAAATTATTAACTTTATTTAATCGATTTTTTGATAACAGTTTTGTTCCCTGTCAGTGGCGCAATATTTCTATCATACCAATTCCAAAACCTTGTCGTGACCCTAGTAACATTTCTTCACTCCGACCCATATCACTACTGTCATGTATTTGCAAAATTTTCCACTATGTTTTGTATAGAAGGTTGGAATGGTTTCTGGAAAAGAATAACACTTTCTCCCCTAATACAGTCGGCTTCCGTAGAGGTAGGTCGTGTTTAGACAGTTTGAGTTGCCTTATCACTACAATTCAAACCGGTTTTTCTGAAGGTTGTTCCACTATAGGATGTTTTTTTAGATATAGATAGTGCATACAACAATGTAAATAACTCTGTTTTAATAAAAGTATTAGACAATTTGAAAGTCGGGTCACGTATCTGTATGTATTTATGGAATTTTTTACATAAAAGAGTACTGAAGATAAGAATTGGCAACAGTTTTATTAGTAGATATTCCGGTATTGGTTTGGCCCAGGGTGATCCGTTATCACCACTTCTATTTAATATAGTAACGTCACATATTTGTAAACATATACAACACAATGTTTGTATTTCACAGTACGCGGATGATTTTGCTATTTATGTACAGTGTTCTTCTGTTAGTGAGGGGCAACGAAAAATCCAGATTGCGCTTGATCTCATTAACGGCATGTTGACACGTGTAGGATTAGAAATCTCCCCCGATAAATCGAAAATCTGTTTTTTTAGTAGAGGTTTTCGAAGGCCAGTAATAGATATATTTTTAAACGGAACTTTGTTAGAGGTAGTAGATCATGTAAAGTACTTAGGGTTATGGCTTGATAAAGGGCTTCGATGGAAGAGACATATTCATGAGGTTCGTGAGCGAATTTTTAAATTAATTAATATTTTTAAAGTTTTAGTAGGATCTGGGTGGGGCGTCCATCCTAAACACTCAAGAAACCTGTATATATCCCTTATTCGTAGTCGTATTGATTTTGGTAGTTTTATACTTGATACTAGCGCAGACACACACTTAATTAAATTGGATAGGTTACAAAATATTTGCCTACGTTTAATAGGTGGGTTTATCAAAAGCACACCGATCCATGTAATGGAATCCGAATTGGTATTGCCTCCCCTTTTTATCCGCCGTCGATATTTAGCTGGTAAATTTTATTTAAAATCCAAATGTTACAACTTTCCACTTATCAGTTTACTGGATAAACTACATGGCCATTGTTATAATAATCCATATTGGAGAAATAAAAAAAAACCTTTGTTAGTTGAGTCTCACGATATACTCAAACGAGAAAATCTGTACCGCAGCAGTCAAATAGGCATGTTTTCCATGAACACTTGGGTTAGCAATATGGACCTTTCAAATATTGTAAAATCTAATTTAGATTCAATTAATAAACCTAAGCATTGTTATAACGTACATTATTTAAGATCAATATGTTGTGATTCTTTAAACGCGCACTATTCCGGTTTCTATTGTTTGTATACAGACGGCTCGAAGCAAGGCGATTATTGTGGTGCTGCCGTTTATGATTCGCAAACTGGAATTTCTTTTAAATTTAAAATTGTATCGACTATTTCTATCATGCATTTGGAGCTGATTGCTATAGCTGAAGCTTTAACTTATCTTGAGTCTGTGGACGTGGATCGAATTGTTATTTTCACTGACTCAAAAAGTGCTCTTCTCCATCTTGTGAAATGCACGAGTATTTCTTCTTTTAGGGGACTTCCACTGGGATTCACTATATTAAAAATGCTAGCTAATCTTGTTGCCAATCACAAAACCGTTGTACTGCAGTGGATCCCCTCTCACGTTGGATTAGTAGGTAACGAGATAGTTGATCGTTTGGCTAACGAAGCAAGTACAGATGGGGAATTTTACCAATGTGCTCCTTGGCACACTGAACTCTTGCCCTTAGTTAGAGACAGATGTATCCAAACATGGTCAGAATACTTCGATGAAAGATCCTTATCTAAGGGTATTTGGTATAGGACCATTCAACCATCTCTTGTTCGCATACCCTGGTTCAGCGAGGGGAGAATGAGCAGACAGAGGATCACAACGGCATTGAGGCTCCGCTCGGGTCATGTTCCGCTCAATAGCTTTGGGTTTATGATGCACAAAGTACTTTCACCTAATTGTACAGTTTGTGGTACAATCGAAGACGTGCATCATATCCTAGCGGAATGTGGTCGTATCGGACCCCAGAGGCGTGGACCCTTTGTTTGCGGTTTTAATGTAGGATTTTTTAATAGCATTCTGGCCTCTCCACTGTCGGCCGAGGCTAGAAAACTATACAAAATTATTATTATAGGTTTAAGGTGTCGGGTAGACTAATCAGTAATATTAAGTATTAAATGTATTAGGTATAAGTTACTCGTGTACGCAATAATCGGGGTGACATTTTCTCCTGTGAAAAAACCCTGTAAATAAATAAGAATTTAAAAAAATAAAAAAGAGAACATAGGACCTATTACTTGCGTAGTAAGTTTATTTTCGAGTGCGTGTACCCATTTCACTGATCGCTATTAGAAATATTATAAACAAAACAAAATTTAGTGCACTCGAAGGTCACTTAGCTATATTGATTGACCACAAGACCACGATTTACCAACTCCAAATGTAGTTATAGTTACATAATTATTAGGCAACAACTTATTATTACAAATTAAAGTCACCGCCTGAATGGTACCCCGTGACTTGTTCGTCTTACAAACGCCGCCCAGTAAATGTAGGTATGCATTGACTAAGTAGTACACGTTAAAAATAAACATTATAAAAATAAATTATTATTAATTAAGTATAACGGCGTAGTTAGAAACACATTAATTTGCCTCATAGAAAGTAAAGATAAAATTATTTACCTACTTGACTCGTGCGTTCGGCAGAATCTTGACACCTCTGCCTACCCCTTCGGGGATAAAAGGTGATGTTATGGTAACATGCCTCATTTGTGCGAGTGGTTGCAAGTGCGATTGCCGGGCAAGGGGTTTCTAGGATTTAAAAAAAAATCTCGGTAGTAGCACGGAGTCTGGAAATGTGCCTGGTATATGGCAATAGACTTACCCTCTATTACATGGGACTCATAACAAAAATAGTGAAAAGTAGATGTTACATTGTACAGTGGCATTAAGTGCCGCATCTCTGCCTACTCCTTAGGGGATAAAAGGCGTGATGTTATGTATGTTGGTTCTATGTATCATACAGAAGTCTTTCCAGTTTTTTATCTTTCTCATATTACAGACAGACATCCGTACGAATAAACATCGGGTCAGGTAAAACTTAAAAAACGTATGTTTTTTAATCCTGTTTATGGGTATCCTGTATTTTCGAGCATAAAGTTTCACATACACTATACAACCACATCAACAATTTGTGGATCACACAAAGAATAGTTCCATGTGGGGTGCAAACCTGTGGCATGTTACACAACAGTCGATCGCCCAGCCGCTGCATCAACCTTACAGTCTAATTTAATAAATTAATAATATTATTTATTAGACAAGTAGGTATGAAATGAAATGGAATGGAATGGCATGGATTGGAGTGGAATGGAATAAAATGAAACGAAACGAAATTAAATTAAACGAAATGAATTTATTTCTGCCAATAGGTTACAAACTGTGGTTACAAAGAAACACTTTTACACGTCAGTAAATGATATGATCCCTCACGAGTGCTCGACTCGAGAAGCGTCAGACACATTTATGTGGACCTCTTATTTGTGAGACGAATCAAATCATATATTTCTATATTAAACACCTGTAAATTGTACCGATGGGTAATATTTCGCGGGCCTGCGGGCAGCAAGGATCGATGGCTCGCCGCCCGACCAGAACCAGACCCGAGCGTAAGGCGCGCGCGTCGCATTCTGCGCGCGCCTCAAAGAGCCATTAGACCACCACAGATGGGGCCCAATAGGGCTGATGCCGATTCGGAGCCGCGGAGAACCTAACGGGTTACCGGGGCTCCGGCTCGAAGTGCAGGAGTAGGAACAGAATGGTTTTTAGTCAGTAAGAGTCTGGCACTCCCTCCCGTCTCACCCAGGCGGGAGAAATCATTCGATGATTGCCCCCCCTTAAAACATAATATGGGTTAAGTATTTATTATTATGTAGGTAGCTGTAGGATTATAGATAGGTACAGATGTATTTGTTCATGTGACAAAACAATTCCACTAGGTATTGAAAATCGTTAGTATTGTCGTTGACTTGTTCATTATTTATTGTATTCCGCATAAAAGCATAGAACGAAAACAAAACACCTCCACCAGCCGAGCTGAACCTATCGCTGTGACGCAAGGAATGCGCAATTTAACATTTGAGTGGGTGTTGCAATATCATCAGCTTGCAAGAGGCTTACAAATGAGATTCAGCGGTTAGGTTAAATTTTAATTTCTTGTTTCACAAAGAGAAAATTAATTAATTTCCAATAAATACCTACATAATATGACTTTTTTACTGTTCTTATGAATGTTATAGCTTCTACCTATTTTGTGTTTTGTTTCATGTGCTGAATTTATTACACATAAATGTTATATCTTTGTTATTCTTTTCTATATTTTTAAATATTTGTAGTAAAACAGAAACAGCATATTAATAATATTCGTACCTGCATAGGTAGGTATATATTATTATGTACATACTAATATTTACATAATAATATTTATCTGCATAAGCAAGGATAGTGATCCTTTGTATTTATGTTGGTAAGAACAATATTAAAAAAATATATATTTCATCAAGACTCCCGTCTCATCTGTAGAGGAGAGTGTAAAGCCGGTTGTAATGCAGATGTAGGTACCTATCCACTTTAAGGGCATAAGCAAAGTAATGGTAACGGCTTAGATAATAATTTTATTAATTTGTACATTAGTTTGTTGAGGTGATGCATTGCCAATTTAGCGTTGATTGTTAATAAGGATTTCCATATCTCTACCAAATGATAGGTAGGTACCTATATTTGTCGATTTTATATTATTAAGTATTTCACATTGACTCATTATTAAGTACTACTAACTACTTATACTTACACGGATATCCGCGTATTAGAAATAGGTACCTACTTAATTATTTTTACGTAAGTAGGTACCTAGGTATACATAATTGTCCTGTAATTTTCAAATTTTGTTCAACAGTAATTACTTAGGTAGATAATCAATTTCAAATTAAACTTCATCTTTCGTAACAATCTTATCAAGGATCCTTGATATTAACAGATAACAAATAAATGTTATCCAAAATCTGATTTTGAAAATAACACGAAGTGGGTAGGTACGCAGTGCACACTGCAGTCAAACAAAAATGGTTATCTTTACAGTTACGGATACACATTGAAAAAAAATTAGGATTACATTAAAAATGTAAAAAGTAAGTGCCTCTATCCTCAGAAGTGCAAACGTACGAATGTGTGGGTGGGCCATCGACCGCGTTTGACCGGAGCATCGGCACTGACACCCGCGCGCTGCTGGCCTTCCAAGTTCCATGTAGCCGACACTCCGACAGGCGCCCGCGCCGTCCGCATCACGTCGCGTTGTCGTGCGCTTGACCTAAACACAGTGTTAATCGTACCTACATATATAATAATTACCTAACAACTAACAATTGCATAATAAAATCACTATCTATTTATTTACACGAGTATATGTTACTCTAATCCTTGTGTTGTTTTTGCCTTAGGGTTGAAAGAAACTAGTAAAACTACAGAGATTACTGATTTATTTATCCAGACCAATATAGGTTTTTGACAGAAACTCAAATTAATTTCATCTATTATAGGCATTTAGAACTCAAATATCTATTCTTAACTTTGATCGTGAGAGCCCTCTACTAAACTGCAAAACGGAACCGCGATCGAGTTTAATTCGATATTTCAAATTAGAAGTTACCGAATATCCTAGCTGATCCTGGATTTTACTCTATAATATCTAATTCTTTAACATGAGGTCAGTACCTATGTTCTTCTAGGGTAAACTACCTAACCTATACCTTTTTTTTAGGGGGGAAAATCATCCAATGACTTCTCCCGCCCGGGTGAGGCGGGAGGAAGTGTCAGACTCTTACTGACTAAAAACCACCCTGTTCCTACTCCTGCACTTCGAGCCGGAGCCCCGGCAACCCGTTAAGTCTTCCGCGGCTCCGTACCTAACCTATACCTAGGTATGTTATTCACACATATTATTTATGTACCTACTTAGTCTCTTAGGATAATTAGGAATTCCTTAATTAGTAAGTAGGTACTTATTTAAGAAAGTAGTGTTGCGATTATATTTATTCGTAATGCGAGTTAATATAATAGTATACACAGGTGCATAAGGATACTGCATCTAGAAGCCAGAAGGGGGAACAATACAATTTCTTGTTTAATAATAACACTATCGGAACAGCGGTTAATTCTAATACATCTACTTAAATCTATACGCTATATCAATTTTAAAAGGAAAATGTAAAACGTGTACTTATCAAACGCAATATTATTTTATCAAAGATATTCAAAAGATATTTTGCACGATTGGTTTGCGGAATGGTATTACTGTAGGTATTAAGTACTTTCTGATTCTTTGTAATAAACGTATTATAGTTTGTACAGATTGATGCTACCCTTTAAAAGAAACACGTCACGTTAAAAAAAGGAATACCTAACATACAACCCTTAAGATTTAAACTTACGGTAACAAACCAAATACTGACTGATATTATACACTCTGTATAATTACGACGGGCAGTTCTTTGGCTGAATGTAAGCGAAGGTCAAGAATTGAAATACATTCACATCCATAGTTAGCCACTTATACGGACCCAGCATGTGGCCGTCAAGGACGTGGTGGCAAGACACAGTTGAAACCGTTCAAGTGCTTGAGCTTCAGTCTCAAAAAAGTCAGTAGTATAATTTTGTAATGCCTAGCTGGTATTAATTTTGAAAGTCATAATGTCGCAAGGACGGCGTCTATCATATTAAACGATTGTTGTAAGTCTTGCTTAATGCCAAAGTTTCAATGTGTTTAACTGGTATGCGGTTGTCTGGCGTGTGTTAGAGGTGTCGGTGGCGGGGGTGCACCTATGTGTGGCGGCCTGGCTGACAAGTGGGTCGCGTTGTGAAACAGAGAGAGGTGGTTGGTGACGATGTCTGCGCAACAGCTGCAGCGGCGCGCGGTCCGGCTCACGCTCGACACCCGCGCTTTTCTCTCGCACACGCGAAGTATACGCAATCAATTGAAATTCCCGCGTTCACGTAGCTAATTGAAAGATAACACCTTAAAGATAGTCTTTGATGTACCTACCTACCTACCTACCCAATTATCACATTCCTTAGGTAATAATAGTACCAACCTATATTATCTACCCTTTCTTTGAACTTAGTACTTATCCTTAATTAATACCCAATTCTAATAAATGGTAATTATTTATAGTAAATACATAATAAACAACAGATTTACAATCATGTTGTCCCACTCTAGATATAAAACTTCCGGAGATAACACAACTAACTACCTACCTATACCAGTCTTAATTTGCAGAATAAGTGTCTTATCAAAATAATTATTATAAGTAAATCGTAGCATTAATGTAACATAATAACACAGTGACGACGCCGTCCCGATTGGCGCTAGTACGAGGAACTGCTTTGATCATGTGTATCGATAGAAGTGATAAAGGAAGATAAAAGAATATTTAATCTCAATTAAATAAACAAGGAATTCAAAAGTGAGCGTGGGGATTCACCAGACTATTAGTGTACCCGCTGTTGCCAATTTATCGTTACGTGCATTACATGTAGATAAGTAAAACCACCTTTGTACCACAACCACGTCTTTATATAAGTTGTCTGGCTTGGAGAACACACAATGTAGATTGTTTCACTTCTCCCGTGTGATGGATGGTCCACACTCAAGTAGTCTAACTCATTGCGCGACACTTAAGTGTCAAGAGATTTTCAAATCTCGTCTTGAACACATCGAGGTAGATCCTTATTTATCAAAACTTGTGTTCGAAGACTATATTCCGGTTTCCGGCTATATTTATAAAAATATTACATACATAAGGGTGGAATTAATAAACCTCCTTTTTTGAAATCGGTTAAAAACGATGAACGATGAATGGGCACAATACATTTAATTGCAAGGAATAATAATGCTATAAAAAGGAACAATTCACATAATTGTATTACGTCAAAAATATACGTACATGCATTTAACATTGGTACCTAAGTACTTAGCACCTGAACAAATATAGGTGCCTACTAACAACTAATTGTGACTAATAAAGAAACCGTAAAAGTTTAATTAACTGATAAACATAATGTTTTATGGTGTACAGTTTTTGAAGTCCGGTTATAAAGAAAATTATAAAACAGATCTGTCTACCAACCAAACTCTTTAATAAAAAAATTAATCAAAGCCAACTTTAAGGTCCTATTTTAATTTGGACCACGGCTACCAACTGAATCAAACTGTCAATGTAAAAAGGCTGCAGTCTGGTCAATTATTCTATATTATCTAATTCATTATTATATTTTATAAACCAACCGTCAAAAAATAGTGGAATCAGAGTTCAAAATCAGTCATAATTTTGAAGCCGAATTGAAATTGGACGTATGAGCATACCCAGTGTGAAGTATATCTCCAAGAGGAACAGAGTTGGGCCAAGAACAGTGCCCTGGGAAACGCAATAAATTGTCCTCAAACAAACTCAACTGGGTTAATCTATTTCTTATGTTCTCTATTATCTGGTATAAGGTGGGAACCACAGAAAAATGAAAAACAAATTTCTTAACTATGAAAATATAACCCGTACCACATGTTTTACCAAGGTCTTTTTTTAAGGGGGGAAAATCATCGAATTACTTCTCCCGCCTGGGTGAGGCGGAGGGGAGTGTCAGACTCTTACTGACTAAAAACCACCACGTTCCTACTCCTGCACTTCAAGCCAGAGCCCCGGTAGCCCATTAGATTCTCCGCGGTTCCGAATCGGCATCAGCCCTATTGGTCCCTTTTTTTTTTTTTTTTTGATGACGGGGGGAAACCTTCAAAAGGCGCCTAGCCTTTTTGGGGATAAAAGACTAGGGAGTGTGGGATTTTTACCTCACTAAAACCACCCCGGTGGCCACCCTCAACACCTGAATGGAGGCACCGGGTCCTCTATAAGAGACCTGCTCCGGCGCCTCCACGGTGCAACGCCTGTTACGACACATCCCTAGGGAGACGGGTGTCTCCTTTAAGCCTTGCTGTCTACGGCGGCACGTGACCACTGTGCCACCGTCTTCCCTGAGACCACAAGGTGGGCACCTAGAGTCCCCACTCTACGCACCCGTGGCCCCAAAGGTCCGCCTGAAGTTTATGCAGGCGGGATTTCGGCGTGTTAGGCATCAAGGTGGTTACCTCCTCGACGCCTTCTACGAGCAGGATCGGACCTCTCGCGACCCCGCTCACCAGCTTCCTTTTGGGACATTACAGTCTCACAAAACGAGACTACTTCCCTCCAATTTTCTGTATCTGCCAGCATAGCCTTAACTACGGCTGGCAGAGACAGGTCTCGCCCGATCTTGGCAACCAGGACCCGCCGCTCAGAGGCCCATGCTGAGCACTCCTCGAGCGTGTGCTGTGCGGAATCCAGGTCACCCCCGCAGTGGTAGCAATTTGTCGTGGCCTCTCGCCCAATCCTGTTTAGGTACTCACCAAAGCAACCGTGACCGGTCAGCACCTGAGTAAGCCTGAAGGAGACGCGCTCCTCTCTCTTCAGCCAGACTTCGAAGTGCGGCAGAATGGCTTCGACAACGCGCTTACATGAGATCTCCGGCTTTTGTAGCCGCTCACGCCACCGTTCAAGCGCGTGTCGCCTTTCCTGCCGCCTCAGCCTAACGAACGCCACTCTTGGCAGCCCTATTGGTCCCTATCCGTGGTGATCTGACGGCTCTTTGAGGCCCGCGCAGAACGCGACGCGCCGTACGGGTTTACCAAGGTCTTTTTTTTTTTTTTTTTTTTTTTTTTTTTTAAGGGGGGAAAATCATCGAATGACTGCCCCCGCCTGGGTGAGGCGGGAGGGAGTGTCAGACTCTTACTGACTAAAAACCACCCCGTTCCTTCTCCTGCACGTCGAGCCGGAGCCCCGGTTACCCGTTAGGTTCTCCGCGACTTCGAATCGGCATCGGCCCTATTGGGCCCCATCTGTGGTGGTCTGATGGCTCTTTGAGGCGCGCGCGGAACGCGACGCGCCGCACGCTCGGGTCTGTTTCTGGTCGGACGGGGAGCCACCCATGCTCGCCGTCCGCAGGCCCGCGCTTACGGTGGCCGGAGATCGTCCCGCGATCCCCGACGCCCGGTGTGTCCTTCGCGATGGCTGGGTTGCGAGGAGGCAGCGCTTCGCTGCCTCACGCGTCCCGCCTCCTCCTTAGCTAGCATGACTGCTTCGCAAAAGGAGGAGACGGCATCCCAATCCCCCTCGCTCCGCATCATGGCCTGCACTAGGCCCGGACGCGAGAGGTCGCCATCGCCGATCACTTCCCTGAGGACACGGCGGTGCTCAGCCCACGAAGGGCATTCTCCCACCGTGTGTTCCACCGTGTCCTCAGGGCGGTCCTCGCAGTGATGACACCCGGGCGTTTCCTCCCGCCCCATCAGACACAGGTACCTCCCGAAACTGCCATGTCCGGTGAGGACCTGCGTCAGGCGGTAGGTGAGGACGCCGTAGCGTCTCTCAAGCCACTCCTCAAAGAGGGGACTTACCGCTGCGATGGCAGCGAGCCCATTTACCAAGGTCTAGGAATATTTCTTTTTACTTTTTCCTATATATTTTTATATGAGGTAGGGATTTAAGTAGTACCTTAAAAAGAAATCGGTTAGCTAATAAAAAGTACGTATATGTATACCAAATAGTGGTGCCATCAAGAGTAGATTATTTGTTATTCACAGCTAAAAACCAGTTTTATAAATGATTTCGTAAAGTGAACTAAATCGTATTTCATCATTATGTTTTGTATACATAACATAATATCACGCCTTTTATCCCCGAAGGAGTAGGCAGAAGTGCACTTAATGTCACTGTTCCCACAATGTAACACCCACTGTTCACTATTTATGTTATGAGTCCCACGTAATAGGGGGTGAGCCTATTGGCATATTATTATACCGGGCACAATTGGAGACTCCGATCTACTACTAAGATTTTTAAAAACCCAGTAATACATTTCTCGACCCGGGAATTGAATCCGAGACCCGAAGCCGTCGCACTTGAGACCACTCGGCCAACGAGGCAGTCATTGTATGAAACGTTACGTATCTGAGAAATCATGACGTGCGAATAAGTTAATAAGCTACCCATAGCTGTTTTGTTTCACTTATGTCCACAAAATAGAGGAAATTAAAAACGTTTCCGGCCCTATTATCTTTTGTTATGTTAGGTTAGGTAATAAGAAATATGAGAGTTGAGAGGTATTTCCATGTATACCAACTTCGATGAATTCATTGTCATTCTGATGATGTGCTAAAATTCTAAAAGAAAACTTGATACAGCCAAGTAATTATTAAGTAGTAAGGTACCTAGTGCACATTTTTAATGGGTACTGCTAGAGGTATAGTGAGCTTGTGATCAGGATTCTTGCGATTATCAGCAACAGCGGAAGCATCTGCATTAATCAATGCTGTGCCAAATATTAACGCTATGTAAGGGCTCGTACACAAAACTGCGATGCGATGCGATGCGAATTCGCAACACATAAAAATATGATGCGCATTGTTGCGATGCGATTGCTTGCGACAAGGCGTCTCCCAGGATGACCATTCCTTCGACGACCGTCAACCGTACTAAACGTAGGTATTTTAAACTGACACGGATCGTAAAAAGAAGTGTGCACTTTTATCATTGGTTAGGATTAGGAGATGGAGATACAGTAGACAGAGACTCCAACAATCTGGAGAAGCTTGTGGTTGTTAGTCTGGTTAACGGGAAAAGACCTCGTGGTCGCTCACCTACCCATGCCGGTGGTTGGATGTCGTAAAAAACCTAACTGGCTTGACAGTTCCACAAGCCATAAAAACCGCAGAGGACAGCGGCGTTTGGAGGAGGGTTGTGCATCAAGTGAAGCGTGCACCAGACTAGACACGAACTTCAGTAATGAAGAGAACGACTAGGAAGGAACGGAGATTCAGGAAAAAGAAACAAAGATTTTGGGAAGATAAGATTTTGATGCGCGATGCGAATCAATTCGAAGTTCTTGCGATACGTAGAGGGAGCTCGCACATTTTTGCGATGCGACGTCGCATCGCAGTTTTGTGTACGAGCCCTAACATCATATTATATTGCATTACCAGTATTTCATCACTTACATTATGTTGGGAAAATTGTTTAACAGAATCATCTGTCGATCTTACTGATTTCGTAATCGAAAGTTTGCGAAATATTATCATGTCTTCCGAGGTGAGACATCTTTCTTTCTCGAAACATCTATTTATAAGTAGGTAGTAGGTAGGTATTATGATTTTATCTATTCACTTATTTTATTTTTATTATTCGCCTTCGCCTTTTTTAATATCTACATACTTGTTTTAAAATATTCAAATGGATTTAGCTTTTATCCGCTCGCTCTAACAAGTTTATCGGTCTGAAGGTCATTTTCGGTGACCATTAGAATATAAATATATTAAACTTTTACAGACAACGTCAGTATTAAAATGTTAAATATGGAATTAAGGCATTTAATACTACGCACGTATTGAAAGATAATTAATATATATTAAAAATTTTAACGAAAGCAAACGACTTCTAAAATATATCTTTTTAAGGGTGAAATCATCGAATGACTGCTCCCGCCTGGGTAAGGCGGGAGGGAGTGTCAGACTCTAACTGACTAAAAACCACACCGTTCCTTCTCCTGCACATCGAGCCGGAACCCTGGTAACCCGTTAGGTTCTCCGCGACTCCGAATCGGCCTAAATTAGGTAGGGTATCTCTTTTTCTTCTTTCTTAATTCGGTTATTAGCAAACGATATGCTGTGTAGTAGGTAGGCTTTGTTTTTCAGGATATTGGACGAAAGTAAGTAAATCCTTATTGCTTTACTTTTGACCTTCTAATGATCCCCGTGTGTAACAAACATGAGTAGACAATATAGAAAGAAGGTATTTAGCAACTGTAGGTATACATACGAACAAGAACAACTTTCTTTTTACAAGGTTAGCACTAGCAAACAATGCAGTCCGGAAACAAACAAGCGGAAAATTGTATAGGTAGGGACAGAAATTATTATCATTCTGCTTTTTTGGTGCAGTCGTCTTACCTACGTTAGTTAGTCTTGCAAACTGTCGAGTAAGCAGGATCAGATTTGATTCCGGAGTCTGACAAATTTTCTATATCCAAAATTATTCTCAATAATAACAGGGAGTTATGACTACACGAATGGGTATTGCCCATTGCCCATTCGTGTAGTACGTTATTCTTTTGGGGAAAATCATCGAATGACTGCTCCCGCCTGCGTGCGGCGGGAGGGAGTGCCAGACTCTTACTGACTAAAAACCGCCCCGTTCCTTCTCCTGTACGTCGAGCCGGAGCCCCGGTTACCCGTAAGGTTCTCCGCGACAAGTTCGTCGTTTAACTGCCAATTTTTCAATCGTCAGTTAATTCATAACTGTAGAATAAAATTGACATTTGACAGTTATTAGTATCCATGGAAGAATTGTCAAATATGTTAAATAGGTTCAAAGTTATTCCTTTGATAAAAACTGAGCATTGAAAAATCGGCCCTAAGAAGTATTAAGCAAATAATAGTGATAACTTTTGGATCATACTTAATCCAATATGGGTAGGTACTTATACTTTAATACATAAAGCTGAAGAATTTGTTTGTTTTAACGCGCTAATTTCTGGAATTACTGGTTCGATTTCAAAAATTCTTTGTTTTGTATAGCCCATTTATCGAGGAACAGTATAGGCTATAAAACATCACGCTACGACCAATAGGAGCTGAGCAGAGCGGGTGAAACCGCGCGGAAGTAGCTAGTTTAGTAATATTTATGTACAAAATATTTTTATATTTTAAATGTTTCAGGGCAATAATTCATTATTTCATAGTTTGGGAAATGGCCTATATCATGTTAGTCTGTTGTTAGTCATGGACTACACTCTCCACTAATGTACATCCATTAGTAGGGTAGTCCACCACCTTTTATAGGTTTTGATAATGTAATGACTAAGATCCGAGATTTCCTATTAATTATTTTCTTATACCTTAATTAGCTATCTTTGCAGAAATAAAACCAACATAGAAATATTGAATGAACATATATTTTCCAGATAAAGTAAATTAGCATGTTATTGAAAATAAACTCTGTTGTTAATCCTGATAGTTTTATATTCAATTACATAACAAAAAAAATGCTTTATTGCGGCTTATCAATGTAAAAAATAGATACTGATATCGTAACATGACATTTTAAAAGTTTTCAGTTTGAGGAAGAAAAGCATTTATTGTGAATAAATTCCATTTCTATTCACACAGAGCTGAATAATTAGAATCAAGAGATCATGGTACGACTCAGATCCTATCTGCGCCTGTATGTGGACAAATGGCGACATTCAACATAAAATCAGCAAAAAATACTAAATTGATACACATACATATACACGTCAAGAAAATTACAAAGGTACTTACTTATTTTAAGAATGAAGTAATATAGCGAGGAAACACTATTAACATAAAAGTAGTTTTATTTCCGAAGTGTTGCGTTTCTGATAATATGTACCGGGTAAAATTAGTGGTTACAATTAGCTATAGGTACTGTCATATCAGATTAATAAATAATTGTGTAGTGTGCGTTTCGATAGCATTACAGTGGATGTATGTAGGTACTAGGTACTACTGTGCGGTCTGTAGAAAACTACTTAAGGATTGCCAACACAGTTAACTAGTCAAACGTTACAAGTAACATTCGATTTTGACGGATTTCATCCTTTTATTGTACACAACTTTGTAAATAAATAAATAGACAACTAGATTTAAAAATTGAATATATTTAATATCAAAAATATCTATTCTAAAATTTTTGACTAGCAATTAATTTAGATTAAAAAATAAAATAAACAATAGTAATAAAGAAGATAGGTATTTTTCACTTTTTAATTATAAAAATTAAGGTAATTATAATTTAAGGGAGAGCACTATAGTACCTACATTCCGAATAAACAATAATTTTAATAAAAACAACAAAGTACAACACAAGAAGAACACAGAAGAAAGTGCAGGTCCCCAAGTTACACTGCATTGATAAGCATTAAATAAATTTATACTTTCAGATACTCGTCTACTTCGAGGAAATACAACTATGAAAATTTAACGTCAGTGTAATCGCTCGTTATCAAATTCATTAAGTGCGTTCTTATCTCACATTTCCTTGTTTTCAAACTTAATCGAAAACTAGATTTGAAATGAATGGTGGTTGAATCTAATTCTTTGTAAATGTGACATACAATTCGGCGTTACAAATGTTGAACTGATGTAGTTACAACGTTACGTTACACACCATTATTGACTCTAAAGTATTTCAAACATTGTTAGACACATTAAATTATAATTATATATAATATGTAACTTATTCTAATACGATAGATTCATTATATATAGGTACATCAATTTCAATGAATCATATATTAATAATCTAAATCTAGCACATAGCAACTCTAATGTATATACAAATTCTACATATAGATAGGTACATACTAAAAATCTCAATAGAATGTGATGTACAAAAAATTAACCAACCCTTTGGACTGAAGAGTAAAAGCAGGATTAGTAGACGAATTACATTCGTCTTCCTACCTGCCTGAGTATCTATTCGGAGTCTCTATTTATAGCTACCTACAGACCACAGGTTGATTTCCTTTCAACAAATATATATTTGTTATAAAATTCAAAGAAATATAACAATCTGATCGAAATATTTTTTTAACTCTCGACTATCAGATTATTGATAAAATGTAACCTTATCACGTCATAACATCTGTAAAAATAATTTTTAAAACATGGAAAATAAATTTTGTTGATATAAAGATAGTAAATACTTATCGTACATAGTATTTCATTATACATTTAATATTTTAAGTAACAAACTTAGAATTATTCAAGTTGGTAAATTGGTATTTAGTATTTACACATTTTCCAGAATCTGATTAAAAATATCCGTGTTCTAAATTAGTAATCTTTCTTTTCTCAGATTTAATGACTATGTAGACATTATAAAATAAAAAGTACAGTACGTCATCAGGCTCACTATAAAAGCAAATACGAAAAAAATGTGGTAATAACGTTGATAGATATTGACATACATTTGAGGATGTCCGTTACATATAGTTCAATAATAAAGTTTAATAATTATATTATCAGCTTAGTAGTATGTACAGTTGGCAAGTACTGATGATCTTATCCTTGTAAAACTAAACAGACATTATTTTGTTTGCAATTTATTGACATACGGCGATACGGTATGTGCAGATGGTAAGTTTGCAAGCGAGAGGCATGGCCTTGATCCGTCTAGTCTGTAAATTCATAATAGCTATTAAAATGCTAAGCCCAAACAACTAGGCGCGTATTGACAAAGTAATGGAATGTCAATGGAACTCTTTAGTTAGAATATCGATTCCAAGTTTCGGAATGTATAAAAAATATCAGGAAACAAAGCAATTAAAATATATATAAACATGACTTTACAATCAGTTCCTTAACATTACTAGCACTGTTACACATTATGTGCCTAGTTTGGTACATCGACCGATGAGTTTCAATTCATCAATCATGCATAATGATGAGCTAATCTCAAAATCCCAATCATTCGTTAAAAAACTCTCAGTATAACCAAAGTATTGTCGAATTTATTTCACAACAATATTATCCACACTCTTTTGGTCCATTACTGAGTAATCATATTTTTTCGTCAACTGTTAACCATCTCTGACTTAACTATACATACATTGCTATCAACTATAGCTGTGCGGAGATGCTTATATAGTATGAAGCTACCTCTACTCCACTGTAACCGATTTAGCGAGATTGCGAGGACAGTCGACGTTGCAGTCACGTAAAACAGCGATATGGTACGCGAGAAGCTGCATAGGGATGACTGACAGGACTCCTTGGAGGCAGTCAACTGTTTTAGGAATTTGAAGACACCTCGACGCGAAAGCCATTGTGTCTTTATCACCTTCTTCACAAATAAGGATTGGACGGCCTTGGCGGGCAGTCACTTGTTGAAGTGCATTCATGCATTTTGTGTATACCGGGTCGCGCATTACGATCATGACAACTGGCATCGAGTCGTCAATTAATGCCAGCGGGCCGTGTTTAAGTTCGCCGGCCATAATACCCTCGCTGTGCATGTACGTCAATTCTTTTACTTTCAAGGCACCTTCCAGGCAAGTGGCAAAGTTGTATCCGCGACCCATGATTAGTAGAGACCGTTGACGGTAGAGATCTTCAGCTAGTTTTTTCACTTCATTATCTAAAGCTAGCACCTGTCGAATCTTGGTGTCCAATTGATGGAGACCTTCAATTATATCTGCACGTCTTTTTTGCAGTGAAATACGATCTTCGCTGATTACGAGAGCAAACATTACTAAAGATACAAACTGTGATGTGTAGGCTTTTGTAGACGCGACACCGATTTCAGGGCCCGCGTTGATGTGCACTCCGCAATGAGATTCGCGACAGATGGAACTTCCCACAGTGTTAGTTATACCAACAATGAGGGCACCATGACGTTTGCAGTATCTAAGAGCCATGAGAGTGTCTGCAGTTTCTCCAGACTGAGATATGAAGAAGCAAACATCATCACGGAACACAGGTGTATTCCTGTCTAAGAAGTCAGAAGCCAACTCCACCATTACAGGCAGCTCGGTTAACTCTTCCAGGAGCTGCCGAGTAGCCACAGCACTGTGGTAGCTCGTTCCACATCCTATTAACATCAATCTTCTGCATCGCTTTATTTCAGGAATGTAATCTTTAATGCCTCCTAAAGTCACTGTGCTGTCAGCAAAGTTAAGACGGCCTCTCATGGTATTTACAATAGACTCTGGCTGTTCGAAGATTTCCTTTTGCATGAAGTAGTCATAGTTGCCTTTCATAATTTGTTGTAGTTCAAGCTTCAGAGTGAAAATTTCCCTCTGATGTGGGTCTGTGCTGCTTCCAGAGAGACGGTGAATGCTGAGGACACCATCTTTGATATGAGCAACATCATCATCTTCAAAGTAAAGCACTCTGTTGGTGTGTTCAATTACAGCAGAGGCATCAGATGCAAAGAAATACTCAACTTCTCTTTCTTCCTCAGGTTGGAAGTGAGCGTGGCTGTTCACTCTGGGAACAGAGGGCACCACACCACGGGTTGCCTTGTTGTTTGTGTACATAATTGGTACATGGTCACTGGAGAGACGACGACGAGTTTTGATTCCCACAAGCAAAGGGCTACCACGGCGGGTTGCCACACACTCATTTGGAAAATACCGAGATTTGAAGCACAAAGCAAAAGCACCTTCTAATTGCTGAATTACCTGTTCTGCTAACTCCTGGAAACTGTAATCTTTGTGCTGGTTGTACAGGTGATGAATCAGCTTGGCAATGGCCTCCGTATCAGTTTGGGATTCAAAGATGTAGCCCTTGTTCTCAAGAAAAGTTTTAACTTCCTTATAGTTAGTGATGATTCCATTATGAATAACAACGAAAGCGTTGTCTTCGCCAGATCTCTGAGGATGAGAGTTGACAGCGCTGGGTTCACCGTGAGTAGCCCATCTCGTGTGTGCGATGCCGCAGTGCGATTCCACACAGTCTTCTACTGATAGATCAATGCTGTGCTCCTGCAACAATTCTTCCAGAGCGGCTACTTTGCCACTTCGTTTGAGGACAGCTATGTCTTTCTGATCAGCGGCGTCTACAGCTACGCCTGCTGAATCATACCCACGGTATTCCAATCGTTTCAATCCAGTAACTAACAATTCTAATATTTCTCGCCTAGTTTTAGGCGTTAGGTGATTAATATATGCAAAAATTCCACACATCGTAAACGAAGCAGAACGTTATAATGGACCCGAGCGTACAAAACCACGGTTCGCGGCAGACTGCAGTTGCTACAATACACAACAGATATTGAAGGCCTACGCGTATCGCTCCTACCACTAATAAGTTACTTTCACTTACGGCAAAGCACACGTCATCGTGTTTCGTTATCAACACCTCACTGCTAACGTAAGTAAATAATCAGCGGCGAAAACTCGACCACCTCACAAAAACTTCATAAATCGAAATGTCAAAAATAATGTCACTAATGTCAGTGTCAGCTGTCAATTGTCATACGTCTCATGTAGTTTGAATACTAGTATTTTGAGTTTGTCCTGTATTCTACAGGGGCATAATTGCTGTATCTGCCGTATCAATTGTACGGGGTCCCCAGCGTGCGTAAGCAATCTTAGTTATTTTCTTTATCATTGGTGCTCAATCCTCCTCCAAGCATCCCCTGTCCTCTGCGGTCTTAATAGCTTATGGAAATGTCATGGGGTTTTTATAGCATCTAACCAACGGGTACGTGAACAACCGCAAGGTACCCGGAGCGAGGTGCGTAAGCAAAGTTAATAACAACTGCTTAATTACTTTTCCAACTTAATTCAGAAATCATAAAATTCAAAATAAGCAATTTATTTTTGTCCCTCGTAAAGCATGCTTTAAAAATTGGTAGATCTCAGATTCCAATAGTAGGTAATTTAATACTTTCATTATAATAAAGGTCTCTTTCCATATTGAAGCAAATAATTTCCTTTTTCTTGTATAGAAGCACAATTTTTATGGATTGTCAGTATGCATATGTTAAACTGAATGAGTTTATTATTTTTTGGTATTAAGTTATGGTTTTTCGTTTTTTTTAGTAAGTTTTGAAATTAGTCATTCTCAAATATAGCATAGCATTAACCTAGAACTGTCCATAATACAGTGAAACCTGGTTAAGTGAGACATCAAGGGACCTGCAATGTCGTTTCACTTATAGAGGTATTCCACTTACCCAGTGTCTCAGATATACAGGTATAAATAAATACCTGTCTCATTTACAGAGGGTTCCATTAATATAGGTGGACTTGGAATTGCGTGTGGAATTTATGGGTAGAATAAGAATGAGTAAACAAACAATGTTATCTCAGTTACAGAGGTTTATGCATATAAAATTTACTCGCTGTCTCAGTTATAGAGGTAGCTATGATGGTAAATCGAAAGAACAAATCCAAGATATAGAGGTTTACCTCGTCCCACTAACAGAGGTTATTCAGTGCCAAAGTGTTGGGACCTCAGCATGAGTTCCAGTTATGGAGGTTTCTCACTTATCCAGGTCCCACTTAACCAAGTTTCACTGTATAATGGGATTTAAAAATCAAATCAAAATATAAAATTCTAATGTTACCGTACGTAAGTTATGGTAACATACCGGTACTATACCGAGCCTCTTCTTATACACTTTTAATAAACTATTCACGACAAAATCTAACTCTCAGCCGTCCTTGCTCTCAACAATGGAAATAACAGAATATTTATTTTATTTATTTTTAAGTTTAGAATGAACGCCTGCAAGTGCTGGCTGCAAACCCCCAATAATCTACGATTCATGGTTCATTTTGAATTACCTACAGATGCTTATCGTTTTGGGCCCGGGTCAGTGTGTTTGGTGTAGATTTAGATCTCGACTACTGATTTTGGACCGAGAGATCAGAGATCGGTAGGTAAAAGGGTCGGTCATTCCTGCATCCCGCTCGTCACTCATAACTTTGTCCCTTTGGTGAGAAGTGGGAACTTTATTTAAATAATTTTGCCATGTGGCACCCCTGATGAAGAATGGGAGTTTTGGTTTTGAAATCTTATTGATCACACTCACACCTGACACAAAAATACCTCAGCTTGTTGCGCGGCGGTATCTAATAGTTTATAATTCATGTATTTGTAACGGCATAGCAAGAGATACTTATTACCTAACAGTAGGATATGGTATAACTATGTTCAATAAAGGCCCATAGGTAATGAATGACCTAGGTCTTTTATTTATTTGGCCTACGCAACCTCCCGGTCTGGTAAAAGATTTTGCATGGTAAAACATTTGCCTTCAGTCAGAACACTAACCGTTAAGATTTCGTGGCATTCCAACGTCTTGACATGACGACGGCCTTATTCCATAGTAGGTATTAACACCGACCGCCAGAGTCTATTCAAGCCTGCCGTAAGCGGGCGTGCAAAGCGTGTGCTCATGATCGTGCTCCCGTGAGAGCGACAAATCGACTCATTACCTACTATTCAAAATTATTGCCCAGAGTCAGCAGAAAGCAAAAGAAATATCATCACCGGGAAAACATCCCACTCAACGCAAGCAATATTATCGTTATGACTATCTATTTTCATCTCATCAGTTAAGAATAAGACTAAAGCCTTCTGTCCCAAAATCGAAGCGAGAGAGAGCTAAAACTCGTTACTCGACTAAAATTCTAGCGCAGTGCAAACAAGGCTTCAGATGCAATACCAAACTTGGAATCACCCGAAAATTGTTCACCGCCTGCTCCTGTTCAGTGGCGCACTAAATTCTATACAAGTCCAAACCGACTAAAGATTTAGTCGGTTTCTATAAATGGTAGGACTTGTAAAATTCGGAGATCTATCTCCTTCTAAGCTTATTAGCGCCCTATACCGGTCAGTGATGCCCTAAATTCGAAGTCTATCGAGCGTTCTTGAAACCAATGGAGTGTCCTCGATCACTTTCGAAAGTTTCTCGAAAACTATCGTCGTCCTCTATCACACTCGAGAGATAATCGAAAACCATCGAGTATCCTCGAGGAACATGGAGCGTCCTCGATCACTTTCCAAGAGTTACTCGAGAGCCATCGAGCGTCCTCGAAAATTATCGAGCGTCCACAAAAACCATCGAGCGCCGTCGATAACTTTCGAGAGTTACTCGACTATCGAGCGTCTGCGAACGGCAAGGCTCAACACCTGACAAGTACCAGACCCGAGTGTACGTCGCGTCGGGTAAAATGCGGGCCTCAAAGAGTCATCACACCGCCATAGACGGGGCCCACCAGGATTGGTGCCTTGCTGGAGAGTAGGTTTTCATATGGGTATTGAGGCCCAGGCTTTGATTAAGTGTTGGAAGAGTCATTTGATGACATTTTACCCACATAACAAAAAGAGGGGCGGCACAATCGGTATTTGCACGCGGGGGCGCTCGAATAGATAGCGGCGGGCCCGTATCTATTAACAAAAATTTTAATCTCCATCATCCGCCGTCCCGAACTGAGTTTGCCTTTAAAGCATCTACCTGAAGGTATTTCGTAATATAAAAACAGGTTATACCAGTAGCTTCTTTATTGGTTTTATCAGGATCAAGGTCTTTACAAAATTATTGAAAAAATTACAAAGTTACATTTAGCTTAAAATGAGTCGAGTTTGTTTTCCGTATGTAAGGATATCTAAACAGTAGATAGATTAAATAAGGAGATTATATAATATTGAATAGGGTTAGTTGAAATATTGGATATTCAAACCCTCTGAAGTCAAAATTAAGTCATTCTATTTAAATACTAGGAACCGAAATTCGTTACCTACGCCTTACAAAGTTTTCAAATTTTCTATCATTACGTTTTTAACGCTTTAGTCATACTGCTAACTACGGAGGAATGATTTACAATCAAATTCCTTCAATAACTACTCTGATGTTAACTTTACAATAATCTTCGACCGTAATAATGTGAAACAAGCAGATTATACTTACACATATAGGTACGTATCTAGATGTCTTAATAAAAACAGATACAATGAATTTCATTCATTAATACAAATTAGAACAATTTTATTACGAAAAGATGAAAACATTAAGACATTTTAGAATTATTAAGAGTGGATAGAATAAATGTCATTTTAATTTTATTATGAAACAAAATTATAATACCTAACAGAATGATCAAGAAGTACAAATCGACGGGAGTACCAGGATGATGACACTCACGAAGCAGTCATAGAATTCTGTGCATGGGAAACGTTTACAAATAACCAATGCATTGCTTTTCCTCCTAAACTCCTTGCGATGGAAAAATAAAACGTAACGAGCTTTCAGATACGGAAACTCAAACTTGGCGAGTAACTTACGACTAAAATAATCATAAAGATATAAACTTAACATGTAAGCGTAACTAAAACGAACTAACTTTAATAATATCGTGCTATGATAAATGCATACGTAGAGGACGAGCGTGATGTCACCAGTGAAGAAGCTCCGATTGCGGGGAGACACTAGGGGGGGTCGTACACGGCTAGGACTCAACAGCGACAACGGGTAGCGGGCAGTAATGCGCTCTCCGCAGCCATCGTCCGCGACCGCGTACGGCTCGCGCGCGGTGGTTGCCGGTTGCACTACGTTGTTTAGGATGCCCCATAGTTATTTTTTCTTCTGGGCCTTCTCGGCAGCCTTAGTAATTTTGCCTGTTGTGACTTCCTTGAAGGTTACGCTCTAGAACAAATAATTATTTATTTTAATTTATAGTGGATAAAAGTTCTGAAATATGACATGTGTCATTCCTTAAGTTAGAAAGAAAGAAAAACCGTTTATTAATTTTGTTTTATTATTTTAAAAAGTGGGTAAAACTATGTAGCTATAGGTAGACATTTTTACTAATGAAATACAATACCTTGATGACTCCTACGGCGACGGTCTGACGCATATCACGCACAGCAAAACGGCCCAACGGCGGGAACTCTTGGAACGACTCTACACACAGCGCTTTAGTCGGAACCAGAGTCACTATGGCTGCATCACCCGACTTTATGGACTTCGGGTCCACCTCCGTAGTTTTACCTGTGAATGAGTTTCGGCTGTAGTAAAGCAGCTGACGACGCTAGATTGTGATTTACTCGAGCATTGTATTATGTACCAGTACGGCGGTCGCACTTTTCCTTGATCTCGGCGAATTTGCAAGCGATGTGCGCCGTGTGGCAGTCCAGCACAGGCGTGTAGCCGTTACTTATCTGACCTGGATGGTTCAGCACGATCACCTGGACCATTCATACAACTTGGTAAATTAACGTGACAACCATTTGCTTAAAAATTGATAAATTAACATGACAATAAAATTGAAGATGTAAATAATTCGAATTCACTCTCCATTTTTGGGAGTACCTGTTTTCATCTACATTTGTAACCGTCTTTGCCATAAGCAGCTATTTGCAGTCGGAGCCCTTGCCCACGGCCTCTCTCCTACCCGAAGGACCGACAACTTTTACGACAGAACCACACCTGCTACACGTACGATTCCCGTACGGAGCAAATATGTGTGATTCACAATAAATTGTGGTTTCGAGTCTGGGTGTCATGTGTATGTGAACTTGTATTTCTAAACGCACCCACGATACAGGATAAAAATCTAGTCGTAGTCAACATAAAAAAAAGAAACATTAGAAAAGGGCAACGAATCATTGTGTGCCCAAGGGCCGCACCGTAGTCTAAGACGGCCCTGCTTACATTAACGCTCACGAAATACAAAGATATTTGGATATGTTTTATTATACCTATCGACATGATACTCGTGTTAGATAGGTGAATAATTAAAAATAAATAAAATGTCATGTAAGTACCTATATAAAATCTATTCGAATCTACAGTAAATTGTGTGATTGTAAATTTCGCAACATGTGCCAGCAATCAACAGTTGAAACAACTGCAAACCATGTTAGTACAATGTACTCAATAAAGTAAGCACAAGGTCAACCGATAACATTCATTATAAAGTTGATAGGCAATACTGCGACAGGAAATTAGGGGACATATTATTATTGTAAATACAACTTTAAACTAAGTTACAAAGAGGAGGGCATTTATTTAAATATTTAGAATGCACCGGTAGGACTGTTGGCCCTGTACCTATTGCTTAAGTAGGCTTCTCATTATCGATCAGCAACTGTGTGCTTTGTATCAAGTACCTATTTATATAATAAAATTCAAGTGTATGTTTAAAGGATTGAACTCAATTATAACAAATAATAATATTACCTGAGCCGTAAAATCAGAAGCACCTTTCGGAGGGGCGTTCTTGGAATCACCAGCGACATAGCCGCGACGCAGCTCCTTCACAGAGACGTTCTGCAAATATTTTATACGTATCACTATATTAGGCAAAATGGGATAATAAATAATTGAACTCTTACCGATCCTGAAGTAGAACCTACTTTTTTTCTTCTTTTCTATACCTAGTTCTTACGAATGGCCCGTACCTTAACATTGAATCCCACGTTGTCTCCTGGCATGGCTTCCTGCAGAGCCTCGTGGTGCATCTCCACTGATTTCACCTCAGTGGTGATGGCAGCAGGTGCGAACACCACCACCATTCCTTTACAAAGTTATCGAAGGATTTGTATAGATTTGTCTTTTAAGCAGTTTGGGAATGTCATGCAGGTATCGTGGATGTAGAATACCGAGGCCTTAGTATGAGTTTGTTACAAACACACAAACTCGTACTAAGCCCTCTGGTCGGACCGTCGTATACAAAGCAGTTACTTTTGGAACTAGTTAATCTTGGTCCTGTTGATACTTACCAGGTTTGAGGATTCCAGTCTCAACTCGCCCCACGGGAACTGTGCCTATACCTCCTATCTTGTACACATCCTGGAGAGGCAAACGCAGCGGTTTCTCCGTAGGTCGGGATGGAGGTTGAATCGCGTCCAAAGCCTGTATTCAATTCATCATGACATTCATTTATTTCACCTTGTTTTTTCTTATCAAAGTGTTTATTTGAAACAATATCTAGTAATGTTACTTCAGCTCATCTGCCCTTTCAAAGAGAGTGGTTGCTATAGCGAATGTACGATCACACTAAAAGGTTAAGGACTTATTCGAAAGGAATGAGATGAAAGTAGCCAATCGAAAATCTATGCGCTTCGTCGGCTTTGTGTAGGTTGAAGTTTATTTATGAATTTATGACTAAGCAAACCTAAAATTGTAAAAAAATAAAAGTCCCTAGGTAGGTTTGGGTACATTGATGGTTATTCTGCATAGGTACGTTGGTAATATAAAATTATGAAAAAAAATTAGCTTACCTCAATCAGGGTCTTGCCCTCGACCTTGCCTTCCTTGCGGTCGATGGTCCAGCCCTTGAACCAGGGCATTTTGTCAGAGGGCTCCAGCATATTGTCGCCGTGCCAGCCAGAGATTGGCACGAATGCCACCGTGGCGGGGTTGTAACCTGGCGTATCAAATTTATATAAATCTGCGTCTTTTGTGTTGGTAATAATGATGTACAGTACATTAAGTGAAGAAATGAATATAAGAGTGCGCCTGTTTTAGGAAGAACAGTAAAGAATGTTTTATGGGATAGAGCGACAAACGAGTACACCGATCGCTTGCTAGCAAGTATTCAGTGCCGCCCATAGACACCCACAACACCAGAGAAGTCACAAGTCAGCTGTCGACCGTTTGGGGGTCAGGGATTTGGGGATTAGAGACCTAGGGACTGAGGATGAGAGCGGAAGGATTAAATTTCCAGTAACCTCACTTACACCGACATTACTCTAAACATTAATATCTAATAATTAGAACGTACCAATTTTTTTGATATAAGAAGACACTTCTTTCTTGATTTCCTCGTAGCGTGCCTCGTGGTATGGTGGTTCAGTGGAGTCCATCTTGTTAACGCCAACGATAAGCTGTTTGACACCGAGGGTGAAGGCGAGAAGAGCATGTTCGCGTGTTTGTCCATTCTTGCTGATACCCGCCTCGAACTCGCCTGTCCCCGCAGCCACAATCAGAACCGCGCAGTCGGCCTGATACATATAACACCATTGTACCCCATATTCCAGATTTCTAAGAGATTTTGTTAAAATGAATATAATATCTTACCTGGGACGTGCCGGTGATCATGTTCTTGATAAAGTCTCTATGACCGGGCGCATCGATGATTGTTACGTAGTACTTGCCTGTTTCGAATTTCCACAGCGCTATGTCAATCGTGATACCTCTCTCACGCTCAGCTTTTAGCTTGTCTAATACCTATGAATTTAAACACGAATAATATAAAACTTATTATTAAACATTTTATGTACCATCCTAATACCTTTGTAGGTAGGTACCTACTTCTAGGAATAGCTAGGCAATTCTATAAGATGTCGATTCGAACTCTCGAAGTGAGCTCGATCGCGGTCCGTCATGTCATTGAGTGTGACTAATGCCGACCAATGACAAGCGATAATGCGATCAAGCTCACTTCGAGAGTTCGAATCGGCATCTTACAGAATATCCTAGTTAGGAAATATTCGACAAGATCCTGAACAAATGTTAAGCATTAAGGCACATACCCAAGCATACTTGAAGGAACCCTTGCCCATTTCCTGAGCCTCCTTTTCGAACTTCTCGATAGTCCTCTTGTCGATGCCGCCACATTTGTAGATGAGATGGCCAGTGGTGGTGGACTTGCCCGAGTCTACGTGGCCGATAACCACAATGTTAATGTGAGTCTTCTCCTTACCCATCCTTTTCGTGTCAAGCGAAACGTATCTGAATCAACTTGTAACCTAAACAAAATTTAATGATAGATAAGTAGGTACCTAACTACATAATTATCAATTTAAGGAATTCTTATTAAAGCGAAAGAAATTGAAGTCGTTATAATCATCGAATCTGCCGATGTTTTAAGTTTTATGCAATGTAAAGGAACTGGAACCGTAGATTGAACCAACTGAAAGCGTGTTCCTTGATACGGAACGACCAGAGCATATCGGTACCTAGGTAGTTTAGGTACCCAAACTCGTAGTTATTACTCGGGACTTTGTCTAAAGGTCAACAAAGAACCTTTTCTATACCCGGCGAAGTGTTAGGAGAGAATAATTCTTATTAGAGGTTTGATATTTTGATTCACCATATTTCAACTAAAATAAGCATTCAAAATGACCTCAGCTTTACCTATAAATCCTATAATTTCCCGCTGTGTGTACACAATTATCCTTACACCTGACACAGTGACACATACCTACCTACCTCTATGTTAGGTAGAACTTTAATGCCATAGCTCATGTTTGATATCACTTAATTTGTTTCAAACATAGGGGTACTTACCCTAGGTCCTACATTTCCTGCACTTAAAGTGCAGTAATAAATAAGTGGGCGATAGAATTGTTGGCAGCTCGAAATATTCCCTAAGAGTCACTCCTTTGGGCGTGCGCGTAGGAGATCCGGGACATCGATACAGCGTAGCTATTATGCCAAATATAGACTAAAAGTTGTTCTGTATGAAATAACATAAGTAGGTACTTTCGTTTTCTTATAAATAAAATTCAACATGATCGTACACAATAACCACGTATCCAATTCTTAATTCCTTCATGAAATAAATTGCAACGTCTTTGTGTACATCGCACCTTACCTATATATTTGTTCTCTTTTAGTACGAAGAAAAAATATGTAGTTAACCACTTAGATACCCTAATACTAGTTATAAACGCACACAAAATGTCTAGTTATAGGTATCTAAGCTAAGAAATGCAGGTATACCTAGAATAGGTAATTATCTAATTATTTAATTGAATTCTACGTTTTGATTCGCGCGTCAAGTAAGTAAATAAGAACAAAGGTAATGATGGGTGCGTCTACTTTTCACTTAAAAAATACCTAATTACAACATGAGCTAGCAATATTAGCCCCAATGTGAACTTAGTATTGTTAAACTTACATTTTGTTTAATAAAATTTGAACGAAATTAGGTTTACTAGCGCGGTCACTTGACAGAAACTGTACAAAGATTTTAACGCAATGACAGTGTATATTTTATTAACTATCACAAGTAGAAAGTGCATTCAATCTAAAATTAGTAGACGTGATCTATACAAGTACTTAAGCAGATGTCTCTGCAACAGTATGATCAGTATGATTCAGAATTAGAATACCTAATGGCATGTTGCACTACATAGGCATTTTATGTACCGGCGACGCATATGGGCTTCGCAGTGCGTCCATCTTAAGTATTCTAGGTAGTATGCATCAGATAGATTACGATCAATCACCATGCGCCCGGTATTTAGTCGAAAATTAATCGTAATGACAATTTAATCTGACACAACTTTAAAATTGGAAGAATCTTATTTTTCACTTCAAGTGCAGAAAGACACAAAATGACATATATGATAAAAATGGTTCTTTTCAAGTTAATTTAAATGAAACAATGCCTCTGCTCTCGGAAATAAAGTCTACCTATTATTTTACAGATTTATAATCCTGTCGTCAAAACAAAACCTTGTGTCATGAGAATCAACAGAGGTGACAAAATCCCCTCTATAGCAAAACACTTAACCAGAAATGTAAAATCAACAAAAACAATTAAATTGCGTAATTTTAAAAAATCTCATACCGGTAGAATGTACTTGCGTTTATATAAAGTGGAAAAATATTTTTAGGAAAAACACTACTTCATATGAAATTCTTGCTGTTCAGAAGTTACAGTACGGTTTAAATGCTATAAAGTAACTAAAGTCTTTTATATTTTCCAATAAAATACAAGAAAAGCTCACCTTCGCTGCCGCAGTCACGAATTTTCCGAGCAATTTTCGAGCATGCGCCGTGAACAATTCGCCCGGGAAATGCAATCAATAAAATCAAATTTATACTTTAAAATGAGAGTTTTCAAAACTATAAATGTATTTTATCGTAAAAGTTATTATAATTAATAATAAAATTATTGGTGATAACACATTTAAATAACAATAACTTTATATTTAATTGGATATTGAAAAGCAGTATGAAAAACCGGAAGTTCGCAACTTTCTTTTTCTTTATGCTTTCTTCTATGTTTAGGTACCAGTAATTGAGAGATTTTTATAAAAAGGATTTAAAAGATTTAGGTATCTGTTGATTAATGTTTCATACTATCGCTAAAAAACAGTTTAAACTATTTTAGTAATGAAATTTGATTATAAACTATCTTCTAAAGGCTAACATTAAATGTCTAGGGTACCTAGTCGTAAAATTGTAACGAAAGTATCGTCATCAACATACTTGCCATCGGTTTTTGCTTTTTGGTGAAGACCAATAATTCTTAGCCTTTAGCGAAAAAATAAATAATAGGCATAGATAAATTAATAGGCATACTACTTACAGAAACAAGAAAACATATTTACGAAAGATATTTATTACCGACAGAGAAAACAGACCCTTCGTGGGTCTTTTTTTTTTAAAGGGGGAAAATCATCGAATGACTGCTCCCGCCTGGGTGAGGCGTTCCTTCTCCTGCACGTCGAGCCGGAGCCCCGGTTACCCGTTAGGTTGTCCGCGACTCCGAATCGGCATCGGCCCTATTGAGCCCCATCTGTGGTGGTCTGATGGCTCTTTTAACCTCTTACCAAATTGCCTCAATTTTTACAGAACTGTTAGAAGTCTTTTGTTAACCATCTCGGGAATCGAACTTGGAACTTTAACCTTAGCAGTAATTTACATAAATACAACTGATTGGCATGGTTATTGATAGAAAATTAAATTAAAATGAATAAAAACAATTTCATATAAAATGTCGCAAAACTTTATTGTTTTAAACTAAATATTTAATTCAGTTCTTAAAATTACATTCGAAAATACTTACATAATTACTATAACAAATAATTAAGTATTAAAATTATAATTATAATAAAAACGTGTGTGTATAATAATTTTGCATAACAAATCATTAACTCGTCGAGTACCGGTTTTATAGACACAATTAAAGAACAATAGGTCGCGGTCACCGGTGACCGCTTGGTGTTTGACAGTTTAATAAGGTATAAAAAGCATTATAACTGGGTACTTATAATTTGCTTAAACTTTATATATATTTTATAGTATGTATTTATATTAATATTTATATCAGCGTGATAAGCTAAGTATTTTGTATTTTCCGTGATATGATTTCATCTACTCGCTGTGTCGCAGTTGCATATACATCACTGATATGATTAGGAGAGTGTTTCATTCGTTAACTGTAGACCAGAACCTTTTGTACGCCTCTGTCGGCTACAGACAACAAACAAAAAATGGGCTACATAGCCGACAAGACTACGTCATTTTTTAAGTACATTTTGTTTGTCATCAATGGCCGACCGTGGTGAACGGAGGGTTGTGCAGCTATGTTAAAATAGAGACTAACTGACGGACACTTGATTATATAAAAGCACCTAAAGTATATTTTTTAAAAGTTTCATTCTATAATTTTAGCAACTCGTATTGTTTGAGAGTGTATTAAATATTGCTGTAATGTTGGCATTCGTTTCCACTTTAAAATGTCAAACACCAAGCGGTCACCGGTGACCGCGACCTATTGTTCTTTAATTGTGTCTATAAAACCGGTACTCGACGAGTTAAAGCGTACATAATAAATATGCGTATATCGAAAGAAAAAGAAAAGTACATTGAAATGAATATAAAACGTGAATTGCCCATAGATAAAATACTATTATATCACATAATGCACATTCTGGAATTAATATTACTTTTGTTATGCTAAAAAGATTGGAATGAACGATTAATGCTATCATACCATTAGAAAAACATTAATTTATTGCTATTATGTTAAATCTATTACATCATTTTACCAAATACCTTTAGAATATCTGATTTAGTGTTTTCCTTTCCCAGACCACCTTTTTAATAACAACTACATGAATAATATAATATAAATCTATATTTATCTCTCAATTGCTTATTTACATATGGCTATTTAAAAAATTAAAATAAATAATTGTAAAATATCACCATAAATTTAAGAATAGCATTTGAAAATATAATAGTTTATTATCCAATAAGATACGCTTAGCCAAAAAATTATAGCCTTAAATGCAAAGAGTTCTGAAATAATGAAAACTGTTTCGTCGATAATGGAATCACAGATAATTTACAATTCACTATTGGAGCTTGGAGCATGGAGCATGGCTATCATATTTTGTTAGACACGTTTAAATATCGATTTGTTGTTATTTCCCTCCTGGCCAGGGAAGGTAGCTTCCCCACCCTTTCCCTGGATTTGGATCCAAACCTGTAACAACAATATTTATTAGAATTAAATAACGTCATCAATAAAATATATAAAAACGAACCATGGTCATAAGAAAGGAACGCTTTGAAAAATTTGGGTAGGGCTTTGCTTCTATAAGTGTTTGAGTATTTAACTGAAGTCAAATTAACATATATACTACAGGATGTAGGCAGAGATTCAATAATAAATGTAACAATTTAATTAATGCATACCAAATTGGCAACGGAATACTCCGGAATAGTGTCATTACTTATGTATTAAAAGTGTTTCGATTTATACTACAAGTCTACCAAAATCTGCCATAGTTCAAGTTCGAAAAAATCTCTACGACATTCATATCGCGTCGAGACTCTTATTGTTGTTGTTAACAGCACCATGACGTGCACGCTTCTCATGAATAAGGTCCTAGTGCGACTTGATACTAGTAGAGTTTGTCTTGTTCAGTTCAGTAGAGTTCAGTAAGATTACTATTACACAAAAAACATTATCTATTTATGTAAATCAATAGCTGTTTATGTAAATTAAATAGTACTAATATTTGCTGGCAGCAAATAAACTAAACTAAAAGCAACAAGTTGTTGCATTTAGTTTCCCAATACATCTTCATTCCTTGCCCGGCATCCCAGACACGAGGGTTTATCTCGACTACAAAGTCAAATAGTAAAATAATGATTAATAAATTAATGTTACCCTTAGCAACGGCATTAATTTTTTGCGTCTCGTCTTGTGTGAGTGTAAGTATCTTCTGCAGCACTGGTACCAGCCGGCTGCGCTCGTCGCCGGGTGGTAGTGTTAGGAACTGTAAGAAATGAACAAAGTAAATAATTGAATAGGAATTAGGAAAATTCCTGATCTTGAAATATACCCGACCCAAAAAGTGTTCACGCCGAGGGAATGATTTGACTATTACTTATTAAACAATTTCTAAGACGGTTTCTGTTAACATTGTTTTAGTAGATACAGCTATCCGATGACTGTATGATTATCAAAACAGTTCACAAAGAAACCTATTATAAAACACGTATTATTATACCTATCAGAAGAGACAGGGTCATTCTTTATAATGTACGCACCTTAAGCGTAACGTTTTTCATGTATTCTGTGTTGTGTGCGTTCTGTGTAGCTCCTCGCACTCGCCGGAGCTCTGCCTTAAGCAGCTCACTCAGCTGCGCCATGCGAGCGCATTCACGTTCCGACTCCGACAGTAGTACCGTCACGTGCTTCACCCTGTACGACGCCAGAAATTATGTAGTTAGGAAACATAGTCTAAATACAGATAATGTGATGTTTAGCTGCAGCAAAAGGTTCCATTTTTCACTTTAGTATATCCAATTGCATAGCCATGTTGTGGCGGCAGACCGCAGAGTAGATTACACTTGTAAATACATTTTTATTTCAATGATTTGATTTAAATTTTACCTCTGTTGTTGAGCTTGGAGCCTTCGTTTGAGGTCAGCGATCTCCTGGTCGGGTGTGAGTGCAAAAGAGGAGGTGTCCATAGCCTCGTCGTCGGGGACACCTTCTTCCAGCAGTCGTTCCAATGGTACTGGGGACCGGCCGCTAGCCCCTCCAGAGAGGTACGGCTTCGACGGAGGCGGGGACGGAGCAAATTCAGAACCCTGGAAATATATGATGTGTGTTTTTATATGTATAGGTAAAGGACCAAATATAAAAACGGTTAAAACAATGGGTTTGGTTCAACCTTATTTCTTTCGTTGGATAGATATGTAGTTGAAGGATTTACTAAGAACAATATTCTATCATTGGTAGAAATTGTGCGTGTTTATTAAAGATACTAGAAGAACTCCAGGTTTACAACATCTTCTCTTACCATTTTAACAAGTATTTGTTTTGTTACGTATTTTTAAGTCTTTTAGCAAAGTTTAACAGAGAAATATTTATAAAAAATATATGTATAAACATTAACTCACAAGTGTAACACAAATGTTCGTAAGAGTAACAGCATTTACTTGTAATTGGGTGCGTTGAAATATACCATTCAAAAGAATAATCGTTCTAGAATTCATGAAGAAATTTTATTACTATAGCAAATGGTCAGATAAGGCAATTACGTAGGATAATAACTACGTATATAGCTGGTTTTTTTTTATTTCTAGCTTTAATGCAATGCAAGTATATCGCAATAGGCTTACCCCCAATTACATGGGACTCATAGTCATAACATTGTAGTTTGTGTCACACCTCGCCCTATAAGTGTAAGTATCGTAAGTTAGTTATTAAATTTATTAAGACACTTAATTAAAGTTATTCCTAGGAACAACATGTCTCCCTTAATGTTTCACATTGCAACATAAATAGTGAAAAGTGGGTGTTACGATTTAAAGTAGTACATATTTTATTTATGAAAATCAATTTAAATCTTTGTGTAAAACAAAAATATTGCAACTTGTTAACTAATTGTCGGAGAGCCGCTATCAGTACAAGGCAGTATTTATACACGGAGACCTTAGCTTGTATGGTTAGTGCGGATCCCGTATTTTACCCCTGGGGCCCTGGGTACAGAACTATTAAAGAAAAAGTTATTGTATTACCTCTCCTTCTTCCCTCGGTATCATAGAAACATTGATATCCATCTCGCCATCGCTGCTTTCTTCCTTCGGTATAACTGGCAACATGTACTCGTTTCTGTTGGCGTCTTCAAGCGAAGGTATAGCGACGTTGCCAGACTTCTTCGCTTCCTGAGCGGACGCCAGCTGCTTATTCAACGAGTCAATTTCTTTCTGCAGCTTAGCTTCCATTTCACTCATTTGAGTTTTGTAGCATTGTGTTAGTGTGGAGACCTATAAGACATTTTTTTTAAAGAAATTATGAAATTCGATCTTGACATTAAAGACATTAGATTAAACTAGATAGTCCAGTGTTAAATGCGAGTGGCAACCACAATGTCGCTCTTTAGATTGAGGTCAGACAAAATATTTTGCAGTGCCGTGTCCCTAGTAGTCTCTTCAAAATAAAGGTGAAGTGTCATATGTAAGCGTCTTACTATCTAATCCTTCTTTTTAATAATATGTAATAGTTAGTAAGTACTGCAACTTACTTGCAACTTATTCTGCGTTCTCTCTGTTTCAATCTGCTGTGACAGTCGAGTGAGGTCAGCCTGTAGTCGCGAAGTTCTCTGTTGCGCCCGCGCCGCCTCATTCGTAGCCTCCGCTGCTCGCCTCCTAGTACTCTCTACTTCCGATGTCTTCTCTGTTATTTGCTCCCTAAGAACATCATCATAGGTAATTGTTATACAATATTTATATTCTTTGTATTTCATGCATTATTCTAAAGTATTCATTTCTTGCTATAATGCGTGTTCTAAAATATATTTACAATTTTACTAAAACTACAATTGACTATGTTTCAAGAAATTACTTATCGCAGAACAAGCTCCCAATAACATTTAAAGGAACTACATATAATGGCGAATATTGACAACACCTTCACTGCTTGCCAAATAATGGATCAATGAATCAATTATTATTGAAATATAATTCTGCAATTTACATGTGTTATTTCGAAATGATACATATGTATTCATATTAAAACTTTATAATAAATAATACACCAGATAGTAACACAGTTAACTATCTTCGTAAGAATATTGTACAATATTATAAAAGTAATAAGTGTGTAACTATTGTACTCATTTGTAAAACAAACGATATAGAAAAAGTTAAGAAAATAAAAACACCACATGTGTATTACAATAATACGAATATTAATAATAATATTTTACTATCGATGTTACCGACCGCACAAAATATGCATAGGAACGTAAAACGTTTTGTGTTTTATTCATCATGGATAAAATATACCAATTGTAGCTAGATTAATTTTGATTCAAACTGCATATTTTCTTACAATGTTTTTACTGAATTCGTATATTTTATGTGGAGCAATTAACTGCCCTTTGCTTCTAAACCTTAGAGCACCATATTCTCAAAACAAACAATGTTCGAGGAAATTCTGTTAATAAAAAACAAATTTTCACTTACTGAGCCGTCGCAAGTTTAGCTGTTAGTATTTCTATCTGTGCTCTGAGAGCGGCCGCTTCTTCTTTTAGCTGCTCTTCTTGGCTATGATCCACAGTCTGATTCTGTCGCAATACGGCCTGAGCTCGAACCTGACACAAGAAATTCATGTCATTGTGAATGAAAAACAGTAACCACTTGTGTAAAAGGAATAATGTAGAGGAACATTACCTTGTAACTTGTATACTCAGTCTTCAAATCCGCCAATTCTATATTGAGAATTCTTAACTTTTCATTCAATTCAGAACATTTGAATTCCAATTTCTTTACTTTGTTGTTAAGTTCTGCCTTATCTTCGCCTAGAGACATTATAACTTTTTCTTTGTCGGTTAGTATTGACGTCATTTCTAAATCAGATTCTTCATTCTTTCTCTTTTCGTCTTCTAAATCTTGTTCCAATTTAGATATGATTGTGTTTTTCACTTGTATCAGATTATCCTTTTCTTTTCCATCTTCAATAGCGTTTTGTAACTCTTCCTTAACAATCCTGTTTTGCCTCTCCTCAGTTTTAATTTGTTCCTCTAGTAATTTTATTTGCGTTCGCATTGCTGTGATTGTTCCTTCTTGCGTGTCAATTGTCGACTCCATCTGTAAATCATCAAATAGATTTATGTTGACTCTTAAATTGCTTCTTCAAATTGTGTTGTATATTTCCAACCATCCACAATAAAACCATTGTTGTTGTGGAAATATGAATGTAACAACAAAACAAACTCACCTGCATCATTTTCTTCTTACTCTCCTCCATCTTTGTCGAAAGTTCCTTCATCGACCGTTCGTAATCTTCCATTTCGAGACTCAATACGTTTTTCTTCTTGACATCGCGTCGTGCTTTCTCCAGATTATCCTTAGTTACTTTATGCGCTTCCACTTCAGTTGCCAGTTGTTGCGTTTTCAATGCTAATTCCGCTAAAATATTGTAGTGAAAGTATGTTCTTATTAGTTGATATATTGGCGTAACTTATTGTTTGAGATATAGGAGGTAAATAATAGGTACCTTTTAACTTGTCTAATTCAGAAGTAACATTTTTCGTTGCCTCTAGAGCAACAGTTAAAGATTTGACTTTTTCTTCTAGTTCATTATTCTCAGCCGCATGAGTTGTGTTGTCGGTTTGACGACTATCCACTTCATTTACATGGTTACCTGATTTGCTTTCACTTAGCAACTTTTCAAGCTTGGCTTTGTCTTTTTCTGTCTGTTGCATCTGACTTGTAGTCTCATTCAGTTTCTTCTTGAGCTTCAGAGCAAATATCCTTAATTTAGTGTACCTGTAAGAAGGTAAAAAATAATTTATCAGTACCTAAGTTGAAAAAATTATACATATCATTTTATGTAGGTATTTTAGGTACTGTATGATCTACTAAAAATATTTCCATACTTCTCTTCAAAGGTTTCATCTAAATCTTTCATTCGAGAATGTTCTTCTGCTTTAGATATAGTTGAAGTTGACATGTCCTCATTTGGTAGTTCAGCTGTAACATAAGGAATGACATTTAAAATTTTGTACACATTTTACAAGTATAAACCATAGCGATTTTTTTTTAATCTGGTTGTAATAAACAGTCTAGTACCTGATGTCATTTGTTGTTGTTTCAGTTTCTCAATTTCTTCTTTTAAAGATGTTATTATTTCATCTTTTTTAGACAGAGCTTTCATGGCATTATCCACATCTACATTTAACTGATTGGCAGTTTCAGTCTTTTCATTTGACTTTTGCTCTGCAGTTTGTAAATCACTTTGGAGCCCTTCATTCTTTTTCAGTAATTCTATTTTCTCTTGATTCATATTTTCTCTGTCCTTCTCTAAAGTCTCAACCAACTTTTCCATTTCAGACACAGCTTTTTGAAGTTTGGATATGGCTTCACCACGTTCTTTTAATACTTGATTGATTTCTTTCATTTCATTCAACAGTTCAGTATTTTCTGACTTGTAACTAGCCAATTTAGATTTGGCATCTTCAAACTCAACAATTAAACTATCAAATTCCTTGGACTTGTTTCGTGCATCTTTTATTTCAGACAAAAGAGATGCATTTTCTTGTTTGTAAGCAGATAACTTAGTTTCTAATTTCGCAATGTCTGCTTGTAAAGATACATTCAGATCTGATAAGTCAGCATCATCTTTGGGTTGTTCCAATGAAAGTTTAAGAGTGTCCACTTCCTCTTTTAAAAGGCTGTTCAAATCTTGTAAATCTTCGTGTTCTTTCTTTAACAAGTTAAATTGTTCTTGCTGAGCCATCAAATTACACTTCAATACATTTATCTCACCTTCTTTTTCAGCTTTAAAATTAATCTCAAAAGCAGCTTTTTCTTGATTGAGTACGTCTAACTGAGATTTCATATATTGTAATTCCGTTTTAGCTTCAAGAAGTTGGTCTGACAACTTTGTAATTTGATTTTCAAGATCAACAACACTGTCTCTAGCATTTAGTTTCTCTTTGACTAAAGTAGATTTTTCACTTTCTAAAGCTTTAATCTGTAAAGTCAGATTCTCAAATTCTTCATTATTTCGCCCTTGATTAAGTAGTGTGTCATTTAATTTTTTATTTTCATGTTTCAGCATTTGTACATACTTTTCAAGTTCAGTAAATTTATTACTTGTGTCAACTAGCTTAAGGTTACAATCGTTAAATCTTTCCTCCTGTAATTTATACTCTTCCAGTTTGTTTGCTTTCTCACCGAGATCAAATTTGAGCTTAGTGATTTCATCACCACAACTCCTTAATTGTTGTTCTAATTCAGATACTTTGTCTTTGAATGCCATGTTCTCTTGAGTTAAAATAGATATTTGTGAATCAATAACACTATTCTCCATACTTGTTTGTTTCAATTCATTTAGTTGTTTTTCTAGTTCCACAAGTTTTTCTTTTAAAGTAATATTTTCACTGCTTAGTTCATTAATCTGATTATCAAGCACTTTTGATGCATTTATGATATCATTTTGCCATTTAGGAATGTTCTCAGAATATTCTTTGACTGTTTTTGCCAAGATAAATCTTGAGTTTTTCAATTGATTAATGCATGCAGCACATTTTAAAATTTTGTCTTTATAACTCCTTAATTTGACATTAGCCTTTTCTTTTTTAGCCTTTTCAGACTCAAACAATTCATTTGCCTCAATAAATTTAGCTTCAAAGTCTACATTACTTTGAATTTTATTCTCTAAGTGTTGAATTTGACTCTTTAATTCTTCAATTTGGGTTTTATATTGGTCTTCTGAAACAAGGAATACATATAATAACACAATGTTGTAATTGAATCTGATAACAATTTATATTTGTACACATATCTAGTACAGTAAATAATTTAACAAATTAGACAATAATGAAGGAATACAAAACCTGTATGCACACTCTCTTCTAAAATTTTAAGTTGTTCTCTCTGTTGCATTCCAATATTATTAAACTCTGCAGCTCTAGCTTCAAACTCAGTGAGTTGACTCAACAGTTGTTCATTTTCTTCCAATAGCCGATTGTTCTGTCTTCTTAGTGAAGTAACTTCTATATCAAGATCAGATAACTTTTGATTTATTTCAGCTATTATGTTATCTTTCACAATCAAATCACTTTTGTAAGTATTAATGTCTTCCTCATAGCTGATACACTTATTGTTAAGTGCTTTAATCTTACTTTGGGCTGAATCCACTTCAGTAATAAAATTCAGTTTTTGCTCTGTCAATGAATCAACCAATTCTTGTAGAGTTTTGATATTCTCTGAACTGGCATTTTTTTCCTTTTCATATTTTTCAAGAAGTTTTTTGCACCCATCAAGTTCATTTTGTAACTCTGTATAAGTAAGAATATAGTGATTAAGCATTATTTATTAAAACTGAATAAACATTTTAAAACTAGAAATACCTGTCTTGGCGACTTTAGCTTTTTGAGCTATCACTAGAAATCCTTTGCATTTGGTTATTAATTCATCTCTGCCTAATTCATCAATTGAAGTCTTCTTCAGACTACCATCTTGACCCTGGAACATGAAATGGTTTCAAGATATTTGTAAATACACTTTCAGTGGTTAGGGGCAAATTGTTAGTACTGTTTTTATTGTACTATGGACTGGCAGATTTGTGGGCTGACAAATCTGAACACACTTAAAGGTAAGAAATAAATAAACTGTCTAGTGAATACATGCTCATTTGTCAGATACAGGATGTTATCACCGTATACGTAAGCACCAGCACTGGATAGGAAAACAGCTCTATTATAATTTGTTTTTGCTAATAAGAGTCTTTATAGGCCAGGAACGACTAACTTAATACGGGATGAATACGTGGAGTGGAATTGTATTAAGAACACTTCAATGGGCTTAGTCCGAAAATACGACAGAAACAATTTAATTATATTAATTGCACGATAACAAACCGATGATTCCTGATGATCCATGATAGAATAGTTAAAAGTGCTATTTCATTCTTTAGTAAGAGTTACATTTATAGACATTTGCACATTACGTATACGAAATTAAATCTTTATTTATGTATTTTATAATAATTTTAGTCACATCACAATCCCCTCACATCAGTGAGTCTACCAGATGTCAAAATAGAGAATGTCATCATCACTTCAAAGTTTCAAACTTCATCAGTTTCATTCACCTCATTATCATGTCATGTAGTGATGATTACACTTGATAAAGACGTTGAAGATGTACTGAACCTAACTCGACTAAGTAAATCTATGTTTTATTAAAACTCACTGTAAATTAAGGTTTTGATATAATTTAATTTGGTACTATCTCAATTACCTCATATTTATGCAATAAAAATAATATACTGTTGTACTGTTGGATAATGCACAGCTCGTCTATTTTAATTATGAAAATGACTGACGGCGCCCCAGTCGTTTACATGGCAACCCCTACAGAGCGAAGTAAACATATTATCGGTAAAATTTTGACTAGTGAATTCGAAATCAAGAAACCAGACAGTTATTGGAATATTATTACATACATACATAACATCACGCCTTTAATCCCCGAATGGGTAGGCAGAGGTGTACATTGTAACAATGTAACACCCACTTTTCACTATTTATCTTAAGAGTCCCATGTAATAGTCCTGCCACAATTTTAATGTTGTTAATTCCTCAAGCATTCGTCGTCATTCTTATTTCTGATCAACATGCAGGCTGGTGTATGTCCAGTTTTATGGCAATTAGTCGATTTGCTTCGAATGTCAACAATCAGTTGAATTTTATATCAATGACATCTCTAACTTATAGTGTAATGCAAAGAGTAAAATAAGTATAGGGGTAAAGAGTTACCACTCGTCAAAATTTATGCCAATCAATTTGAAGCGCCATCTGAAAATTGAATCCTAGTATATTTTTTTTTTTAGTTATGTCTACAGATAATCCTAAGTATAGCTAATGCCAATACTACCAACAATGCACCTTGCAGGTTGGTACATTGAAGGTAGTATTGGAATTAGCTATGTCTGGTAGCTGCAAAATCAAAGAAGTTATTAATTACAATATTACATTTATTTTACAGTAAATACAAATTAACATTTAAAAATTATCAGCTAGTAGGGAAATATCAGAGGACAGATTTGTTCAAAGTATAATTCAAATTTTAGTTCTTTTTAATTTTATGTTTACAAATTTCAGATATAAATATGTCGTTCAAAATTTATTTGAATTAGTTATTTTTTTAATTATTGATCCCAAAAAGAACTAAAATTAAAAATATTTACTGTTCACCGTTGTTTACACAGTACCTAACAGTAGTTAACAATCTAATGATATAAATTAACCGTAATACCTACACAAATGTAGTACATTTTACCATCGATTTGAATCGCTTACAGTATTTACAAAAACACAAAATTATTATACAATTTACATAACATACATAACATCACGCCTTTTTATCCCCGAAGGGGTAGGCAGAGGTGCACATTTCGGCACTCAATGCCACTGTACAATGTAACACCCACTTTTCACTATTTATGTTATAAGTCCCATGTAATAGGGGGTGAGCCTATTGCCATATACCGGGCACATTTCCAGACTACTCTACTACTACTGAGATTTTTTTAAAACCCAGTAATACTTTGCCCGTCCCGGGTATCGAACCCGAGACCCCTTGCCCGGCAGTCGCACTTATTATTATAATGTCGAAAAATATAGTGCTTAAAAATAAGTCTCAGTCTGCCTCTCAGTCAGTCTCAGTTTTTTAGTACTTTTTTTTGCTAGTTGCTAATAATGCCTGACTTAGTCGTTTCCTATCTAGTTATATTACAGTCATTTTTATTAAACAACTACAGATTTTTCCTATCCTCAAATATAATATTTTTATAACATTATAATGAAACAAAGTAATATTATTATAAATACAAATGAAAATGAAACAGGCAAAATAATGTGGGAAATCCCAATTCAGACAGACTTCACAGTTGCCCACAACAGACCGGACATAATATACACAAACAAAACATCCAACACCACATACCTCTTTGACATAACTGTACCATATGTAACTACAACATAGGAGCAAAAGAAATTCAGTAAATACCACTTTTTAAAGACACAACTCAAGGCTAGACGCCTTGAAATATTGAAACGCATGTTAATTCTATAGTAATTGGAGCCACAGGAGTAGGTACTAGCCAAAAGCCTCAGCAGATACACAGACAAACTAGAAACATAAATAGACATTAGCCACCATTTAAACAATAATCATTCTTAGCAAAGTACTAGGAGACACAGTTTTCGTCACATACATTCCAGATTCAGATCAATTACAACCATCTCAAGCGCAAACACCACATACCACTCAGTCAACCATCACATGAAGCTCACAATCCACATCTGGCACACGAAACTACACCCAGTTAGTAGTCAAGTAGTCAGCAGAAGAGAAAGAAGGAGATTTATAAGTCAAATTTAGAAGGGGCTATGAGCATCGTTTTTCCTGCGGGTTGCGGGAAGCGGTGCCCATTTTCACCAGGTCAAGCCCAAGAAGGAGAGACCTCTACATATATGAATACAAATAAGTAAAACCTAGAATAATGCTGCAGTCTTTTGGGCACCCTACTCCACGATAGCGATGAAAAAGAATTTTTTGATGCCCTAAGGTAACATTTTTTTTTAAGGTGTGAATATGTACCTATTTTAGTTTATTTATAATTTAATATTACTTTGTTGTGCGTAGGTACTTAAAATGTTGTTCTAATTATGATATATACGTTAATACAAAGATAAAAATAGTTTTACAAAAATAATACTGCTTTAATATTTGCAGCGATCTATGGGTTTCTTGTTTCTTGAGACAACAATATACGTCTGAATGTTAGAATAATTACAAATAGTACCTGAAAAAAAAACAAAGATTATTTTTACATGCAGAAATATGTATTTTATTTATTTGTTTTCTTTTATTTATCTAAGGTAGGTGTACCTTACGTGATATTACTGATGTTACAAGAATAATATAGTATTTACCATCTCTAAAATAGGTTTCAAGCACTGCTGGTATAGATCGGCACTTTATCCGGACATCGTAAGACTCGTAACTGCCGATAAAAAATTGCACTATTGATATTCTGCAATGATGATGCTGAAGTAATATCGATGCAATAGCAATTCCAAATATCACTGTAACAAATATACAAAAGAAAAAGTAGACATTTATAAAAACTACATAGTTTGGTATCTCAATGAATCAAATAAAATGTATAAATAGGTTCAATAGCAAAAATCATAAACTTGTTGTAGGTTTTACCTTCAGCAACATGATTGTATTCTTCGTATTGATGTTCTTTATTATAAATAAGATATATACGCAAATTAAAGCGTTCCTTTGTAAAATCAAGTCCAATGAATAGACAAACAAACACAATGTACTTTTGTGATTTGTGATACACATGTATACAAAAGGTCCTTTATAGAAAACACAACACGCATCGCAGAACTTCCTTTTTTAGAAAAACAATCACAAAATCCCATCACAAATTATTAAATAATTTAAAATATTTTTGGCAAATTTTTTACAATTTTGACATTGCAAATTTTTGTTTTTGTTTCTTTTCTTTATCAAGCAAAAAGTATACATATTATATGCCAGTATTAAAATAGTACAAACTACATGCATACTATTTTATAGAAATAAGGAGATAATATAAAAAAGTATTTAATATCAATATCTAATAATTATTAACAATATTATTTTAATAGTTATTTATTATCTAAATAATTTGGAAAATTATTTTTGTAATGTTTTAATATTTTTTTAGCCCCAGCGTTGCCGTAAAAATTAATAATTTGACAATCCATATAGTACAAGAGCCTATGAACCCCAGACCTTTGTTATTTATAACGGACTTAAAAAAAGGAAAAGTTATATACCTATAAGATTTTTTTATGTTCCTTCAGGGATGACTTCGTCGCTTTTTAACGTATTTTGATGATTCTTTTTTAACCGACTTTAAAAAAGGAGTATCAGTTTGACCTAAATGTATATACATATGTTACAGCCAAAGTGATTAATTTGATATTATTCGTAATGACTAGCTATTATGAATAATATCTTCGAAAACTTGGATAAAGTAAATCAGCAAATGGAAATGAACAGGGCTGACGTCTGCACAAAATTTTGAATTTATCGTCATGGGTGTCGTTTTCATGGTTTTCGAGGGTGATAAAGCCGATGGTCCTGTCAAATTGTAAATCCAAGATGGCGTGCGCACAAAATTTTTCAATTTATCGTCATGGGTGTCCTTTTCATGGTTTTCGAGGGTGATAAAACCGATGGTGTCGTCAAAATGTAAATCAAAGATGGCGTCTGCACAAAATTTTGAATATATCGTCATGGGTGTCGTTGTCATGGTTTTCGAGGGTGATAAAACCGATGGTGTTGTCAAAATGTAAATCCAAGATGGCGTCTGCACAAAATTTTGAATGTATCGTCATGGGTGTCGTTCCCATGGTTTTCGAGGGTGATAAAGCCGATGGTGCTGTCAAAATGCAAATCCAAGATGGCGTCTGCACAAAATTTGAATGTATCGTCATGGGTGTCGTTCTCATGGTTTTAGAGGGTGATAAAGCCGATGGTGCTGTCAAAATGCAAATCCAAGATGGCGGCTGTACGAAATTTTCAATTTATCGTCATGGGTGTCGTTTTCATGGTTTTCGAGGGCGATAAAGCCGATGGTGTTGTCAAAATGTAAATCAAAGATGGCGTCTGCACAAAATTTTGAATTTATCGTCATGGGTGTCGTTTTCATGGTTTTCGAGGGTGGTAAAACCGATGGTGCTGTCAAAATGCAAATCCAAGATGGCGGCTGCACGATATTTTCAATTTATCGTTATAGGTGTCGTTTTCATGGTTCTCGAGGGTGGTGAAAATGATGGTGCTCTCAAATTGTAAATCAGAGATGATGACTGAACGAAATAGAGTTAATGCATTTATCGAGAAAGATTAAGTATGTGTGTGAATGTGTGTGTGTGATAGAGAGACAGAAAGAATACGTGCAACCTATTTTATAGATTTTCTATGAAAATTGAGTATTTTCATATAATATTAGTTTTTATATAATAAAAACGGTGGCCTAGACCTGAGGTTCACAGGCTCTTAGGTTAATGCTTTTGGATGCAGAAACCTGACGCAGTCACTTCATAGAGTTTAGTTTGGCATCCATCTCTTAATATCTTTTTAATCTCTATTATTAGTAAAGAGGCTGTCATCTTTGATCGATTATGCCAGCATAACTGTCATTTGATCTAAGTTTAAGGAATTATTTTGTAAAAATTGCAATATAGTATTAAATAAATGTGTATAATGTTATTTTACTATTTCCAAAAAATATTATTTTAAGCCTAAATTTTAAAATAATGTTGCAACCTTGCTTGGAACTGTGTGGCCACTGAAAATATTAGTTTTGACAACATTTAATTTCAGGTTCGAAAACTAGATGTAGTTGACGGTCCGATTTTTTAAGCTGTCAATGGCTCTAAGTGTGACGGCCCTGGTGTAATGGCGGCTCTAGTCATCACTGCTATCGTTTCATGTGTGTGAATGATTAAATTAATAAGTTTTGTAAAAATATGTGTTTTAAGTGTTGTGATTAATTGAAATGTGATATAAACTTGTACACTATTATTTTATCAACCCTTATAATTCTTTAATTTTCCAGGTGAGTGGTGAAAAATATGTGTATAATATCTGAGCAATATCTTTTTGTCGCATTCGCGAACCTTTGCGGGGCGCGTCCATGAGTAATATTATGGCTTACTTTAGTTTTATTTTATTATTTTCTTATCTTGCCGAAAGCCAGTTTTGTTTTACAATATATCTAAATAATAAAAATGTAGGTAGCCCACAGTAGTTGATGAGAGCATAGCGTGATACAGTGATGATACATTCGTGCGACGATGTGTGACTGCTCTGAATAATATTACGTTCAAATAATATTCATTAAAGTCTTGAATGGTGTTAAAATATACATCGTGTGATAAATATTACCCAATAAAAGTCTGGTATGATAAATTGGATGCTTATTTTGTTCATGTAGAACGGGCAAAGGAAGACGAAATGTCGAGTGATGAGGATAAACCACCTGCGCCGCCGGTCCGGCTTACTAGCAACCGGGCCACGGATCGTGGCGATTCTGTAGCCTCCGTAGATATGAGGCCTCTTCCAAAAGGTTAGTTTGGCAACTATCCAATTGGTACCTCTTGTGGCATCATAATATGATTTGTATTAGATTGTTTTAATCACTTTGTAAACAATAGACAAGCCAAAAGTAAAGCATAAATAAACAATGCCAGTATTGATATCAGTTTGAATATGAAATCCTTTACTATACAAAATATTACATTGCATATCAAAGCAAAACATGCTTCCTAATACTTTATATTTTCAGAACCTGATGATGGAGGTGATAGAAAGAAGAAGACCTTGAAAGCTAAAATAAAAGGCTCTAAGAGTACGGCTCACAATGATAACAAACCAAATATAAGCTATCCAACTAACTTTGAACATACAGTTCATGTGGGTTTTGATGCAGTCACTGGAGAGTTTACTGTGAGTAACATTATAGTTCTGATCCTTCATATTTATATAGAATGTTATCATAATAGTCACTATGAAAATATATACTACCTACCACATATAAACTGGGTCTTTGGGGAAAACCCATGAGACATCACCCTAACCTCATAAAAATAATATAGTGCACTAGAATATTGTGATGTGGGCATTTTTAGGTAATAGCTAACATTTACAATCTTACAAGTACTTTGTTACTAACATTGTAGTTTTGTTAATAAGTATCATATTTATAGTAATAGTAATTTTAAATAAAAAAGAATGCATAGAATTCAGTTTAGTCAGTCCAAATACATATGTATGTTAATGAGATTGAGCTATGTAATGATTGGAGTGTTGTTGTGACTATCATAATGCAATAGACATGTAGAACACAATTTAACTTGTACTTAAGTTTCCAAAGAAAACCTCAACTATACCCAGACCTTATGATCATAGTTATATTATTATGTTTAATATGAGCGAGCGAAATGAGTGAGCTTTTTGCCTACACAATGCCTCACAGCTTTAATGCTTTGCTTTCTTAAAAAAGTGGCATATCAAATATTTTTATTTAACATTTCATTTTTAATTATTCTTAGTTATTGACAAGTAATTCATATATGATCTGGATCATTATTTGATAAATTTGATTTAAGAACAATTTCACACTATTTGTCATAAGTATTAAAGTAAAGTAACTTCTTGTAGGTAATACATAACCTGAATTCTTAGTTAAAGGCAAAGCGTAAGCATGTTTCTAGTAGAGAATGTACTTTTTGACTAACAACTTGTGTGTTAACACCACGGAATGTTCAGGCCACTATTGTTGGAAACTGTTTGATGGTGACTTAGTTGTCTGTTTGTAACCAAACATTGAAACAATCCTTAAGGAACAAGTAATGATATCATGTAATTGAGTTCCATGTATTTACCGCTTTTGTTTCAAGCTGCCTATGACAGTAAGTAATAGCTTAAATTATTACAATTGCGTTCAGTACAGTTTTACATTATATTCAATTTATTGAGATATATAATGTAAAAATGTGCATATTTTATTAACATTTGATTTACCTACTCCTTACATTATTTGTTTGTTTTATTGTTTTCCATATTTACTGTATTTTTGTGTAAATTGCAATGTCTATATTATGTAGCATGCATAGTCTATTATCTGTACCTCTAGTGTTTACTTTATGAAAACATTAATCTTCTACATACTAGTACTTGCTTTAGTCTCACACTTCCATAGAATTGAAACTTTGTCAATATTGTAATGGGTACCTGTAGAATTATTTCACGGATAAATATGTATGCTTGGAGACTTCATTATTCCTAGCTATTTAAAGTCATTGTTGGTAGTGTTAATGTAACAAAGAAACATAACTATAAAACTCTTATTTACTTATTAGTGCAGGCTGTAGTAAAGTTTAAATAAATACACAGTTATCTTAAGAATTTGAAACAAGAATTTTGCATGATGTGTTAAAATGAACCAAATTTATAATCTTACTACATACAATTTCCATTTTAATAAATGGAACTATTTATTGCGCTTGTACACTCTAAGTACTAAAAAAATATGTGTCAGTATGAAATCAAAATCATATTATATCTTCTGATGTGTAATGTCAAACCATTTAAATTGTGTTTTCATAAAATTTATAATCATTTTGAGATGGAGCGGGTAATAGACTGCTTTGTATAGAAACAATAAATTCGAGTCCTAATTAAGACCTGTGTACAAGCGCACACATGCTTTATAAATGGCTACCAAGTACCAACCATAGATTAACATCTGCATGAATATTATTAATTTAAATATAATCATATTATTCTTTATTGATGATATGTGATTGTTCTAAGGGCATGCCGGAGGCGTGGGCGCGGCTACTCATGGCCGCTAACATAAGCAAGCAAGAGCAGAAGAACAATCCTCAAGCCGTGTTAGACGTGCTCAAGTGGTATGACGCGTCCGCAACTCAGCCGCCGCCTTCTAAATACATGACATCGGCACAGATGCACACCACACACTCAGGTACTTATTTTGAAACTAAATTGCTTTGTATTTATTGAAGTAGGTAATTACCGACATCCGACATGTTTATAGGATCATCTGTGTCCCGAGTGTCATCCAGCAGTCCATCGTCGTCGACGCCCACAGACACGGAACACCCCGAACCCCCACCGCCGCCACCTTCACGACCAGATCGCACTAAAAGTATTGTAAGTGTAGTGTCTTTTATTGTATGAAAAACTTTTTGAAGCCTTCTTAATTTGTAACTTTATTTGTACTAATGTATCATCGTGTTTGTTTTTCAAGTATACGAAACCTATCGAAGAAGAGGAGGCACCACCTCCGCGACCCACACCCGCGCCCGCTTCGCCACCACATGTACCACATCCTGCTCTCACTACACATTCAGTAAGATAATTAACTCATTCGTTTTGATTATTTGGTCATCTCTAACAGTATGTGTAACACGAATGTTTTGGACAGATTTGCAGTCGAGCGGAAGTGGGATCCGGCGGCGTGCTGGACCGCAACAAGAACCCGGCGGGCGCCCCGCTGGCCGCGCTGGCCCCGCACACGCCGCCGCCGCACGCGCCGCCCGCGCCCAACGGCGCGCCCACCAACACCGACACCGGGTATGCCTACACCATTCAAATATTTATATCGGATTACTTACAACTATCACAAATAGAAAAAAAATCTAATTCTTTAAATTCCTAAATGTCATAGCATAGATGTTCATTTTACTTTACAGAAGAGCAACAGCCCAGCAGCAAAGGAAAAAGAAAATGACTGATGAAGAAATATTAGAAAAACTAAGAACTATTGTTAGTGTTGGTGACCCCAATAGAAAATACACAAAAATGGAAAAGATTGGTCAGGGGTAAGTAGTAGGAATTAACTTTTTGAAATTAATTACTACAGCATGAATGTTAATTTTCTAATTCCTTATTCATTTTAATAGTGCATCAGGAACAGTGTATACAGCAATAGAAACGTCAACTGGTATGGAGGTAGCAATCAAACAAATGAACCTAAGCCAACAACCTAAGAAAGAACTAATCATCAACGAGATCCTCGTGATGCGGGAGAACAAACATAACAACGTAGTCAACTATCTTGACAGTTATCTAGTTAACGAGGTGAGTACCATATAAATATGTGCCATAGTGATAAATGAAAATCGGTTGCACAGTAAGGGCGAGCTTACACGCGACGTTGAATGACGAAGAGCTTTCTTATATTTAGCTAGATGTTTTTATAATAACTATCGTGAGACATACAAAATTAACTAAAAATTATAAGTTACTCACTTTATTTATATTTATATGAATAACTCGTAATTTTTAGTAAGTTAGCCAGATATTTTATTACTATTTTACATTTAAATTGGATCAACGAATACTTTCATCGGATCATTGATCAAAAACTGTATCTACCACTGATTTTTTAGGAATTATGGGTAGTTATGGAATACTTAGCGGGTGGATCTCTAACGGACGTGGTGACGGAGACATGCATGGACGAGGGACAGATCGCCGCCGTGTGCCGTGAAGTGTTGCAAGCCTTGCACTTCCTGCACACCAACCATGTCATACACCGAGACATCAAGTCCGACAATATACTGCTGGGACTTGATGGACAAGTAAAACTGAGTGAGTCAACTGAACAACATTTACCTATATCACGCACGCAATTAACGTGAAGGAATTAACTCGAAACATTACCAGATTTGCCACTTTCTTTTTCACGCTAGTCTAAAATTAATTACGTAAAAGAAATAAACTTACGCTTTTGTTTCACGTAGCCAGACAGCAACTACAGAATTTTATGTATTCAATAAACACATCTTTGTTTTTCTTCGTATAGTTTTATAGTTAACTGCCAATTCTAGAACATTTTGATACTTATCAAAATACGTATACCGTATATACGTACGGACAAGCATTATCGACGATCAGTATGACTAAAACCAGCCCCAGTCATGGATGCATACAAACCAAATAAAGTAGCGACTTATTACTCATTCATTATTTTACAGCTGATTTTGGTTTCTGCGCGCAAATATCTCCTGAACAAAATAAACGAACAACAATGGTTGGCACGCCTTATTGGATGGCGCCTGAAGTTGTTACACGGAAGCAGTATGGGCCTAAGGTTGGTTATATTATTTGAACGAATGTCAAACATGTAATACTTCGTCTATGTATCACAATTTAACTATTATTATATTTTGTCAATTTATGGTAGGTATATGCGGAATATTATGGTTACAGAAAATAACAAAATATTTATTTATAACACTTATGACAAAGGAACACTCTAAAATCACAGTTAGCAATTCTTTTGCAACACCACTATGTTGATACTGATGTTATACAAATGAATATACTGGATCTTTAGTTTTACTTTTGTCTTTTTAGGTGGATGTATGGTCACTAGGTATAATGGCAATTGAAATGATAGAAGGTGAGCCGCCGTATTTGAACGAAAACCCCTTGCGTGCACTATATCTAATAGCAACGAACGGGAAGCCGGACATCAAGGATAAGGAGAAGCTCAGCACTGTCTTCCAGGACTTCCTCGACCAGTGCCTCGAGGTGGACGTCGAGAGGCGCGCCACCGCTCTCGATTTATTAAAGGTATATTCATTCATTAATTGACAGTCTTATTTACGCACTTAAAATGTACGTTCGATCCGAATCGATGTCGTGATAATAATAATCTAGAAATATTATAAAACTCAAAGGAATTCAGTTAGTGGGAACACCACTCCCTATTTAAAATTCAATGGATTCGTAATTATACCGCCATACGTGTTCACGTCGATGACTATAGAACCTTTCAATTGGCATTAACTTTTGACAATGCTATTGTTGTGTGTAGTATTGCACCGTCCTTCTTTTTCTAGGCTGCACGCAGTTCGTATTCGATTGGATTTAGGACTACTTTAGCTAAGGAAATACAACTGTCGTCTACCACGACGCCCGCTTTCTCATGCATGAGAGTGCGAGTGCCTACGAAACCTACCAATAGCAAGTACCAATGTGACTTTTCCGAGTTATATGTACTTTCTAAGATTATTTGGACAACATTGACAAACGGTGAAGGAAAACATCGTGAGGAAACCGAAGCTTATAATTTCTAATTATAAGTTTAAAATTGCCAACCCGCATTGAGCAAGCATGGCGATTAATGTTCAAACCTTCTCCGTGTGAGACTACGCCTTTGGGCAGCACTTATAAGCCTGTTGATGTTAGACAAGGTTAGAAGACAAGGATACTATGGCGAATTCGTCATATGGTATAGAAGTCCGTAAATAATATCTTTTCTCTATGCTCGACTCACTATTTAATGTGTGAACTACTTACAATATCTCCAAACAAAATACGACTACAAAACGTATTGTTATGGATTCGGATCGAACGTAGTGCAGAACTCCTCTTACATCCGTCAACATTGTGAAGTACGATTTGAGTGTTATTATTACAGCACCCCTTCCTAAAAATGGCGCGGCCCCTGGCGTCGCTGACTCCTCTGATCATGGCAGCCAAAGAGGCGGCCAAGGGCCATTAGCGGCGGCCAGCGGCGCCGCCCGCGCCCCCCTAGCGCCCTCAGTGCCTACCGGTGGACTCCACGCCCGCGCCACTCGCACGTGACTCACTCGGACGCGCGTGCGATCAGTGCCCCACCATGTGGATATCTGTGACGAAACCTAATTAGAGAGCAATATCTATTTTACATGTAAAACTGCTGCCGATTGAATATAATAGAGGTAATATTTTTACAAGAGAAGAGATCGATAATAAAGTGCAGTCCACTAACTTTAAATCGTTGTAGTGTTGTGTAGTAGCGTTTATATGTTCTGTTAGCGAGGTGATCTCTTATTGACGTGTTTCTTTTGACTGTTGTATGGTAAGATCGGATAGTGTAGATAGATTTTAGAAGTTTAGATACGAATAATTGAAATAATACGAAATATGATAGCTGCAAACGAAGACTGGCAGATGTTTAGGCGACATTGTAAAGTATAAATAGTACAGTAGAGGCGTTACGTTTAGTATCGGTTCAGCTTATACACTGTGATGGTAGTTGTTGGGGGCAGTTAGTCGGAAACACATCAATACGGAGGCGGACCGCGGCACTGATTGGAAGGTGACCGAGTGAATGGAAATATCATTTCATTCGATTTATGTGTATTCCTATTTCGAAATATTTTATTTTTAATGTTTGGTAGAGCAGTGTTTGGTACATAGTAAGCATTTTATCGGGAACTGAGTGTAGCTCATATAATTTGTATCACATATAGACACACTGATGGCTTATATGTTGCTTATTTGCTTCTATAGTACTAGTTTAGTGATAGTCTTATGTATGATAATTGTTAATTTATTTAAATTTGCTTATGGCTTTTAATTTACGTTTTTTTTGAGATTATATTATTATTATTGGCGAAGCAGTTAATTCAAAAACTAAATTGATTATTTTACTTGTTAAAGAAATACGCCAAAAATATTATTACATTAGACATTTGACGCGTGACGTAATCATTATTTTACATTTAACATTTTAAAGACCATTTATTGTTAGTCATGAGGTGAAGCATTTACATAGTATTAAGTTTGTAAAGTCTATTCAGCTGATTTATATTAGCTAAGAGAAAGAGAAATATATCGGTGATCGTCTCCTTTTATGGCACAAACAGTGAGTATTTATTAGAGCAAGAAATAAGTAAATTACATATTGTGTGCAGATTATTAGATTTTAATAGAAAAATAGACTTACGATTCATTTAACGATAAGAGTTATGTTATATCACATTATCGTTACGACAATAGTAGGAAGTATGGGACTCAGTAATAGATATCCATTATTTGTATTAAACTATTAAAGTATTTTGTTTACGTTAGTAAGACTTGGCAAGTTGTCTCTCTGCTTTTACTGTTTAGGTTGTGCCGACAGATGCTGTTAAATTTTGTTTTATTTTGATATATATTCATTATTTTAAAATGTGTGAGAGTTGCGTGAATGAATGGGCGACGCGCGACGTGTATGCAATGCGTATGTGACGTGATAATTATGGTACGGAGGCCGCAGCGCCTGCAGCTCGGGCGGGCCTCGTGTATATTGTACAGACACAACTTAGAGACGAGTAGAACTACTCATTGACAATATGAACGTGACCAATTTACGCTATCTAGAATCTGTGCAGTCCAGGTTGGTGCATTGTTAAAGACTTGCTGTTAGGCTATTTCTCTTACGTTACGTTTTTACTCAATGTTTTTCTATATCCACATCAATGCCAAAGCAATGTTTTGTTTTGATTTGACAAAGTTGTACTTGTGATCATTTTTATGTAATTAGTTTATTATAAATTTATAGTTATTCACATTCTTTTTCAAGGAAATTTTCTATCCACCTTTAAAATGTTAAGTAAACCGCGCAATTGACTCATAAATTATTGTAGATAGTTATCAAATTGGAATAATAAGGTTAATCAATCATCAAAATACGGCCTAAGAAAAAATATTTAATAATTAAAATAATTTGTCAAGTCCACAACAATACAGAGTGCACCAACCCATACCAAATTGTGCAATAATATAGAAATGTAAAAAGTTTAGCCAAAACTTCAAGAGAGCTTGAACAAAGTTATTCAATATCTATATTACTAAAATATTGTAAGAAGTGTATTAACTACATAATGTGATCATGAAGATGAATTTGAGTATGCATAGAATGTTATGTTGAGAAAATAACTGTAATTATGTATGTAGTATAAGTTGAAAATGTATTAATTATTGTAATAGGTAACTGAACAAGACATTTAATGTGGTTCCAACATTTTTCATGTTTTTTGACAGTTGTAAAACACCAGTGCCATGTATGAGCAACTTGTGCATATAAATTACCTACTACCATACTATATTAAAAGACTCACCATGATTATACTGTCGTTTTATTGGCCACGCGATAGTTGGCACATCACTTACGTAAAGTCACGCTTGGTAGATTGTTACTTTTTACCTTTATCAATGTTAGAAAATTTCCAAGTTGTCTACGATCTAAATTAGGATCGACTGATAACCGAATGACACATTTTCTACCGACTTCAAATAAAGGAGGAGGCTATGTTCGGCTGATTGTTTTTTTTGTGTGTGTTCGCCGATTTATCCGCCATTTGTGAACTGATTTCCAAAATTCTTGTTTTGTTTGAAAGGTACTCATGGTCCCATTTCCATAGGTCAGGATCTGATGATGAAATCCTAGGGAAACCGAGGGGAACTTTCGAAAATTGTAGGAGCTAGTAATGCGTCTATTATGTTTTTCAATTAGGATTTTTAAACAATTTGATAAGGGTCTTGAGTCGACCTGATGATGGAGCCGACAGACACTCGAGAGAACTCCTCAACGGTTTATATTAACTACCTTGTGTTTTAAATTTGTATTGATTAGAACTTTGCACCTATGTGTAGATTATAAGTGACAAAACTGATCTATGTAGTTACACTAAAATTGATAAAATATTAAAATAAAAACCGCGCTTCAAAAACCGACTACAAAAAAACAAAAAAAAATAATAACAAACAAAAATCAAAACTAAAACGCAAAAGATAACTATTATTAGTACTGATAGGTTACCCACCCACTAATAGGTTAGAAGTCGGGCCGGATTTACAATGGAAGTTTGCCGATCTCTTTTGTAATTTATGAGAGCCAACGAACGCAAGCACCACAAGTGATAGACACACATGACGTCATCGGAACCACAGAACATATAAAGATCGGAACTGTAGGTCCGTTTTAGCGCGAAAATGAGATTGTTTAAATTTTTTGATATGCATGAGCTATTTTATATGAAATTCTTTAACATAAAAACAAAACTAAAAATATTGCATGTTAAAATCCGCCGAGAATTTTTAACTGTTTTTGTCGACAAGTTCAAGGCTTAAAATGTTTTATTCGGTTACCAGATAGGTGAAGGTCGATCTTAATTCGGATCTCGTACTACACTACTACAGTACGCAAAATTAATACGTTTTATTGGAGGTTTACGATAATATACAAAGCGCAAGGAGTGACGCCAGGAGACGGGGCCGTGTGTGTTTGTTTGCGAGTGAAATGGTCAAGTTTGCCTTTTTTATGAAAGTGTGCCATAGACATCATGTATGTATTATGTACCTAACCATTTAAAATACTTAAATGTTTTTGACTTAAAGCACGAATTTCTATTTCTTTCACTTAAAATTGCAATTCCGCGTCCGACTCCAATAACTTCCGCAACCTCGGAAGTGAATCTCTTTTCCGCATCCGCTTCCGCGAAGGTCTCCGTTAAAACCACAGAAATATTAAAAAAGGAGAAGTGGCAAGGGGGCGTGTCGGTGCCGCTCGCACTTGAGCGTTCGGCTCAATGAAGGAAAATATGGCCGTCACCGCGAGTTAGTCTGTTGTCACCCGCGATCGTACAACAAACAATAAAATACCGTCTTGTGCAGTGATTTCGTGCAGACATATAAGCCAAAACAAAAACTGTAGAAGTCATGGCTTCGGTTATCATGTGTAAAAACAAATATTTACAATATTTATCTTAAAAATCACGAAAAACAACAAGTTATTACTTTATTTTTATTTTTCTATATTACTCCCGACTGTATTATGTATACATTAATACATTGCTCTTTTACAACCACCCTAGTGTGACACTGAGTAACTAAACCAGCAATGTAAAAGTGACTTAACGAAACGCTCATCAAGACTCGATGTCACATGGTGCTTCCGCTGCTCAGGTCCGCAGTCTTTGAGCGAGATAGTGATGTGGTCGTGGAGATTTATCAAAGACTATCGACAAGAAAGTCGACTACAAATAGTTATTTATTTGTTCACTTGTAATGGTTATAGTATTTTAATTTAATTTTCATCAATTAACCATTATCTTTGTATGCATTATAATGATCAGCATCGCATAGTTAGTTTTGTACTCACAGAGCAGTCCCCAATAAATAACCAAATAATATTATTAATAAAAGCAGTCATGGGAAAAATATACAACATTAAAACCACAGTATAAATATATACAGTAGGTTATCTAAGGCCGCCCGCCGAGTTATTAGCCTACTCTTGCGTTGATCCCCAGGGTTGTCACTTTTACTTTTAGTTAATATTTTCGAACAAGCAGCACTTGATCTAAATTTATGAAATGAAAAGCATATTATGATTGAATATTTTATCAATTTATAAATTTAGTAAAAATAAAAAGATTATTAACTTCTTAAAATAAACATTAGCTCTATACATAGTATTCAGAAAGTAAATTTGGGAATACATTTATATGGAAAAATGTGACTCGGCTACGCTCTTAACCTTTTGAACGCCAGAGCAAAAACGCATGAACTTGCCCTCAACGCCAGGCCACAAATTCACCGCAAATACCTACGAAAAAAATAGGGATTCCAAAACTTCATCGATAATCAATTTTATTTTCATTTTCGTCTTTAATTTCGAAATATAATGTCCTTATAACATTGAAATTTAATTCAACATTACATTTCTTCCTATTAAAGTAAAAGTTATACACTATTTACAGACTTGTATAATACCGTAATAACAGATATGAGACTACAATATATTTAAATATAATAACTGTAGGTACAACACTATTCTTGATCTGCTGTCTTCATATTGTGACCATGGCGTGGACGGCCCGCCATTTTAATAACTACTTCGCTTCCGAAATAAGGATGTGGCAACGTAATATCTCGTTTATCGATGTTCTAGTACAATATTATTTTATAATAAATGAAACACGTTTTTTAAATCAGATTTATAATTCCGAATGTAACAGGTACTTAAAAATATATGATTGAAATAGGTTAAGAAGGTAAATAAAAACTATGAAAAAATAGAAAATTTTAATAAAATGTTATACAGTATGTACTATGTATACATGTTTTTAAATATTAAGTTCTATAAACCTGGCATAAAAAGTAACAAATTAAAACAATTAACGATTATATATAATTATCACAATTACCAATAAGTCTTATACTAATAAATCTTTTGAATAATAGAACAAAATTATACAAAATCTACAATGCAACCTGCATTCTGATCATCTAATTCGCTGGGTGCAAAGTGGGTGGTGGGGACAGTGAAATCGATCTCAGCGCGCACCGTGGCTAAAAAAGGAACTTTTGGCAGACTTTATTCCACGAAGTTCTTCCGTAGTCATTAAATTCCCACTCATTATAATAGTCACTTAATATAAATCTTGAACTCGATATCACAAGTAAATTAATCATAAATATTATTCATTCACTTCACTAATTTCTGGTCGCCGCGCTTGTGACGTCACGATATTGTCGTCTAGTCGTGACCATGGCGTACAGGGTACTGATAATTCGGGTTGCGTTAGAGATGCGCTTGAGTTGGGATTAGTGAATATCGAAATTCGACCCAACCAAATTGTTTGTTGGTTTCATGTCGTTTTTACTTTATTTCCAAAACCTTTGTAATAAATTTATCGACATATTCATCGGGAGCTATCGATACCGTCAAGTCACTACGGCTACGGTAGATCCACCCCTAACACACACATTGACAAATTGATTTCGTGTGAGTAAATCATAGGAGAATGTGCGCTGTCGTTTAAAGAATAAGGCTTATATTTGAATTAATGAGTTATCGATGCCGCGTGTGTGCACTTATTCGTAGTATTGTTTTGTCTGAACTGTGTGTGTAAAATTAGTTTTATGGAGGGGCAGTTGTGGCCGCACCGGTTTTGCGTACAGTTTTGACTCCACACCATATCTCCTTCTTTAATATATCTGTGGTTAAAACCCTAGTAGGATATTGCTACTAGGATGAGCTTGTCGGGTCACAGGTTTTATCAGGTCACACCGTCATAAATCCATGTTAATGTAAATAAAATCACTTGTTTAAATTACAAAAAATATTTACTGTAGTATCCAAATAATATCTATGTATCTAATAAAATAATCAGCAGTTATGTATAAAGATTTGTACTACACAAGTACCACTTTATATGTCATTATAAAAAATAAATTATTAACAACAAAATCACCACAAGTAATCTCCAAGACTAATCAAGACTTATTCACCCGACAATAGAAATATTACATTTTAGTAATAGGTATTTGTTTTTATTTGCCATAGGAGACTATTTATTGGTGTGCACATAAAATTAAAATAACAATGACTTGGTATGGTAACTAAATTATTACTGTCTTTAAATAAAAAAAGAAAGGTGCCTCGTAGTAGCAATAACAATTAATTTAATATAGTACAGATGTACAATCAAAGGTAGATAAGAATTTACAAAAATAATACCTTCTGGTATCTGCGACACGTAGACAGTAATTATGATTAGGCACAAAGGTGACATTCTCTATAAAAATATAATCTTCGGATTGTTTATTACAAGGATATATTCGATTCAACAGAAGCAAATTCAAACATTTGATTTTATTATTACGAGTATTAAATTCTGCCCAATTATTGATCAAAGCATCTTCGTACTTAGGACTACAAACAAGGCATAGTTTATATCATATTCATATTATTTTTCACGTGGCGACACTTTAGTCTTTCCTCTCTTCAGCAGGTATGAAGTCCAAAGAAGCAGAATTAATGCAAAAGCGTTTTCGTGTGGGCGCTGGCCCGTCATCGAACACATGCCCCAGGTGAGCGGAGCACTTGGAGCATCGCACCTCAGTTCGCACCAAACCTGGTCGTGTTAAAACCAGTAATATATTTGCTCCAACTTTAATGATTTCCATTTCACACACCAGGTCCAATCACCAAAAAGCCATTTATTTACATTTCACATTAAACAATGAATGATATGAATATTCCGAGTCGGTGTCGAGAGCATGGTGTTTGCACGCGTCGTCACAGCGGCCGCGGCGCAGTGTCCAGCCGGCAGCCATCCAGGAGGAGCACAGGCGGGACGGGACAAGACGGGGCGGTTCAGGTGGCGAGGACAAATGCATATTATTTATCATGCGCATTCCACAACAGTTAGGGTGATGTCACAATAAAGGCGTGTAACAGTTAAGTAGCGAGTGATGCAGTAGTTCAACAATACGGCCGCATCCAAATTGAATTGTGTGATCATTTGTGTATTGTTTGTGACCGTTCAACCAGAGTTGAACGAGATTAAAATTATGTAAAATAGCATGAATACATTGCAATATTATTTGCGAGTGTGGCGTATTTGTGTAAAAAGTAACGAGATATGACACACAGTGCATTTTCAATAATTGTTAAACGATAGATGAAGCATCATATTGGATTTACCCAACGATTACCAATCAGGGCCGACTTACGTTTGTTGTGGAGTCAGGATTGTGTCGGAGGATGGTCAAGGATACAGGGAAGACAGAAAAAAGATAAAATGTATTAGCACCAGAATCCAATTTCCCATCACCAGATTTTATGGTTCACAAGTATAAAATAAATTTAAATATATTTACAAATATTTTAGGCATTGTTTTGTCTCTTATAAATAAATATTCCAAAATGTTATTAAATAATATAAAAAAATATTTATTTGTGTAGTACCCATACTAGTTGGGCTGGGCATAACTGTTTAATGTTAAATTAATTAAACTTTGAAATTACTAAGATTAGTTTAAAATCATGCTTTCCAAAAAATCAAACCAAAGCACATGCTAAATATTTACATCAATGTTTTGCATGCGATTAAGTCTTAATAGACTCATTATTATTATCATCAGCTTACACATTGTAACAATTGTATACTGTTATTGGATGTGGTTTGAACCTATTATATAAACAATTAAATGTAGGATGACTAAATTCAAAACCAACACATTGTCTTTCATGTTATGAAGCAATACATCATGCAATCTATTCTTATTTCTTTCTTATTCTTCTTGTGAGTGTTGAGTCAGTCTCACATGTGTTATTTGTTTATATTAAGTTTATAACTTGTTCAAACATCATTGTGATAGCAACTAAGTCAATAATAATATTTCGATTATCATGTGACAGGATACGAGGTTTTGTTTTTATCACATAAGTGAGAATACTAAATGCTTATTTTTATTTCTTATTACTTTTTATTATTGTTTTTAGGTTTTCCATTCACTATGTAAAATGTTTTTGTTGAAACTATTCTAAATTAATTTGTATTAGTACCTATATAATATTTAATATAATAAATAAGTATTCTGTTTAAAACAGTCCGATATTGAGAAGTACCTACTTAGTATTAGGAATATATTAAGTATATATTATATTTTCCAATGGTTGAAGGGCATAATCATGGATCACAACACAGTGCATGTATAAATAAGGTAAGGTATGAATCAAGATATGGAAGTAATACTATAACACTATACTTATATAGGTATGTGTTGCTCAAGGTAATTTGATAGCTAGAGGGTACATGTCACAATCTCACTATAATACCGTCTGTTGAAATGTTTAGTGTAATACTGTTATCAAGCATTACTTGATAATAATATGTACATATATAATAATAGGCACTTCTTGTAAAATTTGATAACAAGTCAAGAATGATTGGGCAAAAAAAATTCTAGAATTAAATATGCAAAATTTTGTCAAGTCATGCTGTCTTCTACTGGACAGTGCAATAAAAAATATTATTACATTTCCCGCTGGGTTTTACATATCCAATATCATATGAACATTAATTTTACATCAAAATTTTATAGAGTCCAAGCCAGTTATTATGAATATTGAGAATATTAACACTAAAAAATCTAATATTAGATACTACTACTTTTTAGGTGTCATGCAATGATGAAGACAATATTATGAGGCAGTATGATATATCCAACAATATATTTATATAAATTGTAAGGATTATTGAATGGAATATGATGATACCTATTAATGAGGCATAAATTACAAATGTGCAATTACAAAGGGACAATTTGTCACGGAAATGGGTAAGCTTCCAATTCTAATAATAAATAACAGTGAAGTGGCAGTTATGAGTCAAGCCAATACCAGATTTGCTTAAGTTCTTATAAAGTTGTAGTGCACTGTCATTTAATACTAAAATTAGATTGAAGGATACTGGCAGTGGAAGGAATTAGACAGCAACCTTGTATGGAGGCCTGCTTTAGGAACACTATTGTTGAGCCTATTATATCTAATGCTCTGTGTGCTATTGAATGGCATTGAAAATTTGTTCCATATTATTGTTCATTTCAATGAATGTTTCAAATGTTACACCAATGTGGACAAAAATATTAGTGATATATATATAAGTATATACAGAGATCAACATAATAACAAATATACATCATTTCTATAATGTATTTGTTTTACTGAATTCAAAAAACAAATCTCAAAACAGACATCACAAATATTTTCATTCCAGTAGTAATTCTGTTGGACATGACACTGACACCCCAAATAGTTTTCAAATTATTAAAAACTATTACTTACAATGTATTAATATATCATGCATTAGTCACAGTCACATAAATACACTGACAGGATGTTTATTTACTTAGCTCTACATACCTGCACTTGTGTCCTGGTGCAAAGTAACCTTTTCTTTAGAGAGAACATCATTAAATGCTGGCCAACCACATCCTGAGTCATACTTGGTCTTAGAAGTGAATAGGTCTTGCCTACAAACTACACAACAATACATGCCTTCCTCATAGAATTTGTTGTAACAACCTGGAATATACAGGAACGTATTTATTATGGAAACAATTTTAAACTTTTTTCATTGTAGGATATCATGGTACATCAATTAAACAAAAGCTTAACCTGTATATGGTCTTTCTGTACCCGCTTCTTGAGTAACATGATACTGCAAGGGAGTTAATCTTTTCTTCAACGACTCTTTATCCTCCATGGCTCTCCACACTAATGCTAAAACACAAATCAAACTTGTATGTTTAGCTAACTCTTCGTATCTAACTGGCACATTTCCAAAATAGACCGTGAACGAGGTCCTTCCGTATTTATATATCGGTAGCATAGACTACTAGACACGCAGCTGTGCGAGCGTCGTACCTGTTGTGAATGGATGTTTTAACTGCACGCTCCTGTTCGCCTGCAGCGCCTTCCTAACTATAACTATCGGCCTCAGTAATAATCGCATTACTTACATAGCCTAATACGTACGTTGCGTAACTGGATGATACGGCTTTCTAATAATAATAATAATGAAGCGATAAGATAGTGCCACTAGTTTGCTACTATGAAGTACGACGAAACTTAGATCGATGATACATTCGGCTCTACTGCTCTACAAGCCGAAAGTAGGTAATCTGTCATGTCAAAGTCAATTGTTAATGTCAAATTTCAAATGTGTTTTGTTCGCGCTTGCGATGTTCATATCAGCTGGTCAAAGAGTATAATAAGTATAGGGGTTCAGCTGGTTGTCCGTCACATCTAGAGATAGGCGATTTTTCGGATAATTACTGAAAATAGAGATAAATACTGAGTATTTATCCACTTTTTTGGATAATACTCAAGTAGAAACGAATAAATATTCAGTACCTATTTATCCATTCAGTTCCCCTATAATTTATTAAGAATATCTAGATACCTATAAAAAGACTATCTTTGGTATTCAGAGTAGGTATGGTGGGTACCACTAAACTTATTATGCTCTTTCTCTTTGGAGTATGGCCAACGAAAGCAGCCCAAAAATAATGGAGCCTTTTTGTATCCGTAAGAGAAGAAAAAATACGTGGCGAATGTTTCCAAAGAATCTACCAGACGGACATGAAATAATGTTACCTGTCGTTATCGACGATGGTGTGACACTAGGTAATTCCCTATTGGACAAAGAACGAGAGGTCCACACTAGTGCCATCAGGTGAACAAAAATACGGTAGGCTCCATTGGCAACGAGTTGCCGACCCCCGGGGGCGAGTGCATATATAATTTCAATAGTTGCTCTTGCGATTGCAATCAACTATTCGTATATGCATTTCTTTTAATTACACGGACTGTATAATAATAATAAACAGTGAATATTTGCATAGGTATAATCCAGTAGCCAAGATTATCCATCAGCAACTTTGCTTTGCACTATCGACTTGTTGAGTTTAAGGTAACTACCGTACTACAAGTACCTATGTGCTCGTCCTAGTTCTGGAAAATGACCATATCACATTGTACTGAGGCCGGTTTATCATTACTGACAGGACTATTGTAGCCAATAAGCCTGACACAGTGGTGAAAGACCGACAAGTGCGCCGCACGATGATAATCGATGTCATCATTTACCATGATGAGAACCTCGTAAAGGTGAGAATGATAAATAAATAAAATATCTAGACTTAGCTCATGAGGCTGTCGACATGTGGAGTGTGGATTCGGTTATCATTGTGCCGATAGTCGTGTCGGCCAATGGGTTAATCCTCGACATCCATCTCAGGAAGCTGGCGTTAGGTGGATGGATCAAGGGCCTGGTACACTGATTCAGAAGGCAGTTCTCCAAGAAACGGCACGTATCGTGAGGAAGTTTGTCTCTGGAGCCCTAACCACTGGTAGCTTCGACCATGCTCCCGCTACTGGTCGGCTCCTATTTTTTATATCTTTATATATTTTTTAATTTTATAAGTAGTATTTAAATTTTTTTAGATAATTTTAAATTAATCTTTATATATATAATTCTTCTGTGAGTGTGTATGTATGTCACTGACTTCTCTCAAACGACTGGACCGATTTTGACGAAATTTTTTGTGTGTGTTCAAGGGGATCTGGGAATGGTTTAGATTCACAAATCAGCCCAGCAGATGGCGCTGCAGTCGATGTTTAGGTTATTTATCCTTAAACAGCTGAACTAATTTGAATGAATTTTTGTTTATACATTCAAGTGGATATGCAGGACAACGTCAGTTGGGTCCGCTAGTATATGTATGTAATCATGATCAGACAATCTAGTTTACTTGGCATCGAGCATTTCTTTCTTTGTTTCATTTTAGAGTTTCCTTTTCTATTTTTATAAATTGTCAGTATGCATATGTGAGCACCATGTTGGACTATTTAAGGTTTGTTTTGTTTTAATTTTTATTTTAGTATTTTTGTAATTTGTTTAATGCGTCAAGCGTGTCTATGCATTGTTCTCATATATACATAAGTACAGTACCTATTTTTTTTAAGGGGGGAAAATCATCGAATGACTGCGCCCGTCTAGGTGAGGCGGGAGGGAGTGTCAGGCTGTTACTGACTAAAAACCACCCCGTTCCTTCTCCTACACGTCGAGCCGGAGCCCCGGTAACCCGTTAGGTTCTCCGCGACATATGTACAGTATTGGAATATGTATCGGAGACATTGTAGAACAATTTTTTTTAAAAAAAAAGGGAAACGAGTGGAGTTTTTACTCGTTCTTTTGCATTCGAATCTACATTTTGGAATGAGCAGCTAGCTTGGCCTAGCTTCACTGACGGACTGACTGACAGGCTATCATTTATTTTGTATTAGTTGACGTTTCAAAACTACCAAATTATGGTTTAATTGAAATAAATGCGTTGACTTGAATTATAAAGTTATTTGTACACCTTAAATCAATGAAATATAAGTACATGTAACGTTATAAAAAGAATAGTAAGGTATAAAGGCGGCCTTATCCCTAAAAGTGATCTCTGCACGGCAACCACGGCAACCTTTAGGTGAATGGCGCACAGTAGCATTGTATATCTATTATAATTATTAGGTATATTATTTTATTGGACGGAGGAAAAATGTTGAATATTTGACAATTCTTCCATACCTTCTATAATATATCTGTGTTCCATACTAAACTGTCAATTGTCAATTTTATTAGAGGTATAAAACTAGCTTCTGCCAGCGGTTTCGCACGCGTTTCCGGGGGTAAAAAGTAGCCTATGTATTTAACATAGGCTACTTTTTACCCCCGGAAACACGTACAAAAACAGGGGTAGATTACCATTATCTAATCTACCCCTGTTTCAAATTTCATCCCTGTCCTTTTAGCCGTTTGATGTAACCGAGTAACAAATTTATACACGAACACACAAACTAACATTGCCTTTTTTCCATTTCTAACGGTTTAAGCTAATTTCGACCATCTACAGTTACAGCGTAAGGTCCACAGCGGAGTAATTAAATCAAAAAAACATTTAATTAAAATGTTATTGGTCCAGGTCTTAGAGCAAAAAGTACCTATTTATAAAAAATAAGAATCTAAGAATGGTTGAGAATAGTATGTTGTCTATGGAATGTTGATCACCATTTTAGCGATTTCATCTTGTCTGTGTTTTTCCTTGTCCTTTTTTAGATCACCTCTTTCCAAACGTTTCTTCTTTGGTGAACTAGCACCAGAACACCCGGCACTGCCATTACAATTCACTATCACTCATGAAAAGTAACTGAAGAAACTTTTAAAACTTACAAGGTCCCCTATAAGCAATGACTAAATTACATACAAATTCTAATAGTGTCCTACTCGACTTAGTTTCGTCCCGTCCCTGTCGCACTTACTTACTGATTTTTATAGTTAAGTAATAATTGTACCTATTGTACCTATGTTGATCATATTCTATACATATATTGAATGTGTGATTATGCGTTGGGAATCCCCGCATAGTGGAAGCTTTTATCGTGTTGCCAAATGTAATATTTCAGCTTAAATAAGGGGTTAAATTGAACGAAATCCAAAAAATATAGTATTATCTCGTCATCAAGATAGTATATAGAATGAAATAAAATATAGAAGGAAAAAATAGTACAAATATTATAATTATAGTACGAATCCCAACACTGCACGCATGCGCGCTGTGCATCAGTTGCGTCGCTATACACGAGCCGGAGCGGGGTGTTACCGTACCCGCACCCCGCTCCGGCTCGTGTATAGCAACGACAACGACGCGCGGCGCGTGCGGCGCGTGCGGCGGCGGCGGTGGCGCGGCAGGAACGAACGACTACCGAGCAACTAAACCATAGATTAACACTAAACTATGCTAACGAGGCGCAAGATAACAATAATTACCATAATTATGAGTATGGCGTAGCTTAGCTCAGTAAATTTCTATAAAGAGGTGAAATAAAGTTTGCTCAGATCGCCAGCCCGCCCGCCTGCTAGGGGGGGCAGCCCCCCCCCCCCCCCCGCCTCCCTCTCGCTACGCCCATGTCCAGTCAGCTATACATCGTTGTCGAGTTCTTGTAGAATGGATGAGGGGCTTTTCAAATCACAGCCAAAGATATTGTGGAGGTCATCAAAGCAATGAAGCGTGGTAAATCCCCGGGACACGATGGCTTGAGTATTGAACACTTATTGTACGCAGGTCGGTATATTGCTGATACTTTGGCGTTACTCTTTAATCTTTGTTGGCAACACTAGTACCTACCTGCAGAGCTTATACGTACGATAGTTGTGCCCATAATTAAGAACAAAATGGGCGATGTTACTAGTATGTCTAACTATAGACCTATATCACTGGCAACGGTGGTGGCCAAGGTGCTTGAGCGTCTGATACACAAAGTGTTGAGTCCTGCACTTAAGTTTGATGATGGGCAGTTTGGTTTTCGACCTGAGGTATCAACTGACATGGCTATTTTCTCACTAAAACAGCTTGTATCGCAGTATGTGGAACAAGGTACAAGCGTTTATGCTTGTTTCCTTAATCTGAGTCGCGCATTTGACACAATTAATCACGACTTGCTATGGAGGAAACTAGGTAGGTTTAAAGTGGAAGCTGGGGTTGTTGGACTTATTAAATACTGGTACTCTAATCAAATCAGTCTAACAATATCAGGTGGGAGACTGCGATGTCGGAGAGCTAAAGGCTGTCTGTGGCGTTAGACAAGGTGGGTTAACCTCTCCTGATCTGTTTAATGTTTACATGAATGACTTGATTAAGGAACTGAGTAGGACGGCAGTTGGGCTTAGGCTTGGTGATAGGTATGATAACAACTTGAGTTGATGATATGGTTCTGCTCAGCCCCTCAATCAAGGGTATAAGGAGACTATTGGCGATTTGTGAGATATACCGTAACTGTATCCGTTTTATCTTCGGTCTTCGTAAATACGACCATATTTCTTCTTTTCGCGCTCAGCTTAAATGGCTTCCTGTCCGTGAGAGGAGATCCCTCAGATCCCTCTGCATGCTCTTCTCTATTCTTAATGATCCTTGTGCTCCAGATTACCCAAAATCTTGCTTCCAGCTATTAGGCAGTTGCCACAACCGTAACCTCCGCTCGACGGATAACTTGCTCCTTGAAATACCTTTCCACCGGACCTCTTTTATTTCTAATTCCTTTACAATAAGTGTCATCAAACTTTGGAACGCGCTCCCCCTCAATACCAAAAAAGCTATATGTATAGCTATATTATTTAATAATTACCTTTTTATTTTTTTTCCTCTCTCTCTCTTTGCTGTTAGTTTATTCTCCGTACCTTATTTTTCGCAGATTTTCTACTTAAACCCTAAGGTTGACTGGTAGAGATGCCATATGGCATTAAGTCCGCCTTATGTGCCATATTAAAATTGTGTACATTAAAGACTAAATAAATAAAAATATACGCGCGAGAACATAATCTAGTATATAACGCGAAGAAGACTGAAATGAAGACTGAAATATATTCAAATCAGGAAGAGGTCCATATAATGTTCCACCAATTTGGCTCGGAGGTCAAATTGTTAGAATAGTAGAAAGTTTCAGGTACCTTGGTCACATACTGAAGTCAGATATGAAGGACGACGCTGATATAGACAGATAACGCACAGCATTGTCAATCGTTGGTAATATGATAGCTAGGAGATTCTTTAACGTCGCGAGAGACACTCCGGGCGTCGGGGATCGCGAGACAATCTCCGGCCACCGTAAGCACGGGCCTGCGGACGGCGAGCATGGGTGACTCGCCGCCCGACCAGAACCAGGCCCGAGCGTACGGTGCGTCGCGTTCCGCGCGCGCCTCAAGGAGCCATCAGACCACCACAGATGGGGCCTAACAGGGCTGATGCCGATACGGAGCCGCGGAAGACTTAACGGGTTGCCGGGGCTCTGGCTCGAAGTGCAGGAGTAGGAACGGGGTGGTTTTTAGTCAGTAAGAGTCTGACACTCCCTGCCGCCTCACCCGGGCGGGAGAAATCATTGGATGATTTTGCCCCTCAAAAAAAAAGGAGATTCTTTAAAGCCAATGCCCAGACGAAAGTTCACCTATTTAGAACATACTGTCAAAGTTTCTACACGTGCCAACATTGGACTCGTTACACGAGGAGGTCTCTGGATGGTATACGTGTCCTGCAATAACATCTTCAGACAGCTAATGGGTCTTGCCCCGCACTGTAGTGCATCGGGTATGTTCACAGAAGCGAGGCTGGATGCGTTTAATGCTATCCAGAGAAAGCGAATCGCTGAATTTTTATCTAGAGTTGGGCACAAACAGTATCATTAAGGAGTTATACAACCGATTGTATGTCACGTCTGTAGGTATATAAAAAATGGATGTAGATTGCAGCGCAATGCTGTTCATGTTATTAAGGTTGTTATTGTGTATGGTAACATTAAGAGATGATATTTTCCATTCTGTTAATTCTTTTTTTAGTTTATGATAAATGGTATTTTTTTTGTTTGTTTGTTTCTTTCTTTTTTTAGATAATATAGTTATGTCCTGTTTTTTTTTGTTCCTTATAGTATAAGATATGGAGTGTACAATTCCGAATAAAGAATTTACTATTACTATTAAAGGACATGTGAAGGAACACTACCTGACACCGTAGATATGCTTTTGTCCTTTCATTATGGATAAACACACCAAACGCACACACACACACATACACACACACATACACACATACACACACACACACACACACACACATACACAACTATATGTAGTTATCATATTACATTTAAGTATATATTTATTACATAGTATCTATTGCCCATTTTTATCATTTTAGTATGTATTATATGTAGTCTGTAAGTTTTCTATGTATTATAATATATGTAGTCTGTAAAAATTCCAAGGTTGTCTGGAAGAAATCTCAGCGTGTGATAAGACCGCCCATTGTACTCAAATTACTATTGCAATGTTTAATTGCAATTTTTTTCTGTGTGTGCAATAAAGTATAAATAAATAAACAAATAAATGCCATGCAACGCATTACGTCCGTTAAAATGTTCGGTAGGAGTAATTAACCCGCCAGTTATGATCACGTGGCCTGCTAGAGGATCCTGCCAACGCATTTTTTATGGATTAATTTGGTTCAGCCTCCAAAGGGTTCGTTTTCACTAGGCCACCACCGCGTCACCTTCGCACCGCCATGCTGTGTAGTCTGTACACAATGCCGCTGCGGCGACATCGCGCCGCTGTCTTCTACGTCCGTTTGATTTTACGACACATTACCATGCATTATGGTGATGAACATCAAATGTTCTTTACTAATACACCTTTTCTTACAACGCTCCAAAAAATTGTTCGGCCGTTGGAAAATCGGCTCTCGTGTCTAGAATTGAATTGAAAAAGAATTGTCCGATTCGAAAAACACATTTAAAAGCAAAACCAGTGCATGCTTCATAAATAATGGACCCAATAAACGGATAGAAGAACTAAAACTGAAACAAGGAAATTATAATTTCATATCTTTATTTATATTTTGTAAATAGATAGTACAACACACTTAGGTGAAATAATGAAAATTAAGTAGGTATATTTACTATAAAATATACTTAACAAAAGTTACTTTTAATACCTACCTAGGCTTGGTTAGAAATACAATTACTAAAAAATATTATCCAATTAACCCAGAGGCGGATTAACCGTACCGAGCGGCCTAGGCAAGCACCTCATAGGCGCACCTAATTTTTTTTGCAACACCAATGGGCTGATGGCCTCGCGTGTCGCGGTGTCCCTCTGTGACCTGGCGCCCTAGTTACTTACCTAGTTTGCTTAGGGATAATACGGCTCTGAATTTATAATACTAATAACACAACGCCATAACGAAAACCAATCTCTTAACCCCTCGAGCGCGTCCTTATGAGCACCCGGTGGATCATAAGAAAAAATGCTTCATGCTGCTTTCTCTTTTATAAAATCTATTATTAATGTTTCGTTTTTATTTTGACTGTATTTGTTTTATTTCTATTGTAATGATCCTTGTTTTCGTGTGCCAATCGCCAAATAAATGCATTATCTTGCATGCATAAGGATAAGGAAATGCATAAGGAACGCGGACACTCGACGGGTTAAATTGTAAGTACTTACATAACATCAAAACGTAGTGTTATTACCCGACTGTAGGAAGGGTATTGTTCTTTTTTACTTAATGAGAAAGAGAAAATAAATTCTATCGATTTAGGTATTCCGAACCCTTCAGGTTGCAGGACTCTTCTTACGCGCATAAAGGTATTAAAGGACAGGATAGATACAAATTCATTTAAGGTGCTGATAAACATTTTTTTTCCAAATACATTTGCAATCAGCCCCAAGGCTATAAGCAAATCTTCTGTGCGATCTGTCATGCGGAGTGACTTCCCATTGGAAGCTCTACTCATCAGCTGCCTAGACCTACTGTCTGTCTTCGAGTTCTAGGATGTGGTGTCGTTTTAAACGTTTCACATACTGGTTCATGGTGAGTTGGCGAGCGAGTTCGTTAGCATGTCGGGTTAACCGCTGATAAACATAATCATTCACTTGTAATGAGCTTTCTTGTATCACATTAAGAAAACTTTCCCTTAAAAGAAAAATAACGAGAGCTTCTAGCGAGCATTGTATTAAAGCGTTCTGGCAAGCATTCTACCGAACGTTCTGCCGACCATTTTGGCACTGGCAAGTGGCAAAGGACAGTAAAGTTCCGTCAAGAGTCTTGACGGAACTTTATTGTCCTTGATGTCCGTCTCGACTCAAGACTGACATCGACTATAGTGTTCGCTAGATAATATGCCAGTGAAAACGTTTGTAGGTTGCAATTTTTAGCTTTATGTTCAGATCGATTCGAATCCATGTTCTCTTACCAGTGAATTCTCAGGTCTATCAACATCTTATACGTAAACCTATTATTATCGCCGTGTGATTCACGGTTTTGACTTTTGCTTCAATATCTGGAAGTAAAATTGTAAATACAACGATTTTATTATCAGCAGGTAATTAAATTGATCACAGCATAATGTTATGATACCACTAACCACACTCAGCACAGATAGACAGATATCCTAAATTACAATATAGGGAACTACCCCTAACGATTGTTTGGGGTGCTATGCTATATACATAAGTACCTAACTAATTTGCACTAAAGGACAAATCTCCCTGAATAAGGGTTCCCTGTTATTAATAGAATATTTTATGTTCTTTCCGATTTTAATAGACTTACCGATAGTGACTCTCTACTTTTTTGCATCTGCGTGAGAACATAATCGGTGTCGTCTTGCTCAGAATCCACGCACGAGTCGTCGTGCTGTTCTCGTTGCGTAGCGGAGTCGATGTGTCGACCATCGCGCAAAAGGGGTCGCATCTGTTAACATCAACCACTTCATATTCAAATACGTTTATAGGGAGATAGGAAATACCTAAAGGTTAGTGGAGCTCTGTCTAAGAAAACATGATCCAAACTTTCAATGAATTCCACGATAAGGTCTAATAAGTACTGTTTTGCGGTAGGAGATACTTGGGTACTTCTGTAATTAAATATCGTAAAGATCAGATCTTACAAATTCACATTTGATCGGTGTGAGGCCTTGCTTCCAAAGCTCTTTGGAGAGTTCTTGTGCCTCAGGTGTCATCCACCTACGTAGGCCACCGCGACGTCGCCGCCACCGCAGCGCCGCCATCCCCTACAAACAGCCAGGAATTGCACTTTTCGCTCAAAGTGTCGAAACAATCTATCTACAATAACAATAGACCAATCGATTTTTACAAATACAGGTACTATGCATACTTACAAGTGCAATTCCTCACTGTTTACAATATAGAAAATATGTACTTATAAATATATACCTGCATGTCCTGGCTGCTAAAACACTTTTTAGTGTCGTTCTTGGAGGTCGACGTACAACAAGGGTTTTGTGTGCACTGGTTTCTGCAACGTGAAATCATTTCCTTGATCGCATCACATATGATAATGCAAGGGACGCTGACAAAGAATATCACGTTGAGGATAAATTCCACGGATCTGCAAATTAACCAAATAAAATGAACTCCAAAATGTTTCCGTAATCCTAGGTCATTTTATCATCAACGTATACCTACAATGTTATTTTACATCGGTCAAAATTGTAGGTACTTAGGTGTTGTTTGTAGGATAACACCGCGTATGGGTCTCTAATAGGTTACTTAACCCGTCGAGCGTCCGGGTTCCTTATGATCCAACGGGTGCACACGTGACATTTGGAGAAAGTAAGAAAGAAAGAAAGAAAATGCAATTATTTGGCCATTGGCACACGAAAACAAGGATCGTTACAATAGAAATAAAAAATACAGTCAAAATAAAAACAAAACATTATTAATAGATTTTATAAAAGAGAAAGCAGTATGGAGCATTTTTGACGTGACGTCTTATAAATTGGTTTGCCGGGTGACACTTCAAGAAACTACGTTACGCTCCGCTCACGTTATGCGCTCACAATGAGAGCGAGTGAGAGGCACGCGTCCCTTCCACTCGGGCATGGTTAGCCCGCCTAAGAGCGAGAGAGACAGACATAAAAAGTGAAAGGCACACCACTCAAAGTCGTTGTCACGTAAAACTTTCGCCCGTATACCGACTTTACAGGCAACCAATTTTTTTCTTATGATCCACCGGGTGCTCATAAGGACGCTCGAGGGGTTAACTCGTCGAGTACCGGTTTTATAGACACAATTAAAGAACAATAGGTCGCGGTCACCGGTGACCGCTTGGTGTTTGACAGTTTAATAACGTTTTTATTGATAGAAGAAAAAAAAATTATGATATACAGATAGCACACAATTGCAAATATTAGAAATCCTTACCTGCTTATCATACGAACGGTCCTCTCTCTGGAGTCAGGGTGGATAGGGTATCCTTCGCAGTCGTATTCAACTGGCCGACACCGAAGATTTCCTTCATAATAACGATCGATTTTTCGCGGCAGCTGCACCATCTGGTCTAAGCCCCACATTCCAATACAACTGAAGATTAGACCCAAAATCGCCTTTATGCAACCTAGAAAACAAAAGAGTTGCGTGGAATCAAAATGTGATCCGACTGTAGTCAATCAACCTTAATTTTGTGTGTGAGTTTTGATCGTGACTCCTTCGTTCCATATTGTAGAAAACAAAATGCAAATTACATTTTTTACTCACCTAGCAACAAAAGCGCCACAATAACGCCTGTAAAGATGATAAATATGTTGAGCGTGACCACGTCTTTGTAACAAGCTGACCGAGCATGTCGAGTTCTATCACGATTGGAGAGGCCAGCAGCTGATTGACGAGCTTCTGCCATTTCACGGCACAGTAACCTGGGATCATCAGCTATAGAAAAAAGATAAATTAAGAACTAGTTTACATTTTGGGCATTAACAAATAAATTATGTCCAATGGTATTTATTCTTCTCTAACCTTTGGGAGAAAGTAGAGTGATTCTAATTACTTAATTAAAAGTTAACTTACTGAGACAGACACAGTCACAGTGCCACACGCAAAAACATCGATCTCCCTTTTTCACAGACACTTCTCTTACTGCTACGGATTTTTCCTCATCGTTCACCAATGATACTGCGATATAATTATACTTAGGAGTTAAGGTATGTCCTCAACTTTATTATTAGATTCTATTATATATTACTAATACCTAATTACTTATTAGATTCTATTATAACCTACGAAGATATTGATATGGATATGATAATAGGATTCAATCATTAGATCCTGACCTGATAAAAATGGGACCCTCTCGGGAGTATACCTTTCAAACAAAACAAGAATTTTGGAAATCGGTTCACAAATGGCGGAGTAATCGGTGAACAAACAAACAAAAAAAGGACCTAAGTACTTATGCATAGATGATTGTTTTTTTTACCTTTTTCTTTTATTTGAAGTTGGTAAAAAAGAGAACGTGATGAACGTATGACCGTAAAACTTACCTGAACATTGAGCGACATCCACAGGAATCTCAATAGGCAACTCCAACCTCAGAGTCCGTGTATGTCGCGGAGGGATCAGCACCGGCCCCGCCATTGTCACTTTATTTTTTTCGTTTATCAGATCAGACAAAGCTGGTCCACAGTCTCGCGTGATGACCCTGGATATATTTTCGATTTATTTGCGTTATCAAATAAACTTTTGTAGCACAATGAATAACAAAAATGACTTTATTGAATGATAAAACATATATTTGACCTGAACCGGGCAGCAGCTAATCCCGTGTTTCCGACTTGAAGCGTAATAACCGTCCGTGTTTTACGAGAGCTATCCGCAACAGCAATTGCAATTCGCCCCGATGCACTGTATGAGAGAGCTCAATTCAAAAAGCAATCAAAATTAATTTAACTAATTTACTTTTTGATTTTAATAATTGAGTGTAGGTACCCGACACGAACGAGTTCATTCTCATCAGCTCGTGCCTCTAAATCAATCTGAGCATGATGTGGCCGTCGATGTGGTATTGTTAGGTATTTGTTAGCACCCTGGCATGCAATGTTGACTTTTTCCTCCTTTCCAGTGAGTAACGCTCTAGATGTGCGCACGACCACTCTTCGGCGACCCTGTAAATAGGGATTTATTTAGTGACGGACCAAATAAACTTTCAATAGGGATGATGACAGGGTATGAAAATTAAAAATCTAATTAGTCCGTCAGTAAGGTAATGAAAAAATATTAGACACGTATTTTTTTCATTTTGTCGTGCAATTAAATGATACTTAGATAAAACGAATCAAAGTTTAGGAGAGGGGCTAAAACGTCATTTCTACGTATAAAATGTACATAGAAGTGACGTCATGCGACATTTCAAATCAATATAATATCGTCGAAAGTATTAGTTTCTGTAAAAATTAAAAAATACGTGTCTAATGTTTTAAAATAATCTACCAGACTGACATTAAAATAAAGATTAGTCATCTACCCTATTATTACATTAAGTATTTATTACTATTCTTTATACGTGATTAGTTGATTACCCGTTCCCTTTGCTCCTCAGACCTCGAAATGTATTCAGAATCGGAGTTGTTGTCATTGTGTCGGTTAATGTTTCCATCATCATCTTTCAACCCTACTACGTCTTCTTCAGGGAGAACGATGTAGCCTTCGTCGTCAGAGTCACCTTGTAACACGGATATAGGTACAGGCTTTAATATGTAATTGGCACGTTACATGTCTATTTCGACCCCATGTAACTAGAGATACAATCAGGAAGAAAAAGAAAATAATAAATTCGAACCTGTAACCTATCTTACCATTCAGCTTAGTGCCGTTATCGTTATAAGCAGAGGCTTCTCCTGAACGAATAGGTGCTAGAAGGCATAGGCTGCTGGATGGCAAAGAAAACTCGTCTCTGGGTATCCACTCAGCAGGACGATAACGGACGTTTAGATCCTGCCCAGTCCATTCAGGAGACGTGGAACTTACACTGCAATATAAATATGATACAAAATACCAAAGGACATTATATTTATTTCGTTAGGTTATAATAAGCGACCTTGGGATAGGTACTTTGCATCGTTTGTTTTTTTCGAGCATGTGTACACACTAGGTACACACTACCGACGTCCAGAGCAAGACAATTAAAAATTTACCTTGCTAGCTCGCCTTTGGTCAAGTCATTCCATACAGTTTTTCCGTCAGGCGTACTTAATTTTTCAAACAGCTGCACGTGCACTGTGTACCACAGCTCTGGATGGCCGATCTCGTAAACAGCATAGTCTCTCTCAGATTCTCCATCCTTTTCTTTCGATTCTAGATTTTCCTCATATTTATCTTCAAATCGCTTCTTTGTTACAGGAGCTTTAGTTTCTTTAGTTCTAGGAGATAAAGGGCTTGTTTTGTGTTTTTCGGAATATTTATTTCTTCCCGATTTTAATTCGTTTTCTTTGAAATTTGAAATTTTTGAACGAATTACTTTTTTCAGATGACTTCTCTCATCAGCTTTAGAAATTTCATTACTTAATGACTTAGTGACGAACATTTCTGGTGTTTCTTTTTCATGCATAATGTTTGCTGTTCTTTCAACAATATCATCATCGATTCCCTGCATCTCTCTTCCTCTGTCCGGTTCCGATATGTGATAGAACCCATTTTTCGAATCCCATTGTTTATCGTCACTGACTTCTTCAACCACAATGTTATGTTCACTGCGCTTGCTGCGTTTGACCAACGTCGTGTTTACAACATTGGCATACTTATAATTATCAACTACAACAAAATTAAAATTAATTTCTGTTAAAAGAGACAAAAAGTACCTAGAGAAAAAGTAGTAAGTACCTAGATACTTAGGCATGGTGTAATAACTTCTTCGTCCATTATGCCTGTTTATCAAGCTATTTTTCTTTTTGTCTAAAAGAGAAGAACCGAGAAACCCAATAACCTGCGAATATCAGTGAATTGCGATATTCACAATGGAATTCGTGAAATATATTATAAGTAGGTATACCCAAGTACAAGACAGATACAATGTCTAAGTAATTATATTGATATTGAATAAATCCTGCTTGTTCAAGTAACGCCAATGAGAAAGCGTTCTAACCGGTTTTATAGCACTGGTGGCCAGTGTTCAACACAAAAACCGGTTTGATTGTAAAGGGAGGGCTCCGTGGCTCCGTCCGACATGCAGAGCCACTCGGCACGTAGCGCGCAGGTACGTCGTGTCTCGTATCGCTAGCCTCGCCGCGTTCTATCGCATAGTATAAAACAATGGAAAGATTCATACAAGCTGTAAGAGCACATCCCTGCTTATGGAACCCACAGCACCCCCACAATGCCGATGTTCATGCTAGAGGGCAAGCCTGGCAAAACGTTATTGAAGAAATTAACGACAGTTCTATATCAAATAGTAAGTACATAGTACCTTACTCACGCGTGAACACATTATACTGATGGTACCTCATGATACCTCAGTTACCTACTAGAACGAGTGTTTTGAGGACCGTTTTTGTGTGTCAATGTAATACATGGTCAAAACTAGTTTTCCTATGGCAGCGGACTGTAGTCGTTTATATTTGATGAATTTTAATATATTTATAGGTACTGATTGAATAACGTCTTGTTACTTTGCGATGTTATTCATAGAGTGAAATGTAAAAGATATAACGATAAGTAAGTAGGTACATAAAATAAAAAATTGTGAACACGACCTATCGTCGGCTATCGTCTCAATTTATTTTGTGAAAACATAGCCGAGCATATATAACGACTGCTCCGACTTAAGTGACGTGTTTTTAGTTTTTAAGTATCTAGTTAACCGACTTCCCAAAAAGGATGAGGTTATAAATTTGGCTGTATGTTTGCCAGCGGCTTCGCCCGCGTTCCCAGCGTTAAAAGGTAGCCTATGTTAATACATAGGTTACTTTTTAGAATCTTCTTTATATGTTATGTGTCTACCTCTGTTCCAAATTTCATCCCGGACCCTTCAGCCGGTATGATGTGACTGAATAAAAAACATATACACAGAAACTCACATATTTTCACATTTATAATATCGGTTCGAGCTAATTTGAACCATGCATCGGCCCTACAATTACAGCGTAAAGTCAATTGTGGGCAATCTAACATTCGGCAAACTTATATTTGCGTTTGGTACAATAACTGTGTCTAGGGATTGAGCCGCACAATTAAGTTTGTTTTTACGTATATATACTTTTTCGGGATAAAAAGTATCCAGTGTTGTGCCCATGATATTAAAGTACTTATAATCATACCAATAGTTTTTGCATGATGCTTAAACATGCACATTTTTTTATTCATTGTAATTCGTTCTAGTAACAGCCCTACTATTTTTTTCTATATTTTCAATGTACAGAATTTACACTTCTAGAGTATTACTATATTTATGTATAGATTAATTATTATGCTTTGACTACATGGTTGCGGCAGTGGCTGTTCCGGGTGCTGAGTATTGTGTGAAACAATGTTCGTTACACTAGTTTAAAATAAAATGTATAAAAGACTAGTTTTTGCCAGGGGCTTCGCTCGTGTACAAAAAGTAGCCAAATTTCGTCTAGATCCCCTGAGCTGTTTTGACGTGAAGGAGTAACAAACAAACATACAAACTTCTCATTTGTAATATTAATATCTACGATTAATATCCCAAAGGTGGCGTTGGTAATAATACACGATGACAGGGCCGTACCTATGTGTCTTTTACCGTGTATTGTCGTTTTGAAGTGAACAAAACAAAAAAAAAACTAATATAGTTCCTAATTTATTTCAGTTAAAACTGCACGAACTGAATGGAGAAAACTTCGTGACAATCATCGAGAGGCTTTGAAGAGAGCTAAATTAGGACAAAACAAATTGTTACCAGCTCAAGTAACCACTTGGAAATATGCAAAAGCTATGCAATTCCTTGAACCCCACATGAAATATCGCATTTCTGAGAATATAGAAATTGATCCACCTGTTACAACGGGGAAAACTTCTGAACACGATGTTTCTACGACAAATACAAAATCGGATGTTATTCCATCTAAACGCCGCTGTCCAGACTCCGAAGAGCCATCCGCCTCGGGGGTAAAACCACAAGAAAAGGAGAAAGACGCACTCGAATCTTTTTTCAGTTGTATTTTACAAAGTACCAGAGAAATGCCCCACTGGATGCAAACACAAGTGAAGAAAAAAATGTTTGCAGTTATTATAGATGCAGAAGAACAACTATCATCTCAAATGCACACATGGCAGAACCAAAAAAAGGAGGAATACGAAAATCATGTCATCATCGAAAGCAATATAAAGACTGAAATCTTTGAGGACACCTAAGCATTTGAGTACTGATATTACTTTTGCAATGTGTTTTAACCATTTAAGAATGTGGTGGACTTCATGACCGAAATGGTAAAGTTTACTTAATATGCTTAAATCTAAGGGCCTCATCATACTAGCCGATTGTGAACGTCTTCAAAGCGGAATGGGCGCGCAATGAATTCGTTACGGACACAATGAACACACCGCGCATACGCGGCGAATTCGATGCGGACGCGCAACGGCCCAACGGGATTGCCGCGAACAGCCATTTTGTACTGTCTACATACACGCGACGGAAACGTGCCTAATGTAATTGATACGCGTCTGCAACGTGTTCGCTGCGTAACCACGGCGTATTCGCGATGCATTCGCTGCGCGTCCGCTCCGCCCGGCAGCCGCTTCCGCTAGTATGATAAGGCCCAAAGTACCTACCTACCTATTTGGTAAGATAATGTTTAATTGTTTGATTCCGTATTTAGCCTACAAAAATGCTGAGATTTATCAATAGCACGGAAAACAATAAATGATTAATTTACATCTAGTGTTTAATATGTTATATTTTTATTTTTTTGTTTAATATGTTACGTTTGTTATGTTTATGTTTAACTAATATGTTTTAATGTTAAGACGTTGACGACGTACCACAACTCCTGGCTTGATAAGCAGCAGACGTCACAGAGAGTGTGGCAGATTCCAGCGGTTGAACACTTAAAGCGAGTGGAGTAGCAGGGTAGGTTTGCAGATAAACTTTATGATTTACCGTCCATTTTTCTTTCCTTAAATGACTTACATCCCGCTCAATACGATTCTGCAACAAACGTTAATTGAAAATATTTATGGATTCGTACGTAAGTTCCTAGTCCTACACAGAGGTAGGTACTAAGAAAATAGTCACATTAGTTTGCTTTACCTACCTGTTTATTTCTGGAGATATGTTACATTAGTAGGTAAATAAGTACTTACTTTTGAATGTTTAAAGTTTTTCCCGCTAATAGGTTCATCATCAGTGTCTAACAAAACACCGCTTATAGTCTGGAATTACGGAAATCACAAGTGAATCGCATATCTATACGTACTTTCTTTTGGATAGTTTTTATCATTTATAGAGGAAGACTATAACACAGCGAGTAGATAGTAGGTAGGTAATAAAATAATTGAATATGATTCTGGAGATGCTTCTTCATTATTAACAAGCTAAGTTAGTGTAATAAATTAGTAGATTATAGATTGCGTACATCGACCCGGCGTAGCTTATAAGCCTGGAGTGGTAGTTCTCTCCGAAGTCGCAGTATATACGGGTCTAGGAGACGTATCCGCTTCTTGCTTGTTCCCTCAAATACGTGTTCAATGGGTAAGTATTCATCACCTGAACTCGTCTGTAGAGAACCAAGTAAGTAGGCACAACATGAGGGAATGCAAAAATATTATAATAATAAATTATTTCTATTATCAACCATTTTCAATTCATAATAATTTTCAGCTGTTCTAACATAACATAACATAACATCACGCCTTTTATCCTCGAAGGGGTAGGCAGAGGTGCACATTATACCACTGTACAATGTAACACCCACTTTTCACTATTTATGTTATGAGTCCCATGTAATAGGGGGTGAGCCTATTGCCATATACCGGGCACAGTTCCAGACTCCGTGCTACTACTGAGAATTTTTTTTTAAACCCAGTAATACTTTGCCCGACCCGGGAATCGAACCCGAGACCCCTTACCCGGCAGTCGCGATTGCGACCTTTTGGCCAACGAGGCAGTCTAACAGTTTGACAATATTGTTTTTGCGACCTAATTAGACAATTTTTCATATTATAATAGTATAATTAGTTGAGTTGAATTTAATTCAATGAAACTGCTGTCAAATGCGACTGGCCCACCAATTACTTAATACACTTAATTCAGTCTACTTATTCTTCGATTCGATATTTATAAGTTTGTTCAAATCCAACGGGGAGAGTTTGATTTATATAATAGAATTTATACTGCGTGTAACTCACAGTAGGTTCGCTTGTTATTTTGACAGTCACAGCTAATTTCTTGTTGCAGTCGCGCAGCACACTATGCTTGAATAGTTCTTCTCGTTCGAAACGCACTGATTCAGCGTCGGAAGCTACGCTTTCCTCCTAAATTAACAAATAAGACCCATGTACCTCAAAAATATACCGAAGCGATAAAACAAAATCTGTGTTAGTATTAAAGTACCTAAGGTAGGTATATGTATTTAGGTAAGTAGGTAGGTACCTATACCTATACATAGGGTTGCCAACCGTACTCTAAAATAGAGTATTTTCCTCTATATCATGTAGATGTAAGTATAGTACTTACTCTAAAATCTGTACCACTAACAGAGCACGCTTAAATACTCTTTTTTTACACAATGTTTAGGTACTTAACTAGTGCCAATCTGTAATAATATGAATAAACCCATAATTTAGAATAAAAAAGTCTACAGTTTACTGTTAATATGTTGGTATTTGTTCTTACACATGGTAACCGATGCCATGAATTCTACAGTTTTTGTTTTGGCTTATATATCTGCACGAAACCACTACACAAGACGGTATTTTATCGTTTGTTGTACGATCGCGGGTGACAACAGACCTAACTCGCGGTGACGGCCATATTTTTCTACATTGAGCGGAGCGCTCAAGTGCGAGCGTAACCGACACGCCCCCTTGCCACTTCTCCTTTTTTAATATTTCTGTGTTATTAGTCATACGTAGTACGTACCTACTTATAGGTTACCCACCCACTGATAGGTAAGAAGTCGGTGCCACAAGTTTTGTACTTTAAACCCGTAACAAATACCTTATATTACCTAAGCTGTGTAAAATTTTATGACAGATTATAACCATGACCAGGTAAGGTATAATCCTTACTAATATTATAAATCGGAAAGTGAGTTTGTTTGTTTGTTCCACTTTCGCGCCGTAACTACTAAACCGATTGCTTTGAATTTTTGCAGACGTGAAGTTAGAAGTCTGGATTAAATAATAGGGTAATTTTTATCCCGGAAAAATTTGATATTCCCGAGGGAAAACAAAAGTATTGGTATAGATGGCGCTGTGTGTGGAAATGGGACCACCCCGAGAGTATGACCTTTCCAACAAAAAAAGGATCATCAAAATCCATCCACAAACGTCGGAGTAATCGGGTAACATACACGCAAAAAAAAGGTAAAATATACAGTCGAGATGATAAATCTGTTTTTAAACAAATATAAACAAATTCAAAACAACGTATGTAAAAATCTACAGCTCTCTATGTAAGCGCTTTATATGAAAACTAGCGGACCCAACAGACGTTGTCCTGCATAATTATCCCCTTGAATGTATAAACAAAAATTCATTCAAATTAGTTCAGCTGTTTAGGATAAATAACTTAAACATCGACTGCAGCGCCATCTGCCAGGCTGATTTGTGAATCTAAACCATTCCCAGATCCCCTTGAACACAACCGGTCAGTGGGTCGTCTTAGGGGCGGAGTGTGTGTTGATTATTTGCTCAGAAAAGCATTTGAAGATCAGACAATAAATCAGTTCTACGTACAGGTTCACAGTTGATGAATACAGCTCTTACTTCCACACACGAATTTTCTTCTGGGCCATGAACAGATCTTTCTTCAATTTCATCGAAAGCTTTTGATATATAGAGTTGAATGATGAGGTATACTATTCCTACCCTGAAGACAAAAACTATGTCAAACATGTCAACAAATTGATCATAATATTATTGTATTACTACAAAAATAAGAAATAAGTTAACCATTTCATTTTCCACATATCTTTTCACTTAGAATAAATCAAATGATGTAAGGTAAATAATATTCTTAAAAACATCATAAATGACAAAACTAGACGAAAATGTCGCGACCGAAAAAAGAATATAGAAGGTGAATTATTCTTTTCGATTTGGAAAAAGGTCAGATGCATGCAACTACAGTACCTACATAGCAGTTATGCTATTGTCGAGTCTGCATCTGCACTTTTCCTATACTTATTATAGTCTTTGATCTGCACAGTTTGACTTTGATAGAAATTTTTCGTTATTTTTCCGACTTCAAAAAAAGGAGGAGGTACTATGTTCGGCTGATTGTTTTTTTTTGTTTGTTCGCGCATTACTCCGCCATTTGTGAAACGATTTCCAAAATTTTTGTTTTGTTTGAAAGGGTCATACTCCCGAGATGGTCCCATTACCATGAGATCAGGATCTGATGATGGGATCCTAGGGAAACCAAGGGGATCTTTCGAAAATTCCATGGGCGAGTAATGCGTCTATTATGTTTTTCAATTAGGATTTTTAAACACTACAATTTGGTAAGGGTCTGGAGTCGACCTGATGATGGAGCCGATAGACAGTCGAGGGCACTCCTCAGCGGTTTATATTAACTACCTTGTGTTTGGGCTTGATTAATTTGTATTGATGAGTACTTTACACCTAGATAGAATGGGGCTGTCATTAAGGATCTGATGATGAAGAAGTGTAATTGTTAAGGGAACTCCTCAACGGTATACTGTAACTACCTTGTGTTTGGGCTTGTATAATTTGTATTGATTAGAACTTTGCACCTATGTAGATTATAAGTAACAAAACGGGTATATGTAGCTTTACACTGAAAATGATAAAATAATAAAATAAAAACTGCGTTTAAAAAACCGACTTCAAAAAACCAAAAACTAATAACAAACAAAAAGTCAAAACTAAAAAGCAAAAATTAACTATTATTAGTTATAGGTTAGAAGTCGGTGCCATAAGCTCATGTCATAATGATATAACTATCCACAAAATTGTGAATTAGGTACATACCTATTAAGGTTTTAATGAATAATTTTGTATGGAACTTGTGGCACCGACTTCTTACCTATCAGTGGGTGGGTAACCTATCAGTACTAAAAATAGTTATTTTTTGCATTTTAGTTTTGACTTTTTGTTTGTTATTAGTTTTTGGTGTTTTGAAGTCGGTTTTTTCTCGTAATATATAATATTTAATTATATATAATATAATATTTTCAAAACTTAAATATTTGCCCAATGCCGATAACTTTTCTTGACATGAAAGATTGCAGGCAGAATGTAAGATTTTTATAACATTATGTGCACGGTTATTCAGAAACGTTGCCAAAAGGCTCATAAGATAAAAAGAAAAACGGTAATTTTAGATGACTTTTCATTTATTACACTCCATTCTCAGATAATAGGTTTAATATTAAGATCACAGTTTAAATGAGAAAAGGAAATAGTTAACACTTAGGTATTCATAACTTTATAAGTATCACTTAGTTAAATAACAAAATTCCAAGGCAGACATCCTTTTCTCATTTAAAAAATATTAAAAAATTAATATTCTTAATCCAAGAAATTCACAAACATCTATAATATCATCACATGCGCTGAATCATAATTAATTTTACAAGAAGTATACATTGTTTATAAATTTGAATAGATCATAATATTATAAGATGCGAGAACTACGTGAATCAAGTTTGCCCTGTTAACAAACATGAAGCTACGAGTGACATATTAATTTAAACAACCAGTCGCAATCACTCGTACCTCCATTACGTATACGTCTAAAAAGACCTAACCAAATTTAGGAAATTTCCTTTAACAACATTACTCAATAAATATTATGCCATCAAACAAAGTGATCATTTACATTAAAATGTCAACAAGTGTTGGTTAGATCTCTTTTGCGCACTAAGATACGTTACACTTTCATAATTTTCAAAGTAGCATAAATTTACTAATAAGCACTTATTTATATAGCGCAGTTGGCCTACGTCAAAAACTACGTTTTCATTGTATCCAATCTACTGCAAGTCTTGTAGTTAATTCTACTGTACCAAAAGATCTATATGAGCAAGCACTTATTGATGTAGTACTTATTTCAAGCATAGTTGATAACATAATGTCCTTACTGAATGATCCTTTTTCTACATGATTCAATGATAATAAACACTTTTAAGTTTTATGAGATCTAAATAATAATAATAAAAAACAGTTAACAAAATTGGTTTCTCAACAAACAAAAAGGATCAAATTTATAGTCATTTGACTTCACAGTAACTTCGTAATAAAGATATCGTAAAAAACCGGTCTATACATTTTCTAATAAAAAAAAAACAATACAGAATTTAATCTACAGTTCAAGTTAATTACTTAATTAGGCATTTTAATATATTCTACGACACTGGATCTGTAGACGCGTATGTCGCAGCCTTGCTTGTCTGAAATAAAATATTTTTTTGAAGGTATAGAAACAGTAGAGTGTTTATTAAAACACAGTAAAATTAGCATTCCAAACATATTAAGGATGTCAAGTTAACATATAGGAAAATAGTGTGATTATATTTCTAAAAGAGAATGCAATCATACAAGGTGGCTGGTCTTATTCTTAGTCTTATAGATATTGCATAAGACGGTAGTTCGGTAATACTTCTAAATTGTACCTACCTCACAACTATCATAGAACTGCATTGCTGTCTCGCTGTCGTAAAAGTTGACCGTGACAGACTTGTCCACTGGGTCATTACTGGTGTAGTCCGTGCCTGACCATGCGCAGGAATCGCCAGACATCTAATACAAAAAACACGATAATATTCAGTTTCTGGGTTCCCTTCAAAAATTCAATGAGGAAAATAGGTTATAACATTGTTAAAAAAGTAAAGTGACTTATTTAGAAATCTGATCATAAAGAAAGATGTATGTACCTGGAACTCAGTGTCAGTGTATATGAGCATATCAGCTAGTATCTCTCCGGTAGCCGCATCGGTAACTAAAATCTTGGGAGAGTAAATCTCTTGGTCAAACAGCACTTGTATGTGTGCGTTGGAACAAGTGGTCTCGTTGTTACCCTGCCGAACTATCGCCTCACCGTCACACGTGTAGTAAGGAGCTGATTCTTCCTCGTCCTAAAATATATTATCATTATTGAATTTGACATCTTTGCTTCAGTACCTTCGTATTCTTATTACAAGCTTAAAGAGCTAATTGACAGTTGGAGTTGTTTTTGTTGAAATTAATAAATTTAATATCCCATTATGCAATAATAAAACAATTTAAAATTTAAGTATGTAGTTAATAAAAAACTAACCTCGTTATAATATTCATCATAATCGTAGTCTTCTTCCTCATCATGGTCTTCATGATGATGTTGATGTCCTTCATGGTGTTCATAGACTTGTTGAAATTTTTCCGTTACGGCTGGTGGTTTACTATCGTTTGTGTTTGCACTGGTGTCCTGACTTGAGGAACCTGACGTCCTTTGAAAGACTTCCGCAGTTATCGCATTGTCAGCGCGTGCGCTTTCTTGCAAATGTTTCGGTAATCTTAGTGGTGACACGTTATCAAACGTTTCTGATTCTTTTAACTCCTTCACCTCCCTTACAGCTTGGGCAGCAGCAGCTTGTAATTTCTAACAAAACAATTCTAATCTTTAAAATCTATCAAAAACCTACACTAGATTAAAAAGCTATATATATAGAAAACTAAAAATTAAAACATAATCTACTCTGACCACCGGAAACTAAAATGTGACCAAAATTGGTATTAGTATAGTATTCCTTACCCTCACACATTCGACAATTTTGTCGTGGAAGGCGGTGGCTAGCTCTACGGACTTAAATCGGACCGCGAGTGTTTCTTGCTCGCCCGCCGAGTTTTCAGCAAAGTTACGGCCGGCCCATGTCCATGCGCGATCAGAGTTCTTCATTTGTAGTAGCTCTAAATCCATGTATAAAAGCATATTGAGCACCGCTTTGTGGACCTGTTATTGAAAACATATAATTAGAAAATGATGATGACGATGTGTGTTTATATTTTATTACAACTACAGGAATTAAAAAAAGTAGGAATATTATCAAACAATTATTCAATTAAGTAATCACCTGTTCCCGGCGCAGTAGTAACCGGTAAGTTTTTCTCTCAGGGTGGTATAGGATTTTCATTTCACCAACACCTCGTTCTTTCCACTCACGGGACTGGTCATCATAACGATATAATTTGCATCGTTCTCCAAACATTTTTTCCTTTAAAAGACAATATTAATTAATTTAGTAATGACTAGCTGTTGCCCGCGACTTTGTCCGCGTAGAATAATGACTTCTGGTAGAATTTAGGCTTCTGAATTAGTCTTTATCAAGGGATATTCTACGGTAACGAATGTCGTCAGAATTGATTCAGTACCTAGTATAAGGTTCCTCCCCCGTAGATGATAGCGTGATAATATGTAGCCTATATGTTGAGCAGACTTGTTAGTAATATTCATGCAAAATTTTACGTAAATTGATGCAATACTTTTTGAGATTATCCCAGACATACATACAGACAAACAGACAAAAATTCTAAAAAACCTTACCAAGTACTCTTTTAAAAAAATATTCATTTAAAAATTATAGTTTTGATATTTCTACAATTTTATTATATGTCTTTAATCAGATTGTAATTAATCAGTATTTCTTAGACAAAATTATTGTTGCACTCACCTCGTCCTCCTCACCAGTAGTGACCACAATCTTTTCAGGTAGAGGTACAATTGGCTCGTAGTGAGGGTCATATTCCTCTTCTGCGACTGCGTCCTCGTCTACGCCACTCTCATTCTTTGATTTATCTCCAGAGTTTATATTAGTTTTTGCATTAAATAATTGTTGGCCAGCCCCTTCCCATTTGAAATCAGGTTCTGAAATTATAAATTCATAAATATCTGGCCACTGGTGAAACAATGCTGAGTCACGCTAAAATAATTGTTAAATGAAAGCAGTAGATGATCATAATATAATGACAAATGTACTTTATATAACTTCAACAAAATTATTAGAAACTAGCTTCTGTCAGCGAATTCGTATGCACAAACAAGAGATTCCTGTTTTTCCCGTCCCTATGAGAATTTATGGAAATCCTCTCGTGCTTGTCCATGCTGAATCGCGGGGGCGGGTGCAGACCGCACCTGCCGTCAAATATCAAACATATGATACGATATCAAAGTGTCCACGTATAAAACGCTGGCGGGATATTTCGCAACCGCGCCCGCGAGATAGCGTGTACAAGCAATTAGTGCTAACACTCAAGGAACATTCATGCGTTGTATGTCAGTCACTCAGTAACCCAGTAATCGTAGTTTTATATAATTTTACTGTTTATAAATTGAACTTACGTGTAGTTTTCAGATTAAAAGCAGGTCCACTGCCAGATGATAGAGCAGCAAATGTAAGACCGCTATCAACCTTAAGTGGAATTTCTTTTTTCTCAGACCGATCAGCAGTTGCTGTATTAGCTTTTTGAATGTCACCAGCATTCAAAGGCTCCGATCCATCTTTCTTTTGATTTTCATTTGCACCTTCGCTCAACATTCGTCCTTGATTTGATGACCCAAACAATGACTTTCCACTTTCAAATATCGAATTTTGAGATGAAATAGCACCAAAGGCTGACATGGCAGCTGACCCAAATATGTTAGTATCAGTTTTGGATTGACTGTTTGCTAAGGCGCCAGGCCCAAAAATACTTCCTTGATTTGCACTAGCAAACAAATTTTCAGGCTTATTATCATCTCCAAATATTGATTTTACCTTTGCATTATCTGTCTTCATACTAGGAGCAGAAAATTCTAAAACTGATTTATTGAAAGATTTCCCAGTTTCGGTAGTACTTGTAGTGGTTTGTGGGGTTTGATTTGAATCACTAAAAACGAATTTCGACTGTCCAAAGTTAAAACGGGATTCATTTTGATTTGTAGTATTATTATAACTTAGCTTGGGTGGAGCCAGTAGAGAGTTCTTTGAGCTTTGTGACGTTTGAGCGTCACTGCTGCCAAATATGGAAGTAGTTTTGTTCTGAGGAGTTCCAAATAATGTTGACTGCTCAGAACCACCAAATCCTGAGAATATGTTCGGCTTTTGAATAAATGTATTTTCCTTGTTAGTGAAAGTATTGTCTAAATTGCTTTGTGAAGATGCCGATGTTGGGGTTTTCATGTTGGATGCAACTGAACCAAGTGGCGTGCGGAATATAGATGTATCAGCAGTTTTCTCAAAATTGCTTGGAGTCCCATATATAGAATTAGTAGGACTTTGGAAAATGGATGGCATAGTTTTTACAGGTGTACTTGAATTAGTTAGAGATGTTTTTGTAGTTGATGCTGATACGATTGGTTTTTGTTCTGAATTAGGAACATTTGATTTGTTTGATGCTGGTATATTTGTTTCACTTGTTGATGTAGACGATTGTGAATTACTTTCAGATTTTGAGGAATCTTCGCTATCATTGCATCCACGACATCCTTGGCATGGTTCTTTAGTTTTGTAAGTAAAGAAATTTTCAGGCAGCATTAACTCTTTAGCTTTCTGTTTCTCTTCTTTAGATGCTTGGATCTCGCTTACAAAAACGACATCATCACTTTCATCTTTTTCTTTTTTATCATTTGCTCCATTTTTACTAACAGATTTTCCCTGAAGTGCATTATCAATCGCATTTTTAAATTCTGAAGCCACTTCTTTACTTTTAAATCGAAGACAGAAATGTTCCAAATTTAGTTCACCTTCACTGAAGTCATTCACCACAAATTGCCAAGATTTTTCATCTTTAACATTGTAAATAATTTCTGAAGTCAAAGCATGATTCAAACATATTTTTAAGACCTGATCCCTTCGCATAACTACCCTGCAATACGAAAAAAAAAGTAATTAATTAGATTTATAATTATTGTTTACAAATTTTAGATATAAATAGCAAATTTACCTCAATTTTCCTGTATCTTTATGTTTAAGAATCTTGACAATTCCTTTTCCACGTTCTTTCCATTCTCCTGATAAAAATCTATACAACTTTGCTAACTGTCCATAAAGTTCAGTTTCATTTTCTTCGCCGGTAACAACTTCGACCTAGAAATAATCAAAATTCATTTAATAAACGAATTTTCTCAAATTAAGTTGGGATAATACATTTTATTTTAGTAAACAAGGTCAAAATTTGTAAAGAATAATTTATGTAACAGTTAAATTAAAAGTAAGAAAATAACGTCTTGCTGACTGCCTCGTTAGTCGGGTGACTCGCGTGGTCGCAAATCCGGCAAATAATTATTGGGGATTTTCGAAAATTTCTTTGTAAACACACAAAACCTGGAATTGTGCCCTATTACATAGGACTCATAACAAAACTGGTGAAAAGTGGACGTACACTGTATATTGTGGTAGGTATGAACAACAAAAATTAACCTCTTTATTTTTATTTAAGTTATAAATACTGATATACATATAAATGTCATGCTATAGAAGAGCTTACCTTGTCCGGGAGAGGTATTACAGGAGTGAAAGTATGATGGCATTCATCTTCTGCAGCATATTCATTTCCGTCACTTTCTTCACCATCAGCTTGACTATGAGAAGACTTTGCAGGACTTTTACCTTTTGTAGGTGTCTTAGGTTTAAATACGAAGTCGAATGTACCACTCTCTTTGAATCCAAAGGACACGCTAGATGAACTGTCAGACACAGGTGTGGGAAGCAGTGCTGGTTTTACAGAAGTATTTGATTCTTCTTTCTTTTTTAAACTAAAGTCAACAACCTGATTTTCAGAAGAAATCATTTTAGTATCAGTTACTGAATTATGAATTAGAGCCTTCTGTTCCCCGAAAGATACTGGGATAGTTGTTGTATCACTTGGAGGTATACCAAAACTAAATTTATGTGCACCAGTGCCATCAAAAATTGAAGTAGCTCCAACATTTGTTTTAGTGTCATTTGATGCTGGGGGCACGCCAAACCTAAATTGTGTCCCAGATGAACCTGTTCCAAATATAGGTGCTTTGTTATTAGCTTCGAAAGTTGGAGCACTGGTTTTGAACAAGTCTCCACCAGTTGTAATGGAAGGGCCTTGACTGGATACAGGAATTATTGAAGTAGGCTTTTGGTCTGCATTGTTATTTGTAGCAGGTATCCCAAAATTAAATTTGGGTGCATTGTCTGATGTAAGTTTGATAGCTGTCTTAGCTTTGGTTGGATCTTTGGGGCTATTACAAGCAGTGCAGTTTTCTATACCAGATTCATTTCGAACAAAGCAATCTTTGCATTCCCAGCTACCAGGTTTGGGCTTGAATTTATCTCCCCAACCTGCTGTAGCTATTGATTTCTCGGTATTTGTATTTGATACAGCAGCAGTAGCGTTGGTGCTTGCTGCACCGTTTGGTTTTGGTGTTTCACAACAAGCACATTTTGAAAAACTTTCCAAGTTATTTGTGTAACACGCATCACAATGCCATGACCCTGCCTTGGGTTTAAACTTATCGCCAAAACCAGTTTGATTGTTTTGTTTAGCAGCATTTTTTTCTTCCTTTGCTGCCTTTGATTCATCTTTCATTTTAGACTGGGCAGACTTAATAGCTTCCATGAATTCATCACATAGCTGAATGGTCTTAAATCGCAAACAGAAAGTCTCTGCCACTAACTCACCTTCTGAGAAATCTTTGGCACACCAAGTTACAGCTTTATCCAAATTGGGCATCTTTTGGAAAACCATTTCATTAGTAACTGCATGATTACAACACACCTTCATTATTTGTTCACGTCTCATAAGAAGTCTTACTTTGTGTATATTATCTTTATGAACAAGTAACTTAATATTGCCAAGTCCACGTTCTTTCCATTCTTTGGCAGCAGCATCAAACCTTAACAGTTTTGCGCGGTGTTCAAACAGTATATTTTCATCTTCTTCGCCAGTCTTTTGATCAATTAAAGCAGGCAAAGGTACAACAGGTTTAAATTCAACATTTGGTTCATATTCTTCAACTTGGTCTGAAGTATTGAGTTTTGTAGATTCTGTATCCTTAGCGGTATTATTAGCAGTGTTGGTGTCAGGTGAAGTAGTTTTAGTGAATAAATTAGAAAATGGTGAACTGTTGTTAGTTTTAAAAGATAAACCGCTAAATACATTAGCTTTAGTAGTAGCAACATCTTGAGTGTTTGTTTCAAGTTTTACATCATCAGCCACAGACTTGAATGTTGGTGTGCTGCTAAATGTAAATCCACCAACCACAGCTTTAGTTGTAGTTGTTGAAATAGGTTGATTGTTAGTGGTATTAATAGATGTAGTTACTTGGCTGGTTACTCTAGCACTCGTCAATTTTACATTTTCTCCTTTAGGAGCAACTGGACTCAGAGTTTTATTCATTAGAGCTTCTTGTCTAGCTTTTTCAAACGCGTTGTAGAAATCTTTAGCTATATCAGCAGTTTTAAACCGGATACAGAACTTTTCTAAAACAACAGTCTCATCTGCAAAATCATTGGCAACCCAAAAATAGGCCTTAGCCTCATTCATCATTTGTTTTATTTCCATTTCTGCGGTAATTATATGATTAGCACAAATCTTGTGGACTTGTTCACGTCTCATAAGAACTCTAACTTTTCCTGATACCTTATGTTTGAGCAATTTCATTTCACCCAGTCCTCTCTCTTTCCACTGTTTATCCACGAAACGGAAAAGTTTAGCTCTGGAGCTAAATATCACATATTCATCTTCCTCGCCAGTAGTAACTTTAATTTCAGCAGGTAGGGGTACAATAGGTTTAAAATCGGGACAAGGGTCATAATTTTCCACAGATGTATTACTTCTTTCCGATAATGTCCTTGATTTATTGAGACTAGTATTAGGTGAACTACCAGAAAATATTCCATCAACTACGGACTTTGAAGTATCAAGTGTGTCTCCACCAAGCTTCGGTGCCGTTAGTGAAGGGTTGAGTAAGGAGCTGAATGTGGAGGTAGAAGATACGGGAGTAGTTCTGAATACTGTTGATTGATTCCAATTGGACGCTGAATTAGAACTTGTGGTTGCTGCTTTGTTATTTTGAGCAGGGAAAACAAACACTGGCGGTGATACGACTTTCGTGTCAGTAGTTGCTGGAAGTTGTATTTGATAATTATGAGGAGTGCCGCCTTTAATATGTTTTGGTGGAATTGTCACACTTAGAATTGGTGCCGGTGTTGTAGTACATGTTGGGAGGGGATCTGAAGATGTAATGACTACATTGACAGGTAACGATTTTATAACGTCTTTAGATTCAGCAGAAGTTACTTTGGACACAGTAACAGATACTGCTGTTGAAGATGTAACACTTGACATTGTTGGTACGGTTGACAGCGGAGGCACCACCGGCGCTGGTTGCACTGACGAGGGTGCCGACAAATTGGGGGGAACCAAATGAGCTACATCTAAATACATTTGATCTGGCGTTGGGTAAACACCGGGATAGTTCACTTGAGCTCTAGTTGGATCAAACATTGGCTGGGTCCCTGGTACTGAGGATGGCTGCGCGAATTGGGAATACTGGTTATATAAATTATACAAGCTTTGATTGTAAAGTTGATATGGGTTAGGTGGTACAGGGAAGGGTGGCACAAGACGTTGGTTGAAAGAGGGAATCACTTGAGATGGTGTGAATGGTAACTGAGTTGCAAATGATGATGTGCTGTCATTTGTTCTGTAGTCTTCATCTAGATTATATAAATCACTATCATCAATGGTCTGTTCAGAAGAAGCCTTTTTCAGTTTGCCCACTTCCTTTTTCAGCTCTGCTACCTGCTTCTTTAATTCACTAACATCCTTACAATCATTTCTACATTCGTCTATTTGGTCCTTCACTTGATCTACTGATATCTTCAGCAATTTAAATTGATCTGTTGTGTTTTGCATATTCGAATGAATACTACTTATAATTTGATTACCCATTTTACGGTTTTCATCAAACCAATTTCGTGTTTGTGCCATAAAGTCACTAATAGTCGTATCTCTTTTTTGCAAATTTTTAATTTCAGTTTCGATTCTTTCTAAAAACTTTTGGTCAACCCTTGAATTTTCTAATATTTGTGAGTCCATAGCAGTTCGATAATTTGTAGCATTAGCATTGTGAGAAGCTTTCGGTGTGGAGCTCAAGTTTCGAAACAAATGAGAGTTTCCTCTAATAGGTAAATGTTCGCTTTCTCCTGAAACATTATCGTCAGACGAAAATTTCCCATCGCCATCTTTAATACCAGTAGCAAAATCAGGATCAATGTTATTCATCTGGATTTCTATATCTTCAATTAGTTGTTGAGTGTCAGTGTATAAAGGATGACTTTTATTAGGTTCACTGTCCCTTAGCCTGTCTAATGCTTTGTAAGCGAACATTTTAGCTTTAGCCAATAGCGCCGCATATTTAGACATAGCTTCAGAATCATGGGATAGATTATTTTCTTCTAATGCAATTTTTTTATAGGTCTGACTAAGATGGAACAGTGCTTGTGGCGACTTTAAATTGGAAAGGATTTCAATAACTTTATCGTATTCACCTTCACTAAAATGACTGACTGCTACATATAGTTTGCATTCTTCAAGTAAAGCATGTAGTTGTTTGGAGCTAAGTTCTTTGTGTGTATAATCGAAAATTCTTTTGTCAAGATACTTGATGACAATTTTGCTTTTCAATTTTTCTAATAATGGCACAGCTGAAGAGTAATATAATCCAGCCCTTGTTTCCAGTTGATTTTTTTCATCTACATTTGTTGTTACTTTGGCTCTTTCACTGAATATACGCCCAAGAATGCATAATAGCTCTGGATCAAGACCATGATTGTCGATGCACCTCACAATTTCAATACCACGGCTCAATGTGGCACGAATGTCAGTTAATTCGGTCCCCAACTCGTTTTGACTGAATTTATAAGCACAATCCCACCATTTCATTTGGGTGAGAGGACACAAAAGATCAGTGATATTAGCTGGAAGTGTATGTGGTCTTTCACTGGATACATAAGAATCTTTTTTAGATATTTGTTGGCTGGCTGTTAATGTTGCACAATATAAAAAGGCATGAATATCTGATCTGTTCAATGTCTCAGGTCCACAAGTTGTCGCATTATATGTAAGCATATCGAAAAGAGTGCATTTAAAATGTGCATAGTTTTTATAATTCAATAATGTCCAAACAAAATGGTGTAAGGAACTACCATATTCCCTTTGAGCATCGCTATCATAACATTCAACTTCTAATTTTCTAGGAAGTCTCAATATAGGTGGAGCAAATGCATTTGATGCAAAGTAAGATGATTTCATTTTATCCAGATGACCCTTACTGGAAAAGATCCGCTTGTACTGCTTATCTCTCCAGTGTGTACCAGAATAACATTGAGAAACCTGATCAAGGAATGATTGATTTTTGTCTTGAATATTTGTCAGTAAGTAATGCCCAGCCTGGGAGCATCTGTATGTTCCTTCATAGTACCAGCGATGTACTGCGATCATTTGCTTCTCGGGGGCATTTTTCAACCAATTTACTTTCGAATCCAAAGGTACAGCTTGCCAAGCAACTAACATAAGTGGGGAAGCATGCTGGACAGCATCTCGCCAGCTCATTTGGTCTTTTTTAGCTTTCTTTAGCAAAAATGTTGCTGCATGAAAGGCAATTTGGCCTTTATGATGTTGTAGCAATGCATTATGAAATTCTGCAAAGCCAGGAGAGGCCCCAGAACGTGAAACATTCTCAATAGCCTGATCATAGGAATGAAGAAGCTCATTAGATTCAACCAAGCTTTTGGATGTACCACTTGGTGTTTCAGTAATACTCAACAAACAAATACGTTCCTTCACAGTTAAAAGAAGTAAGTGATAAAGCCAGTCACTGGTATTGTGCGAGCTGTGCTTCAGTAAGTCATTCAAAATCTCATACCAACCATAGGTGTTTATAAATGGTTTTCCTCCAAACTCCACATTGCATGCATGATCAAATGCTTCTTTAACCTTATTGATGTTCAGATAGTGCTTCAATAAGCGTGCATGTAGCAATGCATCCTTGGGCCTTATTGCCAATTCAGAATGAAGTAACTCAACTAGTGCTTCAGGATCTGGGTTAGAAACAGATATAAGTTTCTCTCTTAGTCTGAATGTAACTGGGTGCCTGGGAAATGTGGCTTCTGCTTTTTCACACCAGTACTTGGCTCGGCCTGGTTCAATAATGACTTCATCATCAGCAAGAAGTTCACAAACTGAAAAAAAAAACTCCATATAGAAAGCAGTATGTATAAAAGCAGTATGTGTAATACTGCCTTCTTTTTTAAACCATAATTTCCTAGTAAGTGGCTCAGATTAGATTCCAAGTTCAGGCAAAAACAATATTGGTTTTTGAATATTCTCAGTCTAATGGGTGAGTATAAGAGTGCTATATGGCTTTAATTGACATATTCCTAAGGTATATGTCAATGAATTGAAATTACTTTTTCTTTTGCCTTCTACCATTATGTACCATACCAGCTATATTATTATACAATTTTGACAATTTGTACCAACATTTCTTTTGAATCATACATAATATCAACCAATGTAGTTAAATATTGTAACGATAGTAGTTATTTGGGGTGAAATATAAAAACGCATTAATACTATCAAAAAAGTATGTTTTATCCAATGATACTTATTGCTGGTTTACTTTGTTTATACTTAAACCAAACATAACCCTTCCTACATGAAATGGATTTGATGTATTAGGTGTTTTCAATATAAGAAATTAATCAAATGTATTCAAATAATTATGATTTGATCACCAAAAATTAATGCTGATATGACTAATTTTGTGGGAATTTATCTGATAACTTCTTATAACCAAACAAAAATGTGAAATGTCTTCCACACCTTTTCATGATAAAAATGTTTATTACATGGGTACTTACTGTCTAATATGGTACTAGTTTGTGCCGGGTCAATGTCCAAAGACGCCTTGTACTGTTCTAGGGCCTTTTCTTTCATACCCATTTTCTGCAAAGCTTGTCCAAGAAGTTTGTACGCCGCAGCGTTGTTGTCTTTTTGAGTAAGATATTGCTCGACATATTTCTGACAACTTAAATAATCCCCCACTTCGAAATAAAGTCGAGCAACGGAATAAGCTCTTGATTTAAACTGCAAATAATCAAATACTGTTAGAAAATCAACTGCACATACAATGATCCTTGAATTTTTAGCGATGATCTTGGTTGACTTACCTCTTTCGCGGACAATTTAGATAACAAATTATCCACATGTTTATCCACGTCTTTTTTATTTCTATACATTTTCAAACTATTCACCAAAGTTATTAATCTTACGAACCTCGAACCACCTTACACAAGAAAAAATCGCGTGGGGCAAATAGATCGGCATTCGGTGTTCGTCATTTTCATATTCAGTGTTGGCACTAACAAAATATTTTTTCCCACAAATAATTTAACGAAATATTGGATTGGAAAAAGAATTTATGACTATGCATTAAAAACGTAAAAACATTTTCTTGCGAGTAAGTTGATTACCAATAAGTTTTCATTTTAGGTATGTACATCTTTAGAAATAAATATAAATAACGAAATCTAGCGCATAATCCACGAACTATAGGACCAAATTTTAAACTTTAAATTTCCTATTTCAATGGGAAAAACAACTGGCAAGAATTTATTTTCAAGAGTTTGTTATGTTGGCTACATTGATAGCACCTTCAGAAATTTAAAAAAACGATCAAACAATAACTTTGGCTTTGATTATAGTAAAGAGTATAATAAGTATGGGAATATAGTAGAATGGAAGATGTGACGAGGAATATGAGTAAATGGGACAATGAGTATAAGTATGTACCGTAAAATGGCGTGAATAGGGATCGAGAGGTGAATAGGGACAGAAGACGGGTGAATCGATGCTATGAAGAATTTCCTTTTATCTATTCACCCCTCTTCTGCCCCTTTTCGCCGCTCAAAAATTATTCCCCTCATTTTACCTTATGGAATAAAAGGAAAAGTGGTTTTTTCTATTCCATGAGTATGACGAGTATATGTTTACAATCTCGGATACAATAATATACAGTGGCTATTAATATTGTGTTGTGTTTGTGTAATAAAAATTATATTTAGTCGATGTTTTCGGATCAATACGAAAAAATGCCCATCTCTATTGTAGCAAGACCATGGACGTATTATAACTAACTAATACGTCCATGAGCAAGACCATGCCATGCCAGCATGCCACATCTTTTAATGTTCTGCGGCTCGACCGTGTGATGTGACTTTGGTTCTGTCCATTCTAGACAGATTCCAGTGAAGGCAGTGGAGGCGTCTGCCTCCACTACCGGTGCCGCCCATGCAAATCTTTAGGTGACTAAAAATACCCGTAGTCATGTTTAAAAAACAATGAGATGTCACGTTGTCATCAACAACAATCTATCATAGTTAATGTCATGTCTGTCTGGTCATGTCTGTGTCTGTATCACAGACCTACTATAATATGGACCAGAAATACCTACAAAATACGCGTGCATACCTACTAGAAACCGAAGCCAAAAAATGGCTGCCATTGCTAGGGAAGTACTGTAGTCAAAACCAAAAAGTATCGATATTGTGCCCGGTCCACGTTATTAAGCTGAGCTCTAGCCTTTTGGCTGCGACGCACCATAGGCTCTTTTTTGGGTTTCTAAATTCTTGTTGTGTGTCGTAGCAAAATAAATGGTTTTTCTTTCTTTCTTTCTATATCGATAGCAGAGTTTTATACATTAAAAATCTTCTGGTACTTTGGATGTTTTTTTTAAGGTACAAATCATCGAATGACTTCTCGCGCTCTGGGTAGAGCGGGAGAGCACGTAAGACTTTTACTGGCTAAAACCATACATGTGTTCTTCAATGACAGTTGCCCTTTGTGTTTTAGGACTACACCCTCCTTTTCAAAAATTACCCGCGGACATAGCAAGCGGCCTTCGCCCGTGCTGTTGGGCCCGTACGGCTTGCGGACATTTAAAAATTGAAGCGTATGGATTACATGTAGTTGACGATTGAGCTCGGTCCGGTTAATTACCAGATGGTGAACAGCCCATTGTTCGACGTTCACTAGCCTGAACCATGGCCCGGCGTGAAAGGTCATTGTCATCTATTGCTTTCACGAGGACACGGCGATACTCTGCCCAAACGGGGACAACTCTACCGGTGTCCGGTCGGTGCATAGTCCACACAACGGTGGCACCGGGGCGTTTCTTCCGCCTGTATCCGATACAGGAACTTTAGCGCTTGTGTGCTCGTAAAAATATATGGTTTCAAAAATACCAGTATGTGTTGTAATTGTTGTTATCAGCTGGCATTACATACATTATTGTTTTATGAGTAGGAACACAAGCGCTAAAGTTGCTAGCGGCTAACTTCACGCCTGCCATCATTCCTGAATTGAACGTACAATAGCAAAAAGGGACGTGGGCCCTGAGTCCCCGCTAGGTTCCCACAACATAGCACTTTTGTATGGGACCGCGGTCGGATCACTTTACGCAATTTAGGAAAAATACTAAAACTGGGTTAAAAGAATAAAACAACACGGGAAGCTCTGGTCAGCCGGTGGCCTGGTTGCTCTATGGTCATAAGGTATTGAAACTACAAAGTATTTTGAAAAATGCACCTTTATTTACCATAATAAATCATCAATCAGGTCAAAACCAATTGCTTAATTTCAATGAGATAATAAGACACTTTTGAAAATTAATATCGTTACTGAGCTTAATTTTATAGAAATTAAAAGTGGCCGTGAAATTTATCTAAGAGGCCGGCGAGCGACACTCGAAACTGTAAGTTAACGCGCATTCAAAATTCGTTTGCGGAATATTGCTTTACTCAGAAACACGAGTAATTTCATGACGCACACACGACATTTGCTCGCAGCGATAGCACTAATTATACTGAATATTAAGAAACATTTTGGAAAATTCCGTAATACCCAAAATTGATGAATGAAAACTAAATTTACTTTCAATTTGATTTTGGTAATTTGAATCTTGGCATAATAAGCTGTTTGCACGTAAAGATAATTAGAAAAATGTAGTATATAATAGGGAAAAAACCAAATGAAAACATGTAATTTACGCTATAGTTAAGATATATTGTACCCTGACTCCCTTTCTGGTACAACGGTAAAACTGAACATCGATATTATTCATTACGAAACAACGTTAATTTATTAAAATAGTTTCTGAAGGATAGTTTTTCACCTAATTTTCTTCCAAAATATCTAAATCGGATGTCTGTAAAAGTTTTGATAATACTTTTTATTAATAACAGTCTATGAGTAGTGTCGTGATCTAGGTTCAGACAAAATAATTTTTCGCTATCGTAGTGCTCTACCAAAAACTTAAATATATATAAATAGTATAGTTCTGGTTTACATTTGGTAGTGAGACAGTGTTTAATTAAATTTTCTGATCTTTTTATAATACTTATGACACTGTTAGATGCATAAACCAACCCGCCCCTTGATTTGAAATAAATAAGGCTCTTTTCATTTTTCGGACCACACAACAATGACAAGCATAGGTCACATTTGATGGTTTTTGACAATTTTCGTGTCACAAAGCCAGATATATACTCCAATACACTATCATTATAACTACCAACATCTTGCGTCAAAAGTTCTACATAACAATCATACAGTTCGCTGTGATCTTCTTCAATTTCTATGAATTGTTTCTTGTCTGTTAAGTCATTAAGTGATTCGATGGGATTTTTACTTGAACAAGTCAAAATGTTGACTTGCTCCAAAGGCACACAATTTCCAATACCACCGTCTCTGATTTCTGCCCTAACTAAAAGTCTTTTGTACGCCGCCCGAAATTGTACAGCATTCGGATTGTTATTAAATCCACCTCTCGCCCTAATTGCCGAAAAAAACAACTCTAAATGATCTTGGCTTATTTTGTACAGAGGTATAAATTGTAAGTATTTTTTTTGCTCTACAATATTCTCATACATTCTTAAAGCGCTCTTCATATCCACGATTAAGCCAATAAAGCCGGTTTTCCGACGGGATTCAACCAATAATTCCCCTGACGGAAGCTTTAGCAAGCGCAAATAGTCTATAGCACTCGTAAATAGCGTTCGTATAAAGCCAATGTTTTGAGGGCACATAGCCTTTTTCCACCCTGGTGGTCGAATGGAATGGCTATTTAAAACATCAAACACGTCATTGATTAAATTTATAAAATTGACTGTGCCATCACATTCTTCGAACTCCTTGAGCTTCAGTACGGTTTTGCAGAACATTAATGCATCCGCAACGGAATTACTGAGAAGTTGTGTCGCGAGCCTTACTTTCATTTTTTGTTTTTCGAAAAAAATGTGCGCCTTTGAAATTTTTGTCCCCAGATGAAGGCCTTGGTTATCTTGTAATTTTAAAAGTTTTTCTAAGTAGCTAAACTCGATTTTTCTACCAGACGGGTCTTGAAAGACCCTTAATTCACCTAATGTGTTACGTATTAACTTTACTGCATGACACGGGTCAATAAAGACGTGGATCACATTATTCTGGCTACTTACAAATGTTGTGCGTTCCTGGCTTCTAGAAACGTCGCAGCCAAGTAATGAGTACATACTAAAATTCGCTGCCGGCCCATCACAAGTTACAGATACAACTATACACCCCGTATCTTCCGTTAATTTAATAGCAGTTTCCACAAGAAGGCATTTTTGTTCTCCAGTTACCGATGTAACAAAAAAATATCCTATAGGCAATTTCCATGAACCATTTATACATGTCAAAAGAAGTACTAGACACTGACTGGCTTCTTCTGAAGAATCACAGGAGTCTACGTTGTGACCGTATTCGACACGTCCATGATATTTTAGGGACTTTGGATCCCATATCAAGCCCTTTCTAATAGCCATTTCATCTAATGATAGCGCACACAACACTTTTTGCGAGCCGCTCTGGTGCACCTTTTTTTTTAAGGTGTCGAATGCTTCTTGGGTAAACCCAGGTTCGGCATTAACATTCTGGTACCATTTCGTCAAGGTACGGGGATGAGGCAAACACGTGTTATAAACTCTTCTTATATAGTCGTAGGCTTTTGGGGATAGAAAGTGTAATGTTAGTGCAAATTTTCTTATTTCTTCAGAGTACTTTCTTTCCAAAGGCAGGCCTTTGGACTTAGAAATTTGCCGTTTAAGAAAATCCTGTGAACCTGCACAGTCTTGTAACAAAATTGATTGCTCCGTGTTTATAATTACTTTGTTTTTTAAATCTGTAATAATGTCTTGCATACTTGATATCTTTTTGCCTTGGCGACGAATTTTCTCATTCAATCTCTTAATTTTTCTTTTCTGTCTATAGCATATTTTTTGCATTTTAAGAATAACAGATGGCTGATGATGTACCTGCAAATAAAATATTTATAACTACGAATGAAGCGGAACAAAAAAAAAATGAACTTTCAAGTATAATTGAAAGTAAAGTATTAATATTTTTCATGAAAACTAAAGTGGTTGTAACAAATAAATTATACCAGCCAATTTTTTTCTAAATCTATTTCCTACCAAAGAGAATTAAAATAAAGCCATTTAAGGCAGAACAGTTCTTGTTACATAAAAACAACAATTTAGTCGACCATTGTTATTTTGCCGCGTGCTAATGGTTCGCCATCGCTGGCCTAGTACTACCAGATTAAACAGACGGTAACACGGTCACAGAACAAAACATCGTGCTCATCTCACAAACATTTTTCTTGGGCTGGGAACCGAACTCACGACTTCCAGCATAAGTCAGGGACACTGACCACTAATCTGGTGGTCTTTCAAGATTTTTGTTATAGTTTCTTTGTTTTTTTTAATTAAAAATTATGTATTATTTTATCATTTTGTAAGAGGCCTTAGTTGCCTATGGGGGTCTAACCTAAATTGTAAGTAAATAATAATTATTTAATTATAAGTTAAAAATAATGCCTGTTAGACTTTGCCACAACTGCACTTTTCACTATTCAAGAGCACTTAGATGTCAAATTAGAAAAATTTTAGCAACTTACTGCTGACCAAGATGTGCTCGGTATCGCTTCCTCAGAAGTCAAAGATTTGGGTTCAATCTGGAAAAGCAAAATTAAAACATACACCATGAATGCCATTATTTTATTTTTTCCAAATCAAATATTGGTTGTAAAAACACTTACCTCCTTATAAATCTTATCCAGGTGTTTCACTGGTAAGGGTGGTTGAGGTACCATGGAGGACGACTGTTCTTCGACATTTTGGATTTCACGCAGAACCAGTCCTTGTGTTGTTTTTGAAGGCTGAAAGTATTTTTTTATTATTATTATTAATCGAAATGATTATTAATATCTCATATTTTTTATCACTAGAAGTTAAACATAAAATTGTGTACAGGTATTTAATAATTGCATTTTAAGAATAACAGATGGCTGATGATGTACCTGCAAATAAAATATTTACAACTAACAATGGAGCGGAACAAAAAAAAAATTAACTTTCAAGTATAATTGAAAGTAAAGTATTAATATTTGTCATGAAAACTAAAGTGGCTGTCACAAATAAATTATACCAGCCAAATTTTTTCTAAATCCATTTCCTACCAAAGAGAATTAAAATAAAGCCATTTAAGGCAGAACAGTTCTTGCTACATAAAACCAACAATTTAGTCGACCATTGTTATTTTGCCGCGTGCTAATGGTTCGCCATCGCTGGCCTAGTACTACCAGATTAAACAGACGGTAACACGGTCACAGAACAAAACATCGTGCTCATCTCACAAACATTTTTCTTGGGCTGGGAACCGAACTCACGACTTCCAGCATAAGTCAAGGACACTGACCACTAATCTGGTGGTCTTTCAAGATTTTTGTTACAGTTTCTTTGTTTTTTTTAAATTAAAAATTATGTATTATTTTATCATTTTGTAAGAGGCCTTAGTTGCCTATGGGGGTCTAACCTAAATTGTAAGTAAATAATAATTATTTAATTATAAGTTAAAAATAATGCCTGTTAGACTTTGCCACAACTGCACTTTTCACTATTCAAGAGCACTTAGATGTCAAATTAGAAAAATTTTAGCAACTTACTGCTGACCAAGATGTGCTCGGTATCGCTTCCTCAGAAGTCAAAGATTTGGGTTCAATCTGGAAAAGCAAAATTAAAACATACACCATGAATGCCATCATTTTATTTTTTCCAAATCAAATATTGGTTGTAAAAACACTTACCTCCTTATAAATCTTATCCAGGTGTTTCACTGGTAAGGGTGGTTGAGGTACCATGGAGGACGACTGTTCTTCAACATTTTGGATTTCACGCAGAACCAGTCCTTGTGTTGTTTTTGAAGGCTGAAAGTATTTTTTTTATTATTATTATTAATCGAAATGATTATTAATATCTCATATTTTTTATCACTAGAAGTTAAACATAAAATTGTGTACAGGTATTTAATAATATTAAATTTGATAAACAATAATAGTAAAGTACTGGACGAATCGACAGGCTGATCGGGAAATTAAAAACAATATAATGTTGATTATTTCACTTACTACAAGGTGGATTGACGGTACTGCATCATCCCGCAGCCTTATAACATCAAGGGTTCTATTGAAGGATGATACTGCAAAGTGTAATGAACAAATACGTGGCGCTTTAAGTCCAGGTTTGATATTTTCCGTCCCAATGACTTCAAGCCACTTCTGACGCAGCACTTCATTTTTAGGGAATCTGTGCAAATAAAAAAAAACATAAAAATTATTTCAGTTTTGTACATTTAGTGGTACAAATCATAGACTGAACTAAATGAAATTACCTACTGTATGAAGAATTGATATTATTATGTTTTGGTACTATCCCTATTTTTATTTCTATTCTGTAAGATTTATTTTCAAAATGGTCTCTTCAGACCCTTTATTTTGATACTCTACTGGACTCCATAACATACAAACTAAAAATATGTTAGTTTCTTATCGATATGTCGATATGTTATTAAATAAAATACATCACTATTGTAAACCGTCATTTGTATTGTAAACAAAACATAAAACAAATTTAGCAAATGAAGTTAGTTATCATAAACAAATTTAATGTACATTTGGGGGCTTTTATTCTATATATAAAACAAGGCTAGATAAACAAGAAAACTAATAGTATAATAAAGATTTTTCTTAAAATACGGCTACTAACCTGTGCATAGTCAAATGAGGTTGATTGGGGTTTTTCCTTGCCCCACACTGTTTTATTGCACAAGTAGACATATTAAATATGCACCACTAGACACTCACAGCACAAAACAATTAAGTTGGGAGCGTTTTTATTGTTAAAAATCTCAATCCTAATGTAATGTTGTTGTTCGCTTGACACCTGACGTACTACAAAACTATACGGCCTAAAGATGGCGGCTGGCACGCGAGGTAGGTACCTTGTCAGAAATGTAGAAATGTTGCCAGGCAGAGAATAAACAAACAACATCACGTCTCTTTCTTCAAATGAGGTTACTCATTGATTAAAAAGAGACAAAGTGTGGTTTCATTTTTCTATATCGATTTGATATATATTTGTATAAGCAAATAAGCTATAGATCATTACTTCTGGTCCATATTATAGTAGGTCTGTGGTCTGTATACATGTGAAGTGTTTACTGTATTTCGGATTTATAATTAATTTCTTTATATTTGTAATAAATATTCAGTGGAGGCTCAGTGCTGATGATTTAATTAGACTATTAATATCAGCATTTCTCTATTTTGGTAGCAAATAGCACGATCGTTAAATAAATTTATGGATAATATCAGATCTATGCAACTACGGAATAGGTTTCTAAAACTTTTGATCATAAAGGTGATTATTAAAAAATAATCTAAATGAACTCTCTAGACACAGAAAACAATTAGAATTGTTTCAGAAGTACGGTTATAATATCGTTAAAGTATGGGTGATTCAGAGTTTGCCTATGGTTCTTCTATGTCGGTGGATTCTATGAAAACCATTGCTGAGAGTATAGGAATAGCAAATTTGGGCGATGATGCTGCTAAAGAACTGGCAGACGATGTCACATACCGATTAAAACTTATTGTACAGGATAGTATGAAGTTTATGCATCATTCCAAGAGACAAAAGTTATCCATAACTGATATAGACAATGCTTTGAAAATCAAAAATATTGAGGTATGATAAGTGTTTATTTATATTGAATTAAGGTATTGATATCATTTATTTATTTATTTATTTATTTGTTTTTCCACTTACATTTATCATTACAGGTTAATGCCCAATGCGATAAATGTGCTCATCTTAATATCTACCTATAACATATTACATATAATGCATGTGTCAGTCATACCATGAATGCTGTGTGTATTTTATTGTGTACTTTAAAACATTAAGATAATTCTTTTCATTGCCAAGATTTTTTACTATGATGTGCAAAATACCATATGTTTTTAATAATATAATAATGTGTTTGTACAAACACAACTGCAGATACAATTATACTATTTTTATTGCAGTGCCAATATGGATTTATTCAGCCAGATTCATTACCATTTAGATTTGCGTCAGGTGGAGGAAGGGAATTGCATTTTGTGGAGGAGAAAGAAGTAGATTTATCAGATATATTGTCAGCTCCTCCACCTAAAATACCTCTGGATGTATCAGTACGTGCTCATTGGTTGAGTGTAGATGGTGTTCAACCTACGGTGCCAGAAAACCCACCTCCATTATCCAAAGAAGCACAAAAATTGGAATCAGTTGACCCTATAAGCAAATTGAGCAAACCTACTAATAAGGATGCGGCAGGTAAAAGATATAATTTTCCTAATAAAACTATAATAATATTGCTGACTAAAAGCAAAATTTATTTTGACATTTTGAATTTTATTTCACATGTCTATACACGATACATATAAATGATGTAAGTCTATGTATGTGAAGTGCATGCACACTGAGTGGGATATGCAAGACATACTTATAGTATTGAAAATTACTCATATTAAGAATATCAGTGATTGTTCAGCTTATTGCTCTGGCTCTTGCTCATACCAGCTAGTGTAAATCTTTGTGATAATCTTCTAAAAGATTTAATGAAAACATCCACAGTAGAAAGTGGGTGTTACATTCAATTACTAACAACATATAAATACTTCGAATTTGCGTGTTTTATTACTTAAATGATTGGAATACTTAATCCCAATAAAAATGGAAAACTAATACTCAATTATAATGTAACGAAATTTAAATAATATGAATTTTGTTCTGATTTTTTTGTAATACATTTTTGTATCTTAGTAGTGTATTTAGAGATATAAAATAATTTCATGGAGAGTTATCATAAGAGATACTAAATATTAATCTTAATAAATATAAACTGTATTTTTTACCCTCTTACCACCTGACCAGACCATCTCTAAAGGGGCCGCTCATTAAAACTACTTTTACTCAATAGTGATTCTAATGTCGAAAGACTTAAAAGCTACTCGTGCACCTCAATTTTAAGTCACGCTTTTGGATAGTTCTCTCACTACAAATTCTTTGTAAAATGACAGAGATGGCACAATATTTATGTTGAAATTGAGTAGTCTTCCAGTATTTGGGCATAAGCCATGTATTTAAATTGTTGTTTGTTATTGAATACATGAAATGGGCTGCCACTTTAAGTTTTCTAAATTTTACAGTTACCTGTCTGTTATATCTCAATACCTATCTATAAATATCAAAATAGAATACTCCAGATAGGTTTGAAGACTTAGGCAATTATTTTTATTGCGATGTGAAATTATGTATCTTAAAAAATAACTGACTTTAGCTAAATCTTTTTTACTTAAACTTTTTATAATCGTAATCTAGTGCATGTTACCTTTTACTCTTTTATGGCAAATTTTTTTGATTTTTTTAAGCAAAAATCCATCTTAATCCACAGGTTTTGCACTGAGATCATTTACTAATTCCGGCCGTAATTTACTATTAAAGATTCCATCATTTATTATACTTGTCGATTTGTGTCAATTAAGGTATTTTAAGAAACTTGTATGATGTTGTATGAAGTGTTCAATATTTTTGTAATATTTCAGGTAAACCAATGTGTGGTAAAGCAGCTCGATTGAAAGCCTCAGAGTCGGTCCACGTGAAGCAGCTAGCCACACACGAGCTGAGTGTGGAACAACAGTTGTACTACAAAGAAATCACTGAAGCTTGCGTGGGGAGCGATGAAGGACGCCGTGCGGTACTTATCATTTATCTTACCTTAATTTTATTTTTGAAGAAAATACACAAATTGTAAAATCAATGATACTATGCACTTAAAATTAATATTAAATAGACTTCATTAGAATTTTATACAATGTTTTATTACAGGAAGCCTTGCAGTCACTGGCTTGTGACCCTGGCCTTCATGAGATGTTACCGAGAATGTGCACATTTATATCTGAAGGCGTCAAAGTGAATGTGGTGCAAAATAATCTCGCTCTGCTTATATACCTGATGCGCATGGTCAAAGCTTTACTTGACAACCAATCTCTGTATCTAGAGAAGTATGTGAGTATAATCCCAATTATGTAAAGTATTTATTATTATTTATCAAGTTGCACTTCTTCCTTAATGTTTCTGTTTTTGAGGATTACATTTTACTAGTCAGATATTAATTTTAAGTTTCGCTTTTTATCTTCTTTTTGTAATTAAATAAACTGTTTATGACCAGTTGCACGAACTGATCCCGTCGGTATCGACATGCATCGTGTCGCGGCAGCTCTGTCTGCGTCCGGAAATGGACAACCACTGGGCTCTCCGTGACTTCGCTGCCAGGCTCATGGCGCAGATTTGCAAAACATTCAATACATCCACTAACAACCTACAGACAAGGGTCACCAGGTATAAAACACTGAATAGTTAGTAAATACATATTAGTAACTAATATGCGTAACTTTTTTCATAATTATTCTTTAAAATCCAAGGATGGTGACAAAATGCAACAAAATTTGCTTGAATTTTCCTGATATATAATATCTATTGATATTTTGTCTTCAGGTTATTTGCTAAAGCCCTTCAGTGTCCGTCACAGACAAACAACGAAACTGGCGTAGGCCCGTCAATGGTTACCTCTATGAAAGAATCTGAAAAAACACCTCTAGCGTCTCTGTACGGAGCCGTTCAAGGCTTAGCCGAACTTGGGCCAGAAGTTATCAAAGTAAGTGTTGTGCATGTAGATACAACTTGGTATTTTGGTTACACCACATTAATAAAAACTTTTATAATTATTTTTTATTACAGAAGAAAACTTCTGATTTGTAGAATAATCTCATTATTGAAACCGAAATTGATAAGCTCGCGTAATCATGAACCCTAGTTGTATCACTTATTGTGTCGGTAGGTGTTCATTTTGCCTCGGGTGCGATGGCTGGGAGAGCGCGTGGAGGGCGCACTAAGCGGGCTGGGCGGCGCCGACAGGCTGGCGGCTGGCAACCTCAAGCATCAGCTGCTCAAGGTACTGGCGCCCGTCGTGCGCCAGCTGCGCCAGCCCCCGGACTTGCCGGAAGAATACAAGTAAGTACATTATTGCAGTTATCATTATTGTACTCACTCTTCTTCCTAGTCGTCTTCTTCATTACTGAAGGTCGTGTCTAGTCTGGTGCACGCGTCACTTGATGCACAACCCTCCTCCAAACGCCCCTGTCCTCTGCGGTCTTTATGGCTTGTGGAACTGTCAGGCCGGTTAGGTTTTTTACAGCATCCAACCACCGGGTAGGTGAGCGACCACGAGGTACTCACTACATGACGTTAATTCGACTGAGGTATTGTACTCACTACATGGCGTTAATTCAATCCAAGGAAATAGTCCACATTTTCATTCCGTCTTATTCTCATATAAAACAAGAGAGTTACGACAATGTTTAAGCAGAGCTGAAACTCTGCTAATGATTACTTATTTAACAATAATGTGTGCTACTTGTCAGACGTGACTACGGGTATTTGGGCCCGAGCCTGCAGCAGGCAGTGGGCAAGATCCGTTCGTCCCCGTCGGGCGGCGGCGGCGGCGGCGCGGTGGCCGTGGTGACGTGCACTCCGCCGCTGGTGCCCGCCGCGCCCTCGCCCTCGCACCACTCCTCGCACATCTCACACGGCGCCAAGACTGTCGGTGAGTGCAGTACTTAAATAACACTTTCATTTATCTTTGTAAAATAGCTAATAGTGAGACATACTAAATTAAATTGACCAATAACGGTTTACTCACATAAATAACTGAGAAGACTAGCTGTACAAAATTTACTATTAAACATAACGTTACTACATCTAATAGACACACGATTGATTTCTTATTACCTACTCCACTGGCGTGTAATCAACTAGGCATTATATCAGGATAAAGTCTCTGTCTTGGTTTATATTCTTAGGTCCTTTGTCTACTTACTTACCACGAATGTATGTGATTATCAGAGACGATAGCGACTCGTAACGTAGTAATCAGTGCTGCGCCAGCGCCACAGTCGCCCGCGCCCTCTACACCGCCGCCACAGAAGTTTGTCATTGTGTCCCAGCAAAAGGCGCCACAGGTGGTCAATGTAAGTACTAATGCAATTTATTCAATGAGCCAAAACCGTGTCCGTCCAAATCTCTTTTAAACACATTAAAAATGATGTCACGGAGTTTTTGTTCTTATTCTTTTATGTTACCTAGGATTTTTAATTTGAACAACTAACATACTGCACATAAATAAAAATGTCTACAATATAATATTAGAATGTCTCCGTAAATTAACATTGAAATATGTAAAAATTACATTTGTGAGGTTGGTCGACTAGTTTCAAATCACGATGAGGGCTCATAACCATAAGCAGCATGGATAACGACCGACAGACGAAGTGGCACCATAGTGTCTAATTAATTGGAATAAGTGATTTGATTGATACCATCTTTTGATCAACATACACCACAAACCACAACGGTAACTGAAACAAATGCCGTGATAACGACAATTAAAACAAGAATGTTATCAATCACAAAAATATGTTTATTTACCAGACTCAGCCAGCTAGCGGCGGCCATATTGTCGTACATAGCTCGCAGCCTGCTATCGTCCGCAGCCAGAATGTTCAGGTATAGTACGCATTGGTAATGTTTTTCATTTGAACATTTAGTTAGTTCTCAACACTTGTATTTGTGATTTTGTGAAGAGTGAGACCCTTGCATATATTTGCATGAACAAAGAGAACTGCATGTGTTATGTCAAGTCCTAGTAAGAACAGGTTTCAGGAGTTGTGAAGTGAAATTGTGTTTATGTATTTGTCCGCAAGTTTATATTATAAATGCTGTCATAATCTGTAAACTGACGCAAAAGATTTATATGTCGAAGATCTTATACGTATCAGAAAGACAGCAAGGGGTTAATGGAGTAACCAAGTATGTCTATAGAGCAACTGAAATACCTCTGAACTTGTAAATACCGCAGTAGTGATCAAATCATCTCTGTTGCTCTTGTCAACTGTCCACAATATAAAAATAGGAATGTATAAAACTGATTGTGTAAGTATTACTACGTATTTACGATATGTTTTTGTATTTCGCATTTTTTGAATTATGAATAAAATTTATTCATTATTATTATTTATTATTACAAAAAAATATATTATGTAAAAAATATAATATCATGAAGGTCCGTAATCTATAAAATCAGAACAGTTACATAAAAATAGTTTACTTCGATAAATAAATAAATACAACAGTACATAGCAAATAATGTGCACCATCACAGATAAATAAAACAATATTGTACGATGTGTAAGACCAATAGCCTAGTACCTAAAGGAAGACTCAACTTGTGGTTTGGGTCCCAGGGCAGTCACATAACTAGCAAAAAGTGTCAGTATTAGTTAGCGAGTGTGGTGGTTGTCGTGGTAGGCAGTAGCGGTGAGTGGTCGTGTGGGTGTAGTGACGTAGTGCATGTGTCTGCGTAGTCGGTGGTGGTGACGAGCGGGCCGGCGGGCGGCGCGGCGGGCGGCGCGGCGGGCGGCCCGCAGAAGGTCGTGGTGGTGGGCGTGCAGCCGCCGCACCACCTGGCGCCCGCCGCCGCACCCGCGCAAACCTCCGCACTCACCGCCGCGCACGTCAGCCAGGTACCTCTACAATCTCTTAACACTTCTTCACGTCATCTACGATTACTAAATTATTATATTTATGTTTATTGTTTCGTTTTTTACACTAGGTTAAAATTATTTTATCCTAACATTATTAATTTATAGTTGTATCTATTGTAAATTGTAATATGAGAGGATAAAGTTTTAGAGTAACTAGATACAACACAAATGTTCAAATCGTAAACGGGTATTTATTTCTTGAAAAAAACTGATAACTAACATTTACAATTGTTAATAGATTTCCAGGTTCACAAAGACAATCGTAGGAGAATGACTGCAAGAAAAGCATGTACTGAACAATATCTATTAATTTATTCTATCTTATCGGATCTGCTTTATGATTTAACAAATTCCATGCCTGTATTTTATGAACTGCTGTTACCTATTTTACAATAATTATCCTCTCCCCCCCTTCCCCAATCTCTGAATCCCCAACAACTCAAATTTCTAATTCCCAACAAGCCAGTAACTCACTTGTAATGCCTCTGGTGTTCCGGCTGTCCATGGGCGACGCCGATTGTTTACCACCAAGTGATCCGTTTGCTCGTTTACTGGCTCATCCCATAACAAAAAATACGTATATATTTCACTTCATTTACAGGGTTCGTGACTGAAGCGAGTATTGAATCAGTACCTACTACATATTCATTGATAAAATTTGTTGACTTGTAAATCTTGTTTCAGCCTCTAACATGGCCATAGTAGGTCCATAAAATATAGGAAGATCTCCCATGACAGCTCAGTAAAATCACGGCTATGAATTTCTTAATACCGACACAGTTGTCATTCAGTACCTGTCAATGTCAAATCTATGAAGTGATGGGCTTTGAATCATCCTGCGTACGATATTTTATGTAAAACTTAATCCATTTATGTAACATTTAATTTTATTGTTACTCCGCATTACAAGCTACTTGATTGATCGTAGCGAAATGTTTTATAGCATTCTTATGTAATTTGAACAGTAGTTTTGAATACTAATGCGTTTAAACAAATTTGACTTAAAGTCCTACGTTTCTTAAATGGGGCAGAAGACGTCCACAGAGATCCTCCATTTCGGTCAGTCTTGAGCTTCTCTCTCTACCTCTCTACCTCGCTCCATGTCATTCCGATGGTCGCCGCTTCTGTGATCACTGTACGACGCCAGGTTTGCGAAGAACAGCCACGCTTCCTTTTCCGTTCAAACAAACAAATAAATAAACTCTTCAGCTTAATATATTGTTTTAAATTTTAATATGATAACATTATGTTCATGATTGCGTACATAATCCGAAATAATAGTGGGTAACTAAAATCCAATTTTTCACCTACTCATGTAACATTCCTTACCATAACTTGGGATTTCGGAAGAAGACACGCCGTTTTTGCCCTATGTTCGAAATAAACCCTATTATACATAAACATCGATGAAATAAGAATCTCGACATTTTTTATATCTTGACAACCCTAGAGATCAGTTTGACATATCACAGAGATCATCCTATATTTTATGGACAATAGTCAAATGCTACAGCAGTTGAATATGGAATAGAAATTACTAGAGTTGTCTTGAAGTATTGTTTGTTGTTAGTTTGAAGACGTAGCCGTATTAAAGACATTTTTAAATGCCCACACTTTGAGACACCTGGACCGTATGTGAATCACACTATTATAATAAATGTGAAATTGTCTCTGTTTGTCCGTTAATCACACTGAAACTATGAACGGATTTTGATGAAATACAGGCAGGGCAAAGGGCATTGACTAAAATTGGTGCCTTTCTTTTTTCTGGCGGCAGTCGATGATTTATGGAAAATATTATCTAGAATGACATTTCAAACGAAATTGGCAATGGGCTCATATATAGAAATCTCAGTCTGGACTGAGTTATGAGCGTTGAAAGAAGCTGGAGTCAACAATTTTACTTTGATTTTTTATTCAAAATATTCATATTTTTGTCACAATTCCTGATTTCAAATTGCGCACCACTGTACGCTAGGCACAGGAACACCATATCACACCACAATATATCCATATTGCGGCACTAATTTTTATTAGCTATTTTCTCTCAGTCGACAACTTGTGGGATGCTTCTAGGAGTTGTGTCATGAAGCTTTATGAGCGTCAGCTATGGTACCAGTGGTGGGTTGAGTAGTGGTAGCCGTTCAAACATCTAATAAAGTAGTATTTTTGCCGTTGACTCCTGGTGGGAGACTCATTTACTTTATAGTTAGCATAATCTTTACAAAGTCGACGGTTTCCTTTATGTCAGGACGTCAGATGAACGCATTTTTTCATATAATGTGATCAGTCGAAATATCACTTCTTGACTGAATGACGATATCTTTGTACAGAATCGTATGTAGCTGTAGATTAAAGTATTAACTGTAGTTAGATTAGTTACTAATCGGAAGTAAGTCGGGAGAAGTAGATAGAAAAATGATTTTTTCGTGTTTTGACGACTGCCGTTACTCAATCCGCTACCGACGCCGCAGCTGACAAACATAGCATTTCATGATAGGGCTTAGTAAAGTATTTTGCGGGTTTTCAACTGAGAGGAAATTGATCATGATAGCCTGTAATAGGCCATATACCGTATACATATAAAGTGAACATGCTAGCTAATCGAGCGAAATGTTTTTTACTTCAGCAGTGGCCAGTTAACTGGTTCACTGTTGTGATTCCGTGGCATTACAAAAAAAGTCCACAATAAGCTTTATTATATTCCTTGAAATCATTTATAAACATTCATTACTAAATATTTCGGACAAGTAAATGAAGGAATATGCTTTGTGCACGGTTACCATCAACAAAATAACAGGAATAATTAGCAGTATTTTCACATCTTTGAACTGATGTTAACTCGGTTTGGACTGTGTTTTTTATATAAGACCCCATATATTTTTTTCGTTTGTAATCTTATTCTCCATCAGTTTTTCCACATTCGATCAACTGCCGCGAAAAAATGAAAAGGCACCACGCTCCATACTAATTTGGTCATTGTCATTTGGTATAAAAGAGATGACTTAGGTCATAGGATACTTTTTATCGCGATTAAATGCTCCCATGGGATTAAACAGGAATTATATTCTACGTGGACGAAGTCGCGGGCAACAGTTAGTATTCCTATAATTTTAGATATAACCCATATGTGATACAAAAACATGCATGTAATGTTCGGGGATAAATCATTAAGGATTAAATACAGTAGCTGGTGGTAGTGTGTATATATATATTTGAGTGTGTTTCGTTGTGTAGGCTCCGGTGTCGGTGGTGGCAAAGCCAGTGTTCGCGCGCGGTGGCGCGGCGCCCCCGCCGCCCGAGCTGGACGACCTCTCACATCTCGCCTGACCCCGCACCTACAGCGTGGCTATCGTCAAGCAATACATCAAGAAGAACTAGTGAACAATGTTTTACTAAGAGTTTTCGTGACATTATCAAAGTGGGGACTAAATGGATTTTCAAATCTTAGTAGTTTCAATGAATTACAAACTATTTATTTAGCATGAACTGTCAACACATAAAATGAACTCAACGTTATATTCTTGTAAATGAGTCATAATAGCTTCATTCCTCCCCTTTGGTCCCCTAGTGATTAAGTTTATAGTTATAAAAATCTGCTGACATTTTCTATTTCAAATTTAATTTTTACGTGCTAGCCTTATTATGATTACTTTGGTTAAATAGTTTTAGGAGTAAATGGTATATTTACATGATCAATATAATATAGATTGTCAATTGATGTTATTTACTTTAGTGAATATACTTAAGACTTGTTTTGGGTGCCCAATGTATCATAACTGAAAATAGTCCATAGTTTCTTTATTAGTATATTATTTCCATGTCTATTCTATTATGTACTTATGTAAAACAGTTGATATACCTAAATATATAATTAATTAAAATTACAGTTTTTAATTATCAGTTTTTATTGATATGTGTATCTCGACCAAGTGGTCGCAGACGCGACTATAACACTAGGGGTAACGGATCCAAGTCAAATTGTAAATTTAAGCACCCCTCATAATACATGCCATCGTGACAAAGCAAAAAGTGGTATAGATCTATCTAACGTAATATGGCTACCTCCTGACAATCCAACCAGATGATTTAAACAATGGCCTTAATATAATTTTATTAAACGAAAGGGATTTAAAGATCCTTCGATTAAATATCCAATTTAGGTAATGTTACATAACAGAACAGTAGTTTTATTAGGGTTTCATCCATAGTGGAAAAAATATGGTACGAGGAAGGCTAAGTGATTCCGAGCCGAGTTATAAAGAATAAAAGGCCTTACAGGGATAATGTAGCTACAGTGGTGTACTCTACTCTAGTGGCATGTGAACGGGTAAATAAGAACCGAATCCGCGCATAATAGGCACAATGCTTCACAATGAATGAATGCCCACTCGACTGAATTGATAAGTGGGTTGTACCGCTTGCGTGGGGAGCGCGTGTCCGCCCGCCCGCCCGATTCGCCGCGCGCCACTGTCAGGGGAATGTGAACCGGCTGCATATTTGTGCCTATGACAACCTGCTTTCATTGAGTACTGAATATGTAAATGATGAGTTTCAAAGTTGTAAGTATTAAATTGTTTAAGTATCAATGAGACGACAACGAAGAATAGTTAAAAATGTGTCTGTGTTGTGAAAAGGGATCTCATGGGAATCTCAAAGAATTCAATGCAAAACCTTATAAAACAGGTCAAATTCGCTACCAATAGACATAACATAACATCACGCCTTTTATCCCCGAAGGGGTAGGCAGAGGTGCACATTACGGCACTTAATGCCACTGTACAATATAACACCCACTTATCACTATGTTATGGGTCCCATGTAATAGGGGGTGAGCCTATTGCCATATACCGGGCACATTTCCAGACTCCGTGCTACAACTGAGGTTTTTACAAACCCAGTAATACTTTGCCCGACCCGGGAATCGAACCCGAGACCCCTTGCCGCGCTTGCGACCACTCGGCCAATGAGGCAGTCAACCAAATTCTGGTGTTTAACTCCTGACGCAAAAATAAAATTGTAGCACCGTAGCTTCTGAACAGGCTAATTTCATCAAATTTTTTATCGATAGCCTTTTTCACCAATATCATTTTGAGTTAAAAGATTTTCAGCCTGATGGCTTCCTATTTTTTTATTTTTGATACCAACTTATTATTTAGGCCCGGGCTTAATAGGAGGAGGTTACCAAAGAGTATAATAATTAGGTATTTTAAAATGTGTCATTACTGGAAAAATCTTTAATCTTTGGCGGCTCTTGCCGGTTGCGGCGGCGGCGCGTTTTGTCTGCCTGACCACTGGCCGAGAGCGGTAGAGCTGGTCGCAGTCGTGCATTCTGTCGCAATCGCAGCTCGAGAGCGCTCATCTCGCACCGCTCGCTGCCCGTCGGACTATCCGAGACTCTCGAAATTTTCCCGCCAAAAATTTTCGCGAGTTTTATTTTATTTTTATTCATTTATTTTTTTTAACGATTCATTCGTGTATTTGCAATGCAGTGATCGATTTTATTTTGTGATGCGTTGTTACATTGCTTTTATTTTGTTCTTTGTGTTTTTGCCAAAATCAACTAAGGCGATTCGATGGTTGTAAGTAACGTTTTGTTATATATTTTAATTTAAATGACATACGTAAGCGCATATTTAATTAAATTAACTTTAAGCGTTAATTTTATTTCTCGAAATATTAAATTTTGAAAGAAAAAATATATAACTATTGATTGTTTTTTACTCTTGGTGTCTACCGATTTTCTACGATATTGTAACATGCAGGTAGTATCTATACCTAGAAATTATTATGTAAGAATGTATTGCATTATCTTACTTTATATATTGCATTTTCTTACTTTAAGATGTACAAGGTACACCTTTATAGCTTTGATTATATAATGTCCTTTATAGATAAGTAATATATTTAGTTACCTATAAAGTAAAGCCGTAATTCTTAACAGTAAAAAAAGAAAAAAGGAAACTGGTATATAGAGAGTGCCCTAAAAATCAACATAAAGCCAGCAACAACAACAACAAATATTATTTCAGTGATTAACATTAAAATAATATTTGTTGATATTCAAAGGAAAAATCTCTCGTGTTCTTCACTTCGGCATAGAGGCTTTCTCTTAGATCTTAAGTTCTTCTATTTATCTCAGCTCAATCTTTCTGCAGTGTGATGTTGATTCAGAGGCAAGGTCTTTAATTTGCCTCAACAATTGTGATGGTGAGCGCCATCGGCATTTTTATTTTTTATCTTTCACATTATCACGATCATCACGATCATAAGGTTTGCGATGAGTTATAAACTTATAAGCCCGAAGCACAAAAGTATTATTTTAAGACAGATTGTAGGCTAGTGTGGTGAGAGACCCAAGTCTTGAAGTTCTATATTATGTGACTTTGGAGATGTATTATCAGAATTTAGATACTTCTAAAAAAGGTATCCGTAATAATTGTAGTTTGAAATAAATAAAAAAGCAATAAATTACTGATTTATTAAATACGTAAGCATGCACTTGTTTAAGGCTATTTTGTTAGGACACCTATTATCTACCTATATTATTTTAGAATCTGTGTTAGATGCTAAGATTTTAAACAACGGCATGAAATAGCACGGCAAAATGCAAGGACCATAATTTTTTTTCACCATGATGTGAAAAGTAGACTGCAAGTTAAAATATGTAGGTATAATATCAAAAACCACCCGTATTCTGAAATTTGTAGGGATAAAACTAGTAGTGGATAGCAGCACTTGGTTGGACTATTCGGGTTATCAATACGAAAAAGAGAGTCAGTCTTTCCTTTGTAACTTATTCGATATCCTATTTCATGGATATTGCGATATATACATAAATGCGAAAGTTTGTATATTTATTTGTTTGTTACTCCGTCAATGGTTGGCCGTCGTTTATTCATGCAACTAGTGTGTAACTTGGTCTCACTCAACAATTAACAGTACCTAAAATGGAGGGGCGTGGAATTATCGAATGACTTCTCTCGCCTTGGGTGAGGTGAAAGGCACTGTACTCCTCCTTCGAGTCGGAATCTTTTTGGCTACCTGTGGAACATCGGTTACGATTGGGTGCTGACCGACCTCTCGAACGGCGCAAGCGTCGTCTGACTGAGCTACGTTGACGATACTGCTATACGACGATGCTGCTATACGACGATGCTGCTATACGACGATGCTGCTATACGACGATGCTGCTAGCGCACGGAAGGTTGCACCAGGCGGCGGCCAACGTAATCGCGAGAGCGGTTGTGACGGTCGTTGTAAGGATCCGGCAACTGGAACTCGACCTCGGAGGGACAAACGCCTCCTGCCGGAGGGTATACGCAAAGATCGTGCGGTTCATGGCCCTCTAGGACGTCCCTGTATGGTCGCCAAACCTGATGCAGTGGTCAGGTTGGACGTTGCTCACGTCCTAGAGGATCTTGGCCATTCGGATGATCCGTAGTTTCCCCACGAGCTCCGGGGAGGTGGCAAACTACTATGCCGGATTAGCGCCGTAGGATCTGGGAAGGAAGGTGCTCGCGCGCGTTTTCAGTTTGCGCGCTGAGGTGCGTCGCTAGGGTGAAAGTACCTGTTTATGATTGGGCGGGAGGGAACGCCCGGGTGTCATCACTGCGAGGACCGCCCGGAGGACACGGTGGAGTATGCGGTGGCGGTGTGCCCTGCGTGAGCTGAGCACCGCCGGGGATATCCTCAGGGATATGAATCCTCAGGGATATGATCGGTGACGGCGACCTCTCACGTTGTGCTGTAATTCAGGCCATGGTACGGAGTGAGGGGACTGAAATGCCATCCCCTTCTGGGAAGCAGTCATGCTAGCTAAGGATGAGGCGGGCACGAATCTTACCATGCCCCAGCCGTCGCGAGACACACTTTGGGAGTCGAGGATCGCGAGACGATCTCCGGCCACCGTACCTCCCGGTAGCCGCCCGACTAGACCTAGACCCAAGCGCATGTTGCGTCGCGTTCGACGCGTATCTCAAAGAGCAGAAGTAGGAACTGGGTGGTTTCAGTCAGTAAGAGACTGATACTCTTTCCCGCCTCACCCTTAATAAATGGTTATACATTTCATCGGAGGTTTGTGGTACCTAACCTGTAACAGATGGAGACAAGAATTTTCTTCAGTTATAACAATAGCAAATACCTACAACAAATAAATTAATGTTATGTTGTAAAATAATTTTGATATTAGTGCATTTTAAAATAATTATGGAATAATTTTACGTATTACCTATCGCCCCCTAAATTATTTCAATGCACCCAAGTTTTTGTGGGTCCCTCACCGTCCCCCTGTAGGTTTCCAGCGCCCACAAATGGTAATTACTTTGGTAATTACTGACTGGCCTAGCAGATCTACCTAACTTAACTATCTACCAGTTGGATGAATGAAAAATGCTGTCACCGTCACTATAACAAACTACTCATCATTGAAAAAAAAAGAACCGATGTCAATATTTATGAAATTTTCCTACATAATATGTATTAAAAGGTCTTCAAGAGGGGATTGAATAGGTTTCTTAAGGGTCGGCAAGACGCATGAAATGCCCCAAGTGTTGCAGGCTATGTACGGCAACCGCTTACCATTAGGTGGGCCGTGTACATTTTTGCCACCGTCGTGGTATAAAAAAATAATAATAATCCCACGGTAAGTCTACCCACTAGAAGTTTTTCCTGACGTGGACATAGCACCCACTTGGTAGCACTGCAGCTTCGAGCCAACTGCGATAAACTTGAAAAGTACTGAATACTCGTAGGTACATGTACTTAAGTGTGGGAGAGTCATGTTTCGGCATGAATGGGCATCATGAGCCGGCTCGACCACGGCCACGGCCTACCAGAACACGGGCGTGAAACAACGCTTGCGAAGTAGGCCTGCGCACGGCGAGCATGGGTGACTCGCAGTAGTAACGGTGTGGTTTTTAGTCAGTAAGGGTCTGCTCTAGCCCCACCCGGGTGGGAGAACTTATTGTATGCGTTTCCACCATCAACAAATAAAATATGGATAACACCGATAGATAAATACATAAATAAATTAAGTATGGTAAAGTTACCTTATTAGTTACTACTACACATGTGTTTATCGCTTCATTAGAATGTTAAGGTAGTACCTGAGGGTAGCCAACCGTACTCTAAAATAGAATATTGTCCTCTATATCCAGTAGGCGTAGGTACTCTATAATCTATAATAAGTACTAATAAAGTAGACTAAAATACTCTTTTTTCACAATGCTTATTTAACTAGTGCGAGTCTGTAATAATATGCAAAAAACATAATGATCAGAATAAAAACTGTACTATTTAATCTTAATTCTGTATTACAGACCCGTTTACAGTGGTCCAAAGATTTTTTTTAGCTTGAGAGTATCAAAAGTGATCATTTAAAAAATACTTAGTGCAATGTTTGGTAGCTTTTTTTAAACTAATCCGATATTTCAATTTTTTACACAAAATCACTCTAATATGAAAAGTACTGGACCGAATTGAAGTATAGACATCGAAAATAACCTACCTATCGAGCTACAGGCTAACCTGGTATAATAATTAGACTGAGGATGCAAAAGTTACGAAAAAATAAATTTTTAAAGCATGAAATAAATGATACTCTTTTTTTGTAAGTCCGTACTCTTTATTTACCTCCTTTAAAATCAAATATACTCTTTTTCTTATATAAGGTTATACCTATACGGTTACCTATACGCTTTGCTGGTCAAGGGTAAAAATTGTGTAGGACTTGTAATTAGCAGATAGCGATTAGCGATTACAGTGTAACTGTTTATGTAAAACATCGATAACAGGTAGGTAATTACTAATTAGCTTTATACATTACGTAGGTATATGCTTGGTCTTAATGGAATATGGCAACTAACGAGCAAACGGATCACCTAATGCCAAGGAAATGGTGCCGCCTATGGACACTCCAACCAGCAGTTAGAATTAGTAAACAAAAATAAAAGACGTAACACGACGCAGATCAAACAAAACAGTACTTAGGTATATACCTTAGTATAAATTAATGAACCTTATTATTAATTAATGAGGACAAATATTTGAAGCTTCCATGAAATTAATGGAACTTAGGCAGGTACATGTACCTACTGTGTTAATTAACATTTTAACAAGTTCACTGTCGGATTATAATATAAATACGTTAACGTAACAGGCAATTCAGATTAACATCATTAATGTGAATCAAACACTGGCCAGCCTATTACGACGAGCTTCACATAATTAACGAATGCTTAAAGCGAATTAATCAATACAGTAGCCATCACAAAAGCACAAAACGGTAGGAACGAAATTACATTGTTATTGTACCATTTGAAACATCCACAGGATTTAAAGCGGTTGTAACGGGTCGGTTCTCCCCGTCCATCGACGCTCCCTAATTGAACATTGCACTAATGAGCACCGTTGTTCAGTTGCAATCCGTAATTATACGCCCCCGAGATTACACTCGCTAATATCCCGGGAAATGTGAGCTTTGCTACGAAAACGATTTTCGGCATAGTTTTAATTATTTCATTATTACCGTACCTAGCCATGTTTATGTTAACCGTTTATTGAATGTTCTCTTCCGTTAATG